AGCTTGGGTGACTTGGGGTGGTTTATAGATCTTATCTGGGGGGGTAATTGGGGAGGTGAGGTTCCGTTCGGAGAGTAGATCCGGGGCTGGCATCGGTTGGCGTTCCGAGTGGTGGTTCCACCTACTATAGCCAGGACGGTATATAACCCAGCCCTGAAGGTAGGTACTGTACTCCGTCCCTAGCTAGTAGTCAATGTGTTTGCCACAGCACGCCTTGTAGCATCTACGCGCCAGGAGAACTGTGGTCGTACAAGAATTAACGCCATTTCTCGAGTCAAGCTAAATACGAGACATTTTGCTGTCAGCTGCAAGGGCGTCAAGTGCCACCTGGCTGGGGAATCGGGGGTTTCGCGATGGTCTCGGCACTGTTGCAGAGTGCCCTCGTTTGGGACAGAAGCATGACGTGGAAGAACAAGAAGCACTCAATGGAAACCTTCCAGATCCACTTGTACCAAGACAGGAGTTGAAGCCAAGAGTGATTGGGCGATCATTCTCAACTCCTCGTAACTACCACTTGCAGGGCAAGGCAACAATGGCGACACGTGCCCATTGAAGCCTCACCGCTCTCATTGCTCTCACCGCCTGAGTCTTGCCCTCACCGCCGCAGCATGGATGCGTCGTACTGCCACTCCCTTCTTTCCCGGGACTGGGAAACTCTCTCTCTCTCTCTCTTGCTTGTCACTACTTCATCAACCAACTTACCTTTACATCGTCTCATTCTGGCGCATTGACTCTCTCAATTACGGGCCTGTCTTGGAAATCGGACCGGCTCGTGTTTTCTATTTCTCCCCATCTCTCCCTAAACTCCTCTTCCTTAAATATTCCTTCTCTTCCTCTACCATATTTGTTCCTCTTTCCCCTTCCCCCCACTCCCTCCCTCTCCCCATCCTCAACGATACTTCACCCGGTACAGTAGCTGCTAGCGGCCGTTGCTCCTTGGACCACCTTCCTTGCACTGCATGCCTCCAAGGTCCTCTGCACCCTGCCGCTTGTGGAACCCTGGACATCCTCGATCTTTATCAACCCCAATTTATCGTTCCTTTTCCCGATCAGGCACCTTTGCGGCGGTAGCCCCTCATTCCTACCCCTCGCCACGCTTGTTCTCGCATCGCTGGGCTCGATCTTTTGCCTCCGGTGGACAGACTCATCGTCCTCCCTCTCTCCTTCACTCTCCCACACCCGTCTCGCGTGCTCCGTTTGCCACTAGCCCGGTCAAAATGGGTTCTACCAAGATGGGCACTGTCGAACGCATTGCGGAGGATCTGTTGAAGCCGGAGCTGGATGATCGCTCCTATCGCGTCATCCGCCTCCCCAATAAGCTCGAAGCTCTACTGGTCCACGACCCGGACACTGACAAGGCCAGTGCGGCCGTGAACGTCAATGTCGGTAATTTCTCAGACGCAGACGACATGCCGGGTATGGCTCACGCCGTTGAACATCTCTTGTTCATGGGCACCAAAAAGGTACGTGGTTGATTTCCCCCCGTCAGCATGCGGCCAGTCCGACACTAACCTCGGCTGATCGCCCGCAGTACCCCTTAGAGAACGCATACAATCAATATTTGGCATCCAACTCTGGCATGTCCAACGCCTACACGGCTGCCACGGAGACCAACTACTTCTTTGAGGTAGCCGCCACGTCGCACTCTGGCGACGAGAAATCCGATGCGCCCACTTCGCCCTCGGCCACGCAAGCCAAGGGGCCCCTCCACGGGGCCCTGGATCGGTTCGCTCAGTTCTTCGTCGAACCGCTTTTCCTGGAGTCAACGCTGGACCGCGAGTTGAGGGCCGTGGACTCTGAGAACAAGAAGAACCTGCAGAGCGATATGTGGCGGTTGATGCAACTGAACAAGAGCCTGTCCAACCCCGCGCATCCCTACCACCACTTCTCGACTGGAAACCTGCAGACATTGAAGGAGGACCCGGAGAAACGCGGCCTCGAGGTTCGCAGTGAATTCATCAAGTTCTATGAGGCCCATTATTCAGCCAACCGGATGAAACTGGTTTTGCTGGGCCGGGAGTCCCTCGACGAGATGGAGGAATGGGTCTCGGATCTGTTCTCGCACGTCCAGAACAAGGATCTTCCGCAGAATCGCTGGGACGATGTTCAGCCCTGGACGGCCGAACATCTAGGAAAGCAGATCTTTGCCAAGCCGGTGATGGACATGCGGTCTCTGGACATCTATTTCCCTTTCATGGACGAGGAGCACTACTACGAGTCCCAGCCCAACCGTTACATTAGCCACCTGATCGGCCACGAGGGTCCCGGAAGTATCTTGGCTTACATCAAGGCCAAGGGTTGGGCCAATGGCTTGTCTGCTGGTCCTCTACCCATCTGCCCTGGTGCGGCCTTCTTCACCATCAACGTCCGCTTGACCCCTGAGGGCTTGAAAAACTACCGTGAGGTCGCGAGAGTCATCTTCGAGTATATCGCTATGATCAAGGAAGGTGAGCCTCAGCAGTGGATCTATGATGAGATGAAGAACTTGGCCGAGGTCGAGTTCCGCTTCAAACAAAAGACCCCCGCCAGTCGCTTTGCCAGCAACCTGAGCAGCAAGATGCAGAAGCCCCACCCTCGCGAGTGGTTGCTGAGCACCGGGCTTCTCCGGAAGTACGACCCGGCTTTGATCAAGGAAGCCTTGTCCTACCTTCGGCCCGACAACTTCCGCATGCTCATTGTGGCCCAGGATTACCCTGGTGACTGGGATCAGAAGGAGAAGTGGTACGGCACGGAGCACAAGGTGGAGGATATCCCCAAGGACTTCATGGCCGACATCCGTCAGGCGTATGAGACCACCTCCGCGAACCGTCTGCCCGACCTGCACCTGCCTCACAAGAACGAATTTGTTCCGACTCGTCTCTCCGTTGAGAAGAAAGAAGTCTCGGAACCAGCTAAGACACCGAAGCTCATCCGGCATGACGACCACGTCCGTCTGTGGTACAAGAAGGATGATCGATTCTGGGTTCCTAAGGGCACCTTCAACATCTCACTTCGAAACCCTCTGGTGTGGGCTACTCCGGCCAACGTGGTCAAAGCCAGGTTCTACTGCGAATTGGTCCGCGATGCCCTCAACGAATATGCCTATGATGCTGAGCTGGCAGGCCTCGATTATTCCCTGGGTATTAGTATCTTTGGCCTGGACATCTCGGTGGGTGGATACAACGACAAAATGTCCGTGCTTTTGGAGAAGGTTCTTACGAGCATGCGTGATCTCGTTGTGAAGCCGGAACGCTTCAGCATCATCAAGGAGCGCCTGACCAGAGCCTATAAGAACGCCGAGTATCAACAGCCCTACTACCAAGTTAGCGACTACACTCGATACCTGACCGCAGAACGGTCCTGGCTCAATGAGCAGTATGCATCTGAGCTTCAACATATTGAAGTGGAAGACGTGGCTTGCTTCTTCCCTCAGATTCTCCGTCAGAACCACATCGAGGTGTTGGCGCACGGAAACCTGTACAAGGAGGATGCACTTCGTATGACTGACCTGGTGGAATCTACTTTGAAGAGTCGTACTTTGCCCGAGTCGCAGTGGTACGTGCGGCGCAATGTCATCATTCCCCCTGGCTCCAACTATGTCTATGAGCGGACGCTCAAAGACCCAGCCAACGTTAACAACGGCATCGAATATTTGCTGTACATTGGAGACATCAATGACGCGGTCTTGCGGGCCAAGCTGCTGCTGTTTGCCCAGATGACTGATGAGCCTGCATTCGATCAACTCCGGAGCAAGGAGCAACTGGGATATGTTGTCTGGAGCGGTGCCCGTTATTCTTCCACTACTATCGGATATCGCGTCATTATCCAGAGTGAGCGCGTTGCCGGGTACCTTGAACACCGTATCGAGAACTTCTTGAGCATGTTCCAGAAGACATTGGAGGAGATGACGGATAGTGACTTTGAAAGGCACAAGCGCAGTCTTATCAACAGAAGACTGGAAAAGCTCAAGAACCTGGGCTCAGAGACTAGTCGCTTCTGGTCTCACATTGGATCGGAGTATTTCGACTTCGTGCAGAATGAGGCGGATGCTGCCAATGTGCGGTCTCTGACCAAGTCAGACCTCATCCAGTTTTATAATCAGTTTATCAACCCTCAGTCATCCACGCGTGGCAAGCTGTCCATCCATCTCAAGGCACAAGCTACCGCTCTCGCCAGCACGCCCCAGCAGCAGAAGACCCAGCTTGTGACGCGTATGCGCACGCTCTTGGAGAAAGCGCAGTTGGCAGTCGATGCGGATCGGTTGGAGGCTGCATTCGCTGATGTCGACGTGTCCAGCGGCGATGAGCGGCTGATCGTGGACACCATCAAGACTGTCTTGGATGGACTGGGTCTTGCAGAGCAACAAGCTAAGCAGGCCCTGGATTCCCTGGTAAACAGCGTTGGAGTAGAGCTGAAGCACATCGGCATTCAGCCCAAGAGATTCGAGGGGCAGTCTGGTCAGACGGTCAATGGATTCGGCCAGGAGGCTGTCACCTACATCACCAACGTCCCTGAGTACAAGGCCCGTCTGAATGTCAGCGCCGGTCCGAACCCTGTCACCGATATTAGCGAGTTCGAGGACTTTGATGCCAAGCTATAGTCGCATCGCCTGTTGAATTTAAGATCCACCTACTTGCTACAACCTTCACTTCACTTATAATGATGATGATAGAAACTTTCTGCTGCCTTGTTGATATTGAGGCGTGGCTTTGGAATGAGTACCGGACATCTTTTGGGACGCAGGATGAGGGGATCGATAGATTTGAAATTCATGGGATGTAGATTAGAAATATGATACATAATTGAAATCTTTCGACTGAGCCATGAACACAGACTTGAGATGTTTCAATAACAACCAGTGGAGGTAATTTAGATGTTGTCTGTTGTTGACTCCCAGTCGGTTTGTTTGCAACTTGGAAGTTAGGGCGACCGGGGCGGTCGAATGTTTTCGCGGAGGGCAGCTCCGATGCCAATCGGTTGATCGATCGAGCTGCGGCGGAGAGAGCATCAACTCCGCCGGGCTGTGATCCACCTCGCGACCAGCACCAACAACAACCGACCTCCTACCATCCTTGTACCCGCCGCGACCCTTTTCTCGTCACTCACTTACATCGTCTTGACTCACTCGATCACAAGCCGAAGATCTTTTAAAAGCCGCATCTACCTACCATGTCGACCGCAACAGCGACGGCGATTCAGAGCTCTCGCCCGTACGTTCCAGACCCCCCGGGCGAGCTGAGCTTCAGCTCAAGGCATGGACCAACCAATACTGACTACGTTGCTCTCTACCTAGTCCCATCGCTTCCAAAGACTTCTCCGCTCAGCAACCACAAACCATTCGTCTATATCCTCTCTCGAATTACACGTTCGGGACCAAGGAGACGCAACCCGAGGAAGATCCCTCCGTCCTGGCCCGCCTGAAACGCCTCGAAGAACACTACGAGAAATATGGCATGAGACGTACCTGCGAGGGTGTTCTTGTGTGTCATGAGCATAACCACCCGCATGTGCTCATGCTGCAGATCGCGAACGCCTTCTTCAAGCTGTACGTATCCTGTCCGATCGTGGAGTCAAGACACGCCTCGGTCACGACTGCGACACGACATTGTCATCAACGGTTCCCCGGAACCGACTTCATGTATCTATACGAGAGCAAACTGACTTATGTGAACCGTGTTAGACCCGGAGACTACCTTCCCTTCGAAGACGACGAGGTCGAAGGGTTCAAGAAGCGGCTCAACGAGCGGCTTGCGCCCGTCGGATCGCAGTTCTCCGGCGAGGGCGTCAACGAGGACTGGGAGATCGGCGATACCCTGGCGCAGTGGTGGCGGCCCAACTTCGAGACGTTCATGTACCCATTCCTGCCCGGCCATGTGACTCGACCCAAGGAGTGCAAGAAGCTGTATTTCATCCAGCTGCCCAAGAAGAGTGAGTCCTGATCCCTGCAAGCCTGATGGCATCTCCAGCGAGAGAACCGTGACTGAAAACCAGGCGGCAATGCAGAGGTCCTCTCCGTCCCGAAGAACATGAAGCTTCTCGCCGTGCCGTTGTTCGAGTTGTACGACAACACTGCGCGGTACGGGCCGCAACTGTCGGCCATCCCGCACCTGCTGTCCCGGTACAACTTCGAGTTTGTGGACGAGAACGACAACGTGGTGGCCGCGACGCCAGGCACACCGCTGCCGGAGGGCCACGCGCTCCGGACTAAGGTCCTGGCGGGCGACAGTGGTGATGGGCAGGATGAGGGGATGACGGATTACACTCCTGAGGGTGGGGAGAATGGCACGGTCGCTGCGTGAGAGAGTCATTGTGATTTCTTTCCGAGGCTCGACAACCAAGGTGTGTCCTTTTGGCCCTCTCCATCCCGCCTCTTGTCCTTTCAGGGATCTATGAGGATAGTGGGTAAGTGTGCTGTCCGTGGAGAGAGACATTCTTCCCCAGTCTGGAAACAACTCCGATGCGTAGCAAGGGTTGGCAGTGCTGCATGGGCTGAGACCGACAATCCTGCGAAGACTTCCCTCCTGCCCTTCCCCCCACAGCTTAGCCTCGCGGGCTCATTCCTTGCTTGACCGGGTTTCTCTTCTTGCTTTCTCTATGCTCTTCCGGTTGCAAAAATAAAGATACGACGATGTTCCCCCCCATCTGGATGGCGTTTTCAAAGGAGCGAATATATTGCGATTGTGATTGTGATTTCTAATATGAGTTTTTTTTTTTTTTCTCTTTTTCCGAATCTACTTTCTCCTGTTGACGGGATTTGCAATATCTACACATACTTCTGTTCAGTGCTCCGGTTTGTCGTACGACACAAGCCCTTCTCTGGGGGGTTTTGACTTTCGGGAGATTCTCCGGAAATCCTCTCCTTGTCTTTGACAGCTTCGCTACCTCGGTTCATGTCCTCGTGTGTGCGTGTGCCTGGACAATCCGTTGTCCGCTGCATCCCATGAAAACCAGAGGAATGATAACCCCTGTCCCTAGCCTGAACTTATTCCAGCCAAGGTGGGGGTGAAAGCAGAGACAAAAGCCCAGCTGACCAGCACGCCCAAGCATAGACGACTAAGTTATATCCAGCTCAACTATGAAGTCAGCTATCAGGTAAAAAAGTCTAAAAGAATCCCTCCCATGAAACTCCGAAGATACTCCAGCCAACCCGGCCGGCACTTGGAATTACATCCAGTATACGAGTACGTAGTGTTTGCAACTCCACTCGGAAATCATTCCCACCCCGATTTGCGCTCAGGTGCGCGCCGAGGGCAGTACGGGGGTTACATCGTACCAAATCCCGACCGCGTCTATCCGGATCGATGTGGGGTGCCTACATACAGTACCGTTCCGTATGAGGTGTCCGGTGCAGTCGCAGTGGATGTATGGAGGTAGCAGCATTTACCCTCGTCCGGTGTCTTTAATCCTTTCTGTGGGGGGTGGATCACGCACTCAAGCCGGCAGGTATACCGTTGTCTGTGTTCTGCCTAGCGCCAGAAGCTGGACGGTCGTGCCAGTGCCAGTGCGCACTGCGGTGTGTTGTTAGTTCTAGTTCTCTGCCTGCACGGGATTGCTTTAGGCTGGCGTTTCCCCGCAAGTTGTTTTAGGGTTCTAAACCAACGGGCAAGGCCGTTGAATTTAACAGGTTTGTGGGTTGGAGTCGCCTGGTGTCCGGCACATGATTTTAGGTCCTGTGGTTTCTGGTACTAGTTTAGCCCCTCTTCAACGAGATGCCGAGGGATGAGGAGGGGCTGCAGCGCATGCTGGGGCGGTACTTTAGGTTCATGTGGAAAAGAAATATGGGGTAGAGTTGGAAATGAGGGGGGGGGGTGCAAGATTGTGATGTCATTTTGTTTGGGATTAGATTAGATTGGAATTGAGGAACTGTACTGTATACTTTGTATCCTCTTGAAGTATAACATGTTAACTGTAGAGTTGAACAGGATGGGATGAGAGGTTAGTTGTTGTAGGAGGAAAGAAGGTTGATTGTTTATCCCAAGGTATAAACTACACTAAACGAACTTAACTGGCTACCGGCCCGGGATTAGCTAGGACAAAGGAACAAGAGGTCTCAGTCCAAGCCTATGGTGTCTGGTGGAAGGAAGGAAAGGATGTTCGCTCTTCGTCTAAGACACATACTGTAGGCAGACACACCGCAGTGTCTTTGGTGCCTTTTTTTTTTTTTTTGGTTTGTTCGGTGCATTCATCCCATCGGAAGGATCAGATTCCCTGAGGCTCGGCTCCCGGACCTGACCTTGACCTTGACCTGAACTACTCACTACTCACGAGGGCTGAGACTGGGTTGACGGAGTGCAAGGATAGACATTCAAGCATGTGAAACTGCCGATAGGTCTGCGACGGGAGTCAATGCCAGTGACCGTGATTTAGGGTACTGTACTATACATGCAGCGCAGCGGACGATGAGTGGTTGCTTCGCAATCGGCCTGAGCGTGATCATTTCTCTTGCTGGGGGACGAATGAGGGCGGCTGTGTTCCTGGCTTGCTTGTTTGCTTGCGAGTGAGTGCCAGCCCGCGCGCTTACGCTCCAACTGGCTTGTAGTGCTATGTCTACCCTGCCCATATACTGGGGGCTGATGTACACGCCCGATACTTCCGTCGGTTGATGCTCTCTTCTCGGCCAGGTGTGCGTTCCGTTCTCCTCGCTCTATGGATCCCATCCGGATCCAGTTACCATCCGCGTGCCCCCGAGTCTCTCTGCACGCCCACTTGTTCACTCTATTATACTTTGGCACGTAGAGCTTTAGTCCATCGCAGTTTTTCTCTGGGAGGAAGAATCATTGGATGCTCGACGTTGCCCGGAGAAAGTGGACTGATGGTCTCTACGTTTACCGCTGTGGATATCCTTCGTTGTGGGGGTGGTGGAGCCCGGCATTCCAGAACATAACGGAGTCCGCGCAGGAATCCTCCTTTCTTTCCCTTTGACTCCGGGGTGTCCGGGGCCAAGTGCTCGTTTCTTCCGGAGGCATGCGTCTCTCTCTCTCTTGAGCTAGGATAGGGAGGTGGAACCAACCACTGGGTAGGGATGGAGGGTGTTCGTGATGTGCTTGGGTTTCCCGTTGTTTTTTTTGTCTCTCTACCCCGCTCAGCCTGTCTCTTTTCTTCGGAATGCTGGGGTCTTGATTGGCGTTGTGATCGAAGAGCTGATGGGGGCTTTTTCTTTTTCGGTTTTTTTTCTTTTTCGCGCTTCTTGGCTTCGGCGTGAAGAAAGGGGAAGGGGCCGAATTGGCACGGATTGCTAACTGTATATAAAGAGCCATGGGGCGAGAGGAATAAGAGGGCTTCTTTTCATTCTGTGCTTTGGATGTGCCAGTGTTGGTGAAGCGTCTGCGTTTGCTGTTATTACAAGGTCATTGACGCTGCTCCTTGCCTGTTCGTTTTGGTTATCGACTTGATCTGGGTTGGCACTGTATACATACTCCCAAACTGCAAGCATGGTATATATCACTCGTTTGGGTGGGGTGGTGGCCGCTCTTGCGGCCTTGGTTGTGGCTGCTCCGGTTGATATTCGAGGTGAGTGTCTGCCTGGGAATCAATTCGAAAGTGTGTTGGTGGAAGGAAAAGAAGTGTTAAAGAAGTCGAATTGCAGATGTCTCGACCACTGTCTACACGCAGCTGGATCTGTTCGCGCAATACTCCGCCGCGGCGTACTGCTCGACCAACCTCGATTCCCCGAATACGAGCGTGACCTGCACGAACGGACTTTGTCCGTTACTCGCAGCTGCCACGACCAAGAGTCTGGCCGAGTTCGAGGCGTATGTTTTTGCCTGCATGGATGCGGTGCGCGGAGGTGCGAAATAGAATTGGGCTAACTGATTCGCGCACGTGTAGTTCCGATTCCTACGGCGATACAGCGGGATTCCTCGTGGTTGACTCCACCAACAAGAAGCTGGTGGTGTCGTTCCGCGGAAGCAGCTCGATTGAGAACTGGATCGCCAATTTGGACTTCATCTTCACGGATGCCAGCGCGGTCTGCAGTGGCTGCCAGGTCCACCAGGGCTTCTGGAAGGCCTGGAGCTCTGTCGCGGACACCTTGACGACGGAGATCGCGTCTGCGGTAACCGCTTACCCCGGCTATAGCCTGGTGTTCACGGGGCATAGTCTGGGAGGAGCGTTGGCGACCATCGGCGCGACGGTGCTGCGGAATGCGGGGTACTCCGTTCAACTGGTGAGTCTCTCTTCATGCAGCAGGAGCTGGTGGCAACATTCCGTTGCTGACAAAAAGACAGTATTCCTATGGAGCGCCCCGAGTGGGCAACACGGCGCTGGCCAACTATATCACGAGCAAAGGCTCTGGCTCGAATTTCCGAGTGACTCACCTCAACGATGTCGTGCCTAGACTTCCGCCGAGACTGCTTGGTTATAGTCACCCAAGCCCGGAATACTGGATCACTAGCGGAACTGGTGCTGCAGTGACCTCATCGGATATCGACATCATCCAGGGCGTCGACTCCTCTGCTGGAAACGCGGGGGAGAATATCACCAGCGTGCTGGCGCACCTGTGGTACTTCATCAGTATTGGCACTTGTTAATCGTTGTACATATGTGAGGTATGAGACAATGTGGGTGTATAGGACAATGAGTATATAGGGAAGTTGTGTATATGATGCATGAAGTGTGCAGTATGAAGCTGCTCAAAAACTGGCCTTTGAGTAATAATTCCTTGGTTCTTGATGTTGTTGGATGTGTGGTTAATGATGTAGGTAGAAGATTGACTGAGATGGTGGGAGCGAAGATGACTATGAATCACGTGGCCATACTACTTGAAGCGGCTAAGGCATGTTATGCCCGCTTGTCTGGGATGCTATCATGGATAGTAACTTACACCACGGTACCTAAAGAGGTGAAGACGCTACACTCCAGGCTGGCATACTCCGGCCGGTGTATGGAAGTAGGGCTGAGCCGAGCCGGGGAGCCGGGGAGCGACTGCCAAACCAGGCGCGGACCCCGGGCAATTATTCGACCGATTACTGCCAAGCAGCATTGCTGATGGAGTTAACCCACGGCCAGGGAACACAATGTCTCCAATAGTGAAACCACCATGTGGCTTGACACCACCTCCTCTCTTCCAGGCAACATAAGCTGCCAGCTGTCGCCAACTCTTCTTCCTTGACCCAACTACCCTACAACGCACTCTCTCACGCTGAATGTGTCATCTACAACCGCAGACTCTTCTCATTCACCGCTGCGCATCTCCGTAAACCATTAAGCCCCGGAGCTCCACTGACCGAGTCGTTGCCCGCTCCGCAACACACCGACCGGACAGCTCAGCGATCGGCCTTCGCGCAGCCATGCTTCCTGCGCATTGAAACGTGATCTACTCGGATACTCAATTGACTCTTGCGACTATAGTGACTACCAGCATATGCTCTCGTACCCCGTTCGCTGCGTGTCACCTCTACGCTGCCGCCGGTCGCAACCATGTTGTTCTTCGGCAGCGGAGTCTCCAGCCCGCGCCGCCGCAGCCAGGAAAAGGCCATCTTGTGCACCATCCTGATCGTTTACGCGCTATACTTCCTTTTCTTCTCCAAAAGCTCCGAACATGCACATATCGATACCTCGGCCCACGATGCGGTGTCGAAAGGCGGACCCTACCGCGATATGCGCTCCGGGCAAGCTGCACCGTCGGCATCGGCCGCGCGACTCTCAAAAACCCTTGACAGGGAGATGGTGGTGGCTAGCATGAAGACTGATGATGTCTCATGGCTGTACCAGTATTTCCCCGAGTGGCACAAGAGCGTCTATGTGGTGGACGACAAAAAGGCGCAGTTGACGGTCAAGCTGAACAAGGGCCGGGAGTCCATGGTCTATCTAACGTGGGTCTTGTGAATCGCGATCGGAGTGGTGTGAAGCTGGTGCTAATGGAGTGTCTCTAGATACATCATTGACAACTACGACAACCTTCCCGATTCGATCCTCTTCATTCACCCTCAGAGATATCAATGGCATAATGACGATCCTTATTACGACGGGGTGCCGGTCCTCCGCAATTTCCAGCTTCCCTACCTGCAGAAACAAGGCTACGTTAACTTACGCTGTGCCTGGATTCTCGGCTGCCCGGCGGAGATTCACCCGTACACCGATTCCCACCGAGATGACGTCCATGTCGGAGAGTACTTCAAGAACGGATTCAAGGAGCTCTTCCCCGGGGAGGAGGTTCCGGAAGAAGTGGGGGTCTCGTGCTGTGCGCAGTTTGCAGTCACAAGCTGGAAGATTAGACAACGGCCTAAGAAGGACTATGAACGATTCAGGAAGTGGTTGACGGAGACCAAGCTCCCAGATGATCTCAGCGGACGTATCATGGAGTACTCATGGCACAGTAGGTTGACCTTCTGCCATTTGTGGCTGTATGCACGAGGCTAACATGCAGGCAGTGATCTTTGGTAAAGGACCCGTCCACTGCCCGACGGCTGAAGAATGCTACTGCAGGGTATTCGGGCTGTGTAATTTGGATTGCCCGACCGAGGGAGACTGCGCTGGCCGCTATGTTCTCCCGCCGTACTCTTCTCTACCTGAAGGATGGCCGTATATCGGATGGAAGGGCCAGAAACAAGACCCCAGCAAGGGGTTACCTGAGACATAGGCGCACTAAGCATAGTGTGATTGTTAGGAAAATCATGCCAAGCAATATGCCTCAATCCGTGGTCAGCCTGAGTGTACACATGTCTGTGTCGACTACATTGAGCAACAGACCGGCCTGTCTGATTGAGACGGGCCATCAAGCCCCGGTTGGAAGAGCGATGGCACGGTGATTTCTGCCGTCCGTTGCATCAATGGCCTTTGCTCCATCTATGGATGGAGGAGGATAATACCCCCAATGATGCCATCTTTGTACATACATCACACCATAATCGGGATCCGACTCTTTCTCAGCTCGCGCTGAAAGTGCCAGTATTTGGGCTGAGCGATGACCCGCGTTGGCTGATGCGGTGTGGTTGGTGGTGGTGATGTGATGATGTCAAATGTTCTCATATGAATGAAAAGTACCCACTCTTCATAATACTCTCAGCCTTGTCAAGATTTTATTTCCAGATCTCAAGGTTCTGATGTGTAACCTTTGCAGCATGAAACCCTGTTTTGTACAGTACCGAGTAGAACCTCCCCCACCAATGTGCAGCAGCCGAGGCAGCGCGGCGGAACCGGGAGCTTTCCCCGCGCGAGCGAGTCCCCGGAACAACAAATCCTCACCTTCAAGGTTCAAACAACAACCACCTACCTAGTACCTACCTCCAACCTCCAACCTCAATCCATTCCCACCCAAACAGCAAGCACCACACCGTAACACCACAACGCACGAAAGCCCTACAGAACCAAAACCAAAAAGATGTTAATAATCGGCCTGACCGGCTCCATCGCCACCGGCAAATCGACCGTCTCCTCCCTCCTCTCCTCCCCGCCGTACTCCCTCCCGATCATCGACACGGACCTGCTGGCCCGGAAAGTCGTCGAACCGGGCACGGAAGGCTACAAGGCGATCGTCAACTACTTCGGCCCGACGACCCCGGACCTCCTTCTCCCGGCGTCGCCGCCAGACTCTGCCGCCTCCTCCTCATCCCCCAATGACACGACCACGCCCACCACGACCACCACGCCCACCGACCCGCAAAGCGACCGCACCCCCCGCCCCCTCAACCGCCTCGCCCTCGGCCGCCGCGTCTTCGGCACCACGGAGGACCGCAAACGCGACCGCATGATCCTCAACAAGATCGTGCACCCGCTGGTGCGCCGCGAGGTCTACAAGGCGCTCGCGGCCCACTACGTGCGGGGCCACTGGGCCGTCGTCCTCGACGTGCCGCTGCTGTTCGAGAGCGGGATGGATCTGATCTGCGGCACCGTGGTGGTGGTCGGCGTGCGCGATCCCGCCGTGCAGATGCAGCGGCTCCGCGCCCGCGACCCGCACCTCTCCGCGGAGGAGGCCGCGAATCGCGTCCGCAGTCAGGGCGATGTCGCCTCCAAGGCGGCGCGCGCCGAGTGGAGGGGCCAGCGCAGGGGGCTCGTGGTGTGGAATGATGGCGACAAACAGGAGCTGGAGGGCGAGGTGCGGCGCGCGTTGGCCGTCGTGCAGGCGTCCAGTCCGCGGTGGTGGGCTTGGGTGCTCTTGGTGCTGCCGCCGGTGGGCGTTCTGGCGGCGGTGTGGAATCTCGGGGTGAATTTTTGGGGCCGGAGGGGGTGGGAGACGCTCGAGAGGGAGAGGGAGAGGGAGAGGGTTAGGGCGAAGATTTGAGGGGGTTGATGGTTTTTGACTTGGGAGCAGGCTTGGTTGCGTTGGTCTTTTTCTGGTGTGATCGCTTTTCGCGGCGTTGGGCGTTGCTATATGTATGGTGCTAGACTTTCTGTTGGTGCTTTGGTGGATGCGCTGTTGGGCATGGGTTCGTGGTCTAGTAGCGAATTGGTTATACTTGACTGTTTGGGAATTGCAAGATACTACCCGACTACGGTGTAGTTCAGTTGCTGCATTTAAGGTGAACTGGCTTAAACGCTGGTTCTGTCTCTCTGCCATGTGATTTCCACATTGGGCAGGCTGGGACTACGCCGCGGGCCGTCCTCATAACCCGATCACTACTTGAACTCTAAGGCATCAATGCTGCAGGGAATATTGAACATTGGCTTTTGTCTTCAGGTATGTATATATTGAAAGAAGTCTATTAAAGCAGAGTTCCCGTGTCGTCTGGTTCGACAGACTGACTGCGTCCAGAACAGAACGCCGTGTTTCACTTCCCTGCTCGCTGCGAACCATATGGGACTCTGCGGCTTGACCCCGGATTACGAGAGCTGGGTGGAGTCCAGGAACGGCCGCCTGCGAAGTCTGCGACGTCAACAAGATCCCACGGCTACCAGGATCCTTCTGCCGCCAGGGTATGTAATCCACAGAGTTCGCGAAGCGGAAGACTCGTCCAGTCACTCATCTCTGCAAGAACAAGGTTGGAACTTATCCATTGACGAGGAAGAGCCGTCGTCTGACTTGCTAAACATACCAGGTGCATCAGACCCTGCCAGAGCGAAGACCAACCCCCATATCGAAATCCAGAAAAGTCCTCGCCCAGACGAACGCCACGAAGAGGCTGTGCCAAAAACCCAACCAGAGTGCCGCCTTCAAGCACCACGGATCCTGACTCTTGAAAGACTGCCTAATGGACTATATAAAGCGCGGAGACCCCACCACTCCAACGAATCGAGCATTATAGATCTCCGAGCTTCTCGGAACCTGAAAAATCCCACAGCGCTGCCTTCCTATCGGGACAAATCCACTTGGACGGGACCCAATCGAAGAGATGTTATCGTGATCAGCTCATCACACAGCAGACAGCCTAGCAGCAAGACGAGCAGCAGGAGAAGCGGACAGGCTGGGCGCGGTACACCTGTAGAGTCTCCACGCAGAGTGCGGTTCTATAGAACTGCAGACGACGACAATGTCCAAGATAATGAGACCGTGAACGGCAAGGTTTCGAGCTGGTTGCTGCAGGATGACGAATTCTGGTGACGGCGTACTTGTTGACACAGTCGTTCTCCCCTACCGTGACCAAACCGTCCATAAGATTGCCATGAATTGTGAGTATCCACGGAAGTATTGCCAGGTCCACATAATATCGATAAAAGTCCATGTCATGTATGATTTATGATCCACTGTGTCGCGATGCATGTTTTTAATTTATTTGTGCTTGCGTTTCTTCTGTTTCTTGTCGCCGCCGCCGCCGCCTCCATGGCGTCCTCCGGAGATACTCGTCAGTGCCGACAGTTTGACGGGCTGAGGCTTGTTCTTTTCCTTCTTCTGAGCTTTCTTCTTTGCTTTCTTAATCATGGCGTCCATATCATTAGGGTCAGCTTCGCTGTCGTCATCCTCATCAGATTCGTCTTCATCTCCTCCGGCCTGCTATGCGTGTTAGTATGCATCGACTGTCGTCATGTCAAATGGACCATTAGCACTGACCGCGCTCTTCTTCTTTCGCTTGTAGTTGCCATAGGCCTGTCGACCACCGTAAACCATCTCATCATCATCCGCATCCAAGGAGCTGTCAGCCACAACGAACGGCCGGGGTGCAGGTGCGTCGAAGCCGTAATCGAGCACCCATTCCGTATCACCCGACTCCGCGGCTTGTCGAGCGAGCGCTTCCTTCCGCTTTTCCTCCTCGGCAGCCAGGGCGGCTGCGACAGCGTCCATATCCGATTGAGGGGTCGACGGGCTTTGTACCGATCCCGTCGAAAGTCTTTGGCGCTTCGAGATTGGCGTGGTGGAAGTCTCACCAGAAGACTGCGGCGTGGACTTTTCAGCCGCGGCGCGTTGCATGAACTGTGCAAATTAGCATCGCGCGCAAGTAAAATAGATAAAAGGTCGCATACCTTCATCGTCAGCAGACGAGAAGACATGGTCTTCTCTGGCTTTGCGCCAGGTGTCGAGGGGGTAGACATGACGGCGATGAGGTCGATCAGAGCGTGAAGTGATGTTGAAGATGAAAGAAAAATATCCACAATTCCAAAGCCGCACCCGCCTAAAGAAAGGTGTAACTCGAGGACCAGCAGAAACGCCTCGATTGCAAAGCAAGAAAATCGGGCGCGGCAGAATCCCACCGCATCCGCGGCAGGAGAAGCGCCGATTGGTTGATTCCGCTGCTGCCAGCTCCCGCCCGCAGACTCTCACCATTGAGTGGTGGTGGTGGAAACCTCACTATTGCAATCCTCCTCCCCTTCAATCGACCCGGACTTGTCCATTGTCGTCCTCCGCCCTCACCCCCGCCCTACTTCTTCTCAACCTCTCTGGGACCTCAGTCTCGCCCAGCATGATGAACTGCGTCCGCAGCCGTGTCGCGGCTTTCTCTACCGCCTGGACCCCTCGGGTCGTCGCCCGGGCCAGCTACTCGACCACTGTCCCTCGTCTCAGCGAGAACACCCTGCACGCCAACGACCCGACCCCCTCCAAGCCCGTCCCGAACGTGTCGGCCACCAATGCCACCCCCGTCGACTCGATGGGCGCATGGGACAAGCCCCTGCAGGAGACCCCCGAAATTGCGGAGCGCACCCGCAAGCTCCAGGCTCCCAACCGGGCCACCACCTGGGCTGCCAGCCAGCAACCCCGAGAGAAGGCCATGGTCGGCCCTCGTTTCGAGCAGACGATAATGGAGATGCAGGTCCGTGATATTCCGAGCCATTGGATTCAGGAGAGGAAGCTGGGATGAGTCAACAGGCGCTGGGAGAGGAATATCATATCAACCGGAGACTGACGTATTCTGTGCTAGCCCCAACCCTACGCCGCCATTGAGCTCATCCACAAGCAGCCGGTGCGCTGGACGAAGAAGCGGGTTGTTGAGTGTGACGGCGGCGGCGGTCCCCTCGGCCACCCCCGGATCTTCATCAACACTGACAAGCCTGAGATTGCTACCTGCAACTACTGCGGTCTTCCCTTCGTATGTGACCTTACCATGCTGCTGTGCATTGCAGAGTGCTAATCCGATGACACTCAGGCCCACGAGCAGCACCGCGCATACCTTAAGTCCCTCCCCGCCACCAGCTACCCCCTCGAGCCCACTGGTGATGCCGCCGAGGTGAACGAGAACCAGCGTGTGACCGATAGTGCCTTCGAGCAGCGGTAAAGAATTGCTTGCTTTTTCCTCCTTTGGCGTTGATGACTTCTTTTTTTTTCTTGCTTGTTGTTCCCCCCGTTTGGCCCCCAGGCTGTTGTACAGATGTACCGGACAATGAAGTTGTTAGAACGAACCATTCCATTAAAAGTCGATGTAACCTCTTTGGCTACTTCAAACAACACTACACGGGACCCGAAACATAGTTGTTCGTACGTCTGAATTGTGGGCTGGATCCTATATACCACCCATCTCAAAGAAGTACCACCCCCTAGAGCCCTCGAACTCACGCCTTCTCACCCTGAATGGTGGCCACCACCTTCCGCGAGTGCCGACTCGTGCGGAATTCCAAATACCAGATCCCCTGCCACGTCCCCGTCGCCAACCGACCGTTCGTGATCGGGATCGTAACCGAAGCCCCGACCAGTGCCGACTTGATATGCGCCTGTGCCAAACCCCAAGTTAGCCTCTTTCCACTCTTCTTGCAACAATATCCCCATTAGCCCAGTCCCAGTGCCAGCATCCAGCACCCATCTCATATCATGCCGCACTAGCACCCACACACAATCTCCCAAAACTAGGGCGTGGGGCAAAACCAACCGGCATATCATCCTCCCCCTCCGCGGAATGGCGGTACAGGGTCCCCTTCTTGTCGTAGGGGGCGATGCGGTCCAGCGCGTCGCTCATGTCGGCGCGCACGTCCTCGTCCCAGTTCTCGTTCAGCGAGAGCGCGCAGCTGGTGTGCTGCACGAACAGGTGCAGCAGCCCGACCTTGTAGTCCCGGATCTCGGGCAGCTCCGCGACCACCTGGTCCGTGATCAGGTAGCTGCCCCGCGAGCGGGAGGGGAGGGTGAAGGACTTTTGGAACCAGGACATCCTTTTGGGGCTGTATGTGTCTCCTTAAGGTTGGGAGGGGGTTAGTTCTGATTCTTTTCGGGGGCGGGGTTCTTGGGGAAATTGTGTTAGGTGGTGGGTGAGTGTGAGTGAATTGAGAGGGGGTCAATTGCTTGATCTTGAGAGAGGGAGAGTCACGTACTAATGCGATAGATGGAGATGTATTGGAGGAGGTGGAATTGGTGGTGTTGACTTTGTTGGAGCTGAAGGCTGAAGCTAGACAGAGGAACGGATTTCAAGTGGGGGAGAAAGAGAGAAAGGTCCGTCGACGTCATTTGCGAGATTCCGCGCATGCACTTATTTATCGCGGCAATTCTACAGGCTCTCCGCGTCGACACGATACACAAAACATTGTCTTCAGGACATGGCAAAGAAATTCTATTGTCCTTTACAAATCTATACCCCCCAAAAGAATAGCGCCCCATCCCTCATGAAGCCGAGCACACGCTTGCCTGCACAGACGGGGGATTGCTGGTCGCCGAACCCCAATCCGTGCTGCCCAAAGCTTTCCCTGCCTCGGTGGAATTATCCGATCGAATCTTTTTTTGGCTGTCTGTTAGCAGAGCCGACGAGAGGAAAGGAGAACTCACATAGTACTGCTGCTCGACATAATACCACCAATCAGCACTCCGAAACGCATTGTCCGTGGACTGGCTGATCGGGTCGACCCAGATCGTATCCCGGGTGTCGAAATGCGCGTGCTTCGACCACGAGACATACACCTTCGGATGGTCATTCCCACGCACCCCTTCCGGTGCACGCGCGTCGCCCGCCGCGATCTCCTCGCTCGTCAGCGTGCTGTGGATCTGACTCCAGGCCAGATTATGGTAGCCACTGTGAGCGGAGAGCAGTGCGCGAGACGGCGCCCACAGCTCGTTCGCGTCGCGCGAGTGCACGATGATGACTCTTTCCCAGTCACTACACCTCCATGATTAGACTCTTTGATGTGCAGAAAGACAAACTCCCGCAAAATGCTGCCCGGTAACACTCACTAGTCATGACCGGTGTCAATGAGGTCGAGCACCTTGGCTCCGTCCTTCTCATAGAAGAGATTGTAGACCACGCGCACTTCGGTCTCATTGCACCGCTGCACGGTGTAGTAGATCGGGAACGCTGGGCCGGGGTTCCCGGCGTCGACGCCCGGGTTGCGGCATCCGCAGCCCACGTCGGGGTATTCGCATTGCGGCGCCGGTGCGGTTGGGTGCGCCGCGTCGTCGTATACGTCGGGCGAGTCCGGCGAGCCCCCGAAGGCCCAGGTCGGGTAGCATGGCACCGCGTGCAGGGCTTGACCGAAGAACCAGAGCGGCGCGTAGCGGTCCGCCAGCTCGACGCCGTCGTGGTTCAGCAGGTTACGCATGTCAGCGTCCGTGATTTGCGTGACGGCGAGCGCTTGGGCGGCCAACGCCGCGAGCACGGTGCTTCGGCAGGCTGGCCACATTGTGGAAAGGGTCTATACATGGATCTGGGGACCCTGATTGTTGACATCGTTGCGTGGTTGTGCGGAGAGCAGTCTTATAGATGTATCTCGAATCATCAGATCAGCCTCGTCGGCTGACAACCCCGCGCTATACCGACTAATTGAACTTCTGAAGTTGATATCTTCCGATGGGCTTCTCACATCAGGGGCTCTGGACTTTCGTTGACTGATTGACCAGCATGACCCATGCCTAAGGTAACATCGGGCCGGGGTTATTGGAACATGAGCCTGCAGTGCCATCACATTTCCATCGCGCCTGATAGGGCAGCCGCCTCCGCCGAGCCTGACACCGGCTTCCGAACACCAGCAGGCTTCTCCTACAAGGAATGTATTGGTTTGTTCACATGTCGATCACGTTTGCTGTCTAACATATGACTTTCCATCTAATATACATATCATGCTAATCGTTTATCGTGCACTCGTCTGACTCGTATCGCTGACCAGAATCGTGTACGTGGTCCAGTGTGGTCACAGGTTATTAGCCCCCAGAGGATACGGCTTCCGATTCTTATTCCGTGGGCTTGCCCATATCATCGACCCTTTCACTGTCTTCGTCCATCCCAGCCCACTTGGGCTTGCCATCCGGGATCTCTACGATCCGCTGGTTGTAGAAGATGTGACAGCTAGAATACCGCGTTAGCAAAGAACGAGCAGCTGCATCCCCCGGCGCCCGCTCGCGCGCGGGGTGCAAGAAGAACATGACTTACTCGACCTCAAAGGCCTTGCGCCACTCCAGACGCTCTGCGTCGGTGTCTCCGCACTCGATCGACTCCGGGAACAGCAGACAGACATTCCGTCCCTCGTCCATGATCGGCGACCGGCACCACGAACAGAAGACCTTGGTGGGGAGGGAGTAATCGCGGGTCTTGTTGGTGGAGGAGTAGAATGCCAGCCCCTCGGCGCCCTTTTCGAAGAGCAGGTTCTCCTTGTGGAAGATGGCGGCCCATTGGAAGGGGGCGGCTGCCGGGGGGTTTGTCTGTTTAGCTATCATCCGCAGCGTCTTCTGCTTCCATCACGATGCACTCACCATGGGTCATCTGACACCCGCGACAGTGACAAAACTTCGCCTTGAGAGGCTTCTCCTGGTTAAGCTTGTATTTGACTTGCCCGCACTGGCACTTGCCGCGCCACTTGACCTCGCCGAAGTCCTCGGCGGACCGGTGCTGGTAGGGCGGGCGCTGGGCCATGTCCTTGGTGCCTTCGGGTTTGTCCGACATTCCGGTCGAGTTGTTTCTGTGTTGGGTCGTTGAGATGAAGCGCGGGAATGGAGTGCTGCGCGCTGTTGCTGCTGCTGCTGCTGCTGGCAGGTAGAATTTGGGGGTTGGGCGAAGAATGGGGGTCCAGAGTCGAAAGGGCGTCGATCGCATATCACAGAGGATGTAGAAATTGCGATTTTGTCGTTCGGTTGAACCACGAAATTAGAAGTCGTGTGACTCGCTGAGTATCTCCCATTTATACAAGAGACTGTCGTGGGCTTTTCTGTGCAGGGTCTGGAACTGCGGATGATGTCACGACGATGTATTCGATGACGATAGAGAAGGGGGGCCTTGGAAACAGATTGGCAAATGACAGAATTATTGCGATGGTTATTGAGGTGCTTGGGACTGGAAAAAAGGGTCTAGGGTATTTTCCGGGGGTGAAGAATTGAGCGATCGTAAATAAGCTTAATTTAAGGTCTGGCTGGTTGCTGGTGGTGGTGGTGCAATCAGTGGCAGTTAGTGGTTTGGGTTAGTGGCTTGTTACTATGAATAAATCAGGCTGTCAACCTTGGAGGAATCGCTGCGATGGCTGGTCCCTGACTGGAAGCTTCGTCCTCGGCAGTAATGTACGTACGTATTGGGTCTCTGCTCTATGGAGGTCCGTTGGAAGGTGTTGTGTCTCCGAATCGTCTCTGTTGGGAACTTCGTTGTCACTCCCTAGTAGGAGGTGTTGAGTGCCGTACAGATAGATGTAATTAGCGCCCAAGCAGCCTACCACGGTGTTTACTTCAAGCAAGCATTGGCTTCATGACAACGATGATGGAGTCGTGTAGCTTAATATGCAACGAAGAGGATCAGACGTAAAGGTCTTTATATTGCTGGTCAAAATTGTGTTGAGAGGGCAGATCAAGGAGGCGAGGTAAGGAAACAGCACAAGTGATGCAGCTACTATGAAGTGTGGCTGGCCCGTTTGTCGTTGTGGCTGGTTGAATGTCTTGTAAGGAGCTGGACATTAATTCCAGAAGAGTAGCACAGAATATCTTGATCCGATCAAGTGTTAGCAATCAGAAAGTGGCGGTCTAATGTATTCCCATTTTCAGGGTGAATGGGATCCTGATGCTTTCCCCCGATGTTTCGCAACCGGAGTTACCGTCATTTGTCGATTTCAATGGGCGACTATGGGATAATAAGGGATACATTGTTACTAGATTATCATGACTGCATAGAAAAGGAAGTCCTGACATTCGATTGCAAAGCAAACGAATTCAACACTAGACCGCATTGGTCATCCAATCCTCCCCTCTGGTTCTTCCCTCAGCTTCAACTTTTCAATTCTCTCTCTCTTCTCCCCCTTTCGGAACAACAACACCACCAACAAAAAAGATATCCTGATAACCTGTCTGTCCTCACTTCCTCTGATCCAACCCTGCAAGATGAAACCCACCCGTTCAGTGTCAGGAAGCACTCTCCTCCATCCAACGCAACCTGAAACCCCCGCCCTTAATATAAGGAACTCTTGGCGGGCGACACCCTGTCATTTCGCTTGAAGGAGAAATGCCAATCACCGACTCCCCCGCCTCCCAAATCCAAACGAACGGCGGGTGCATGCATCTCTTGTGCATCGAATGAACGCTCGCTCGCGGTACAAGTCTCAGGGCTTAATTATACCTCTCTGCCTCCCGTTCTCGCCGTCACTCATCTCGTCCTGTCCGGCTTCTTCTGCTCTTCTTGTTCTCCGCTTCTCGCTTAGCTTGTCTCCATCCGCGTTTCAGCCTTCTTTATCTCCAAACTCCGATCATCCTTTCACCTTCTTGTCTGTCTTAATCTCCTGCTCTTGGTTTCTTCTGTGTCATCTTTGCGAGGTATCGACTCGCCCTTCCCATCCCCCTCAGTTCCCCTCCCATCCATGTCCTTCCAGGTGGTGGATCTTGCATGATGGGTCTTTTGAGCCGACTTCGCAGACATTCCTCCAGGAACCATAGTGCGGGGAATGCGGCCACCTACGACCATCTCCGCACCGACGTCGACGCCTATCCCCGATCGACCTCCAACCAAGACTTGACCAAATCCCTCCCGCGACCGATTCTGCATCGCATCTTCGCCGCCGTATGTCCACACACCGTTGACGATAGCTATGAAACATCGGAGGAGTCCATGACTGAGGATGGCTGCATGCTCTGTGACATGCGCGACCTGGCCCACTGCGCCTTGGTCTGCCAACGCTGGTATCTGGAAGCTCGGGCCTTACTGTAAGCAAGCGACCATCTTCAGCGCAGCACACGTCTAACGAGTTGTTTCTTCTTGCTTAGATACTCTCACGTCCGCATTGACCCCGTCCATTACTGCGAACTCGAAGTGGAACTGTCCGCCAAACGAAAGCGACGCTCCTTCATGAATCGCAACGGGGAAGCCATCGATGCGCCCCAGGTCCGGCTCCGACTCTTCATGCAGACTGTGCGCGAATCGTCCGATCTGGGACATCGCGTCCTCTCTCTCCGCATGCCATACATGACTCGCGAGGCGAGCAAAAGCGAAATCGCCCGCACCATCTCCGTCCTGCCAAACCTCCGCTATGTCGACCTCCCCGCGGGGATCTTCAGCGACGACCCCTCGTGCCTGGCCTTGAAGCAGGAGCTCATCGGTCGGTGCCAGGATCTTCGCCGGATGAGCTACCGACACGGGGCCGAGGGCAGCTTTTCGCAGCTCCCCGACTCCCCGCTCTGGGTGAATCTGGAGGTCCTCGAGCTGTCCCGGCTGCAGATCGAGCCGCACATCCTGCGGATGGGCCTCGCCTCCTTCTTCCATCTCCGGGATCTCACCCTCGACGACCTGCCCTGGCTCGACGACTCCGCCTTTGCGCCCTCCGATACCCTCCCCGCGTTCCCGGCCGTCCAGCGCCTCACCCTCCGCGATACCCCGAACGTCACGGCAAGCGGGCTTGTCGACTTCTTCTCTCTGCCCCTCCACCGCAAAACCCTGCACTCCCTGACCCTCTCCGCGACCGGCGTCCTCCCGGCGACCTACCACCAGATCCTCTCCGCGGCGCCGCAACTGCGCTCCTTCTCCGTCAACCAGGAGGTCACCCGCTCGTTCCCCGTCGACACCACCCGCGTGCCCCCGCTCGCCTCCCGCTCCCTCGCCCTCCTCCACTACGAGATCACCTCCGCCGCCAGCCCCAAAATCGGCACCCTCCCGCCCATCGCCGCCTCCTACTACACCTACCTCATCTCCTCGCTCATGTCCCACGCCCTGCCCGCGCTCCGCGACCTGTACGTGCGCGATTCGACCTTCCCCGAGACCCTGCTGCTCGCCCCGCCCCCGCGCCTGCTCGGTGGCGGCGGCGAGGGCGCGCTGGGGGGCCCCCAATTCTTCCACGGGGGTCTCTCCCAGCCGCTGAACGTGTACAGCAAGGGGCTCGACGAGCTCGAGTGGAACTTCACGCCGTACGAGCCGCCGTCAACGCGCGGCCGCCGCGCCAGCACCACGCGGCCCGTGAGCTTCCACGACGCCCAGCTGAGTCGCACCTGGGGCGGCGACGCGCGCAAGAGTGTCCTGGTCGGGAACGGGTTCGGCGGGTTCCTGGCCGTGCCGGTCGAGGATGATGACGGTCGGCCCAAGAGTAGTGGGGGCTGGCGACGCGATAGTCGGCAGGATCTGTGGCGGTGAGCTGCGGCGGCGGTTGGCATGCTGCATGCTTGTGGGTAAACGTACGGATAATGTTGTAACGAGGGCAATTTGACCTAGACTCTTGGGTCGTTGTAGTAGATGTGGATCCCCTACTGGCTGTCTGTGACACTGGGGTCGGACAGGTTCCTATTCAGGTATTTACTCTATTTTTCTTTTTCTCGATTGGTTTCTCTCCGTCGGGATTGGGTGGAATGGACATTTGGAAGTGGTTCCGGGAAATATCAGGATATGTCTTTACCACCGAGTTGAAAACAATGAAGATAGAAACATCGATTGTGTCACCATCAACCTCCGTCTTTTTCATACCACGCTCCCATATTCTTCCATCTGCTGGAACCCACCTTACAATATACTACTGTCCGTGCGCTAGGTTCAAGCAACCTACCACTCCCCAACTATTTGAGGCACTATCACCTAGCCACCAGAAGTCGAAAAGAACAAATGATCAACAAGCATCTCCCACCACCAGAACAGCCGCATCGTGAGGCGCCAACTTAACACTATACTTATCCCGGACACAGCCCAGATCATTGCCCGTCCAGGCATTCCGCACCCGGAACCCCGTCCCGCGGCGCCCGCGATGTCTCCCCTGCAGCTCGGGCACTTCCTTCCAGTACGCGGTCCGGGTCTGGGCGCGATCCTCCGAGTTCAGCATCAACACCAGCGTCCCGTTGAGCGTGGACGACGGCCCGGACCAGTACTCGGCCGGGTGCAACGGGTCGAAGGTCCAGTCGGCGTTGTAGCCCCATTTGTAGGGGTAGGCAGGGCGGCCTACCTGGGGGTCTTGGTTGAAGGCGAGCAGGTCCTTGTTGCTTAGGATGGCCAGGTGGGCTGCGTCGATCGAGTCCAACTTATTGTACGCAAGAAGTTAGTTCTGGGGTAGTGGATGAGGTTTCTGGGGGAAGGGGAGGGAGAATATTGTTGTTGTTGGGGGTAGAGAGGCAAAAACATACAGGAGTGCCAATAATCAGAGGACTCTTCATGATCGCCCAGAGAGCAAAGTGGGCGCGGTTCTCAGCCAGCGTCAGGTTTCCATTCCCAACTTCCAGCATATCCGGGTCCGGGTGGCCCCAGAAATTGGCGTAATTCATGAGGAAGGAGTTTTCGTTGGCAATTTCAGCGATGCGGGTCCAGTTCGCTGCATTCTCTGGTTAGTGCTTGATTCCTTGAAGCGGAATGGAAGGGGAGGAAGGAGGAGAACGAAGATAGAGGATGAGGTTAGAATGGAAAGCCAGTGCTGGGAAAGAGAAGGGAGTCTTACGTGTAATGTCGCCCGACATGCGCCACGAATTGCCAGTTGAATTTCCCCAGGCATTCACGTCGGCTTGACCCCAGTCACAAAGAGAGTAGAGGATGGTCCGGTTCACGCTCAGCAGGGCATCGCGCATGGCCTGGTAGCGCTTCGCCGTCGTCGATTTTGACCAGTCGTACCTGGCCGGGGCAGCGTCTGCGAGTCCCGGGCAGGTGCCGTTCGGGTAGGGACCACCGTTGGTGCTGTCGGGTACGCAGGCGGTGTATTGGTCGGTCTGGTTGGTAGGAACACCGCAGTTGTCGTACTTGAGGTCTGTATTGAGGCAATCAGTTGAGGGAGATAGAAGGGGATGAGCCGGAAGGCTGGGGTAAAGGTGCGTTACAGTCAATGCCCCATTCGGCGAAGGTCTGCGCGTCAATCTTCTCATACCCAAGACTAGCTGGGTAGCCAGCGCAGGTGGTCAGACCGGCACCTGTGATGCGTAAGCTTTTCTCTTCCATACAGCATGACCGTATGACCTACTGCTATAGATGCCGACTTTCAGACCCAGAGCATGGATCTGATCCACCAGGCCGGAGATTCCATCAGGGAACTTATCAGGGTCCGGGATTATGCGCTTGGTGGTTGTGTTGCGCCCGGACTTGATGGACCAGCAGTCATCAACTAATGTGGCGTGCAGTTGATTAGCAGTGTAAGTTTTGAAAGGGCTCCAGGGTAGTATATGGGCTCACTGTTGATGTACTCGTAACCAAGGCCCTTCAACCCCAGATCTATGACCTCGTTAGCGGCCGTGAGAATCTTATCTGCGTCGATTTCGCAGTTGAACGCGTTCCACGAATTCCAGCCCAGGGCAGGCACGCGGCCCTATTTGCATTTAGCCTCTGAAGCACGAAGAAAAGCTTGGACCTGATCCAGATGCTCGTACCACATCATCTTGCCGGACCAGGGCATTGGCCCTGGACATGAACGCCAACACTGTCAACGAAGACACCAGCATAGTGACTAGGTGAATTGTATCTCAGTATCGCCAACAATGACCCTAGAATTACAAGGAGTGGAATGATGCTGGGACCGTAAGACCAGCCATGACGGCGGCGAGGGGAACGACGATCGTTACTTATATTGCTGGAAATTTGATGAAGCGGGGGTCCTCAAGGGGGTCAAGGAAAGAACCCTGTATGTAGATGGGGGAAAGAGCGACACGATGACCAGGTAGGTGGAACCCACACCAGGTTTGCTGGCGGATTTGTGGCATGTTCAGAGGAGGGGGTGGTAAACATTATGAAAGCTGTGTACACCATTTAGGCTATAGGCGATTTTATCAGGTGTGATGTGCGCCTCGCAGCCACCCGAGTCAAGCTATTCGGGTTGCGTCCTGATTTCTCCGTGGTGGATTGGTTCCTGGTGGCTGGCGGGGTTGGCCGTGTTGGAAAGGGTAAAGCTGCAATTGGGGTGGACCAAGCCGCAGATGAGGTGCATTAGTGTCTGAGGGGAAGGTAAAGGTCCTCTCATGATTGCTGAGATGATTGATGGAGGGGGATCTGGATTGCGGGTGGTGTGCGGGGAGGAGGGCGAGAGCCTGGGCATGACATCTGGCGCATCCCAGTATTGGCTTTGATGACGGTGCTTGCTTGGTGCATTTGGCAACCGTGCACATAGTGACTTTAGGCTTCCTCTGATGAGGTTGGCTATGCATTGATAGACGATGTCTGGATTGCGGAGACATTGGGAGGAGGGTGAAAGTGAGGCAGATGGTGTGGTATGAGTTAGTAAGTGGAAAGTGTGGAGAAGAAGAAGTAGTTGAGAGAGGGGAACCTTGACGATGACAGCACCTCCACCACGACTAATTGTATACCTGCAAGCCACAACTACACAACTCCACAACATCCCAATCACTCCACAGACCAACCATTGACATCTCACAAACACCCAAATCTTTTACCATCATCATCACCACCCCCATCCCACCGCAGCCAACTTCCAAATCACACCTCTACTTTCTCTCTCTCTCGAACATCTCCCCGGAATACCTCTCAAAGGTCCTAACCTCCACCCCCGGAAAAAGCGCATTGTGCACCTCGCCCGGCGGCCGTACAAACCGCCCGGCGCCCTGCATCCCCCTGACCAGAATCCAGAACTCATCCGGAAACACACTCTTCCCTTTCACCTCGGGCGGGATCGCACCCTGGGGATCCCTTCCACACGCGGTGCATCACCTCGAGCGGCCACACCGTCTTCTCCACCGTCCTGCCCGAGAACCGCTCCAGCAGCGCCGCGATCTCGTTGTACGAGATGCGGTCACTCACAAAATTCAGCGTGCGGTTTGCGGAGATCGCGGGGTGCTGGACGGTCGCCACGAGGAAGGTGGCGAGGTCGTCGATGTGCGTGAAGTCGACCTGCGCGTCCGCGTCCCCCAGGATGTGCAGGGGGTATTCCATACTCGCTGGGGTAGAAGCGTTCAACGCCTGCGTGGGCCGCGGCGTCCTGGACGGTTCGTTGCGCGGCCAGCGCTTTGCCGTTCAGGGCGCTGATCACAATCTCGACGCCAGTCAGATGGGGGGTGAGATCGTCGGCTGTGGCGAAAAGAAGGTAGACGACTGCAGTCGACAGACGTTGACTCTGGTCGGGTGTGAAGCTCTTGGCTTGATCGCGTGCGGAGGATTCGGATTGCGGTGCGACGATCTGAAGGACATGATGAGGAGTAGTGGTGAGGAGGGCGCCTAGGATTGCTTGGCCGATCTGGCCGGTTGACCGAGGAGAGCGATCTTCACCCTGGATGCGAAAACTAAAGTAAGACTCTAGTAAGTCATCTATCTACACTTGGTGATAATCGCTAGTGGTTGATGCGTTTATGTGTTGATGTGCGTATAGGGTAACATCACGGCTACGTCATGTTGATAGTGTCAGTCATTCAGTTGGACTACATCGACTTATCAGAAGGGAATAAACAAAGGCATGAATGGTATGTTCTAGCGTGCGAGACCGGTTCTAACTGATCACGCAAGCAGAGCTCAATCAAAATACAATATAACCAGCATAGGGGGTAGTATCGTTCTCTCATTCATAACAGTTCATAATTCGACCCGAAGGTCACCTCAATACAGAATCTTCAACTCCCACAATGGTAACTTCGGATCGAATTTATCCCAGACAATTTTGTTCTTTTCACTCAGATGCGCCCCCTCGTTTGTGATGGGTATCAAGGGATCAGTATCCACAACCTCTTGCTGACTGAAGCCCCATCGGTCCCGTGGAATCCATACCGTTGGCGTTCGGGAGGTGATGCATGGCTCAAAATACGCGTTGTTTTGCTCCGCCTCCGAGTATCGGATTTCCACGTGGTCGCGTGGTACTTTGCCCCGGATGGCGGCGTAGTCACGGTAGAGGTTGGGGTGAAACCATCGCCAAACGGATTGCCATTTGCTTTTGAGGTGCAGATGTGGGAGACCCGTGTCAAGAGGTGTAGACGCTGCGGAAGCCTCTTCTTTGGCGAGTTGAGCGGATTCTTCCACGTCGAGAGTGCGGGGAAGGAAGGAGTTCAAGGGGGCAAGGGCTTCATTGAGGGACATGTGGGCGAGAACGGTGAGGATCAAGTAAATTACCATGATGATCAGGGGCCCGATGGCGCCTTTGATGGCGAAGAGACCGATCATACAGATGTCTGCCAGGTAGAGGCCAGTCATCAGGTGTTGAAGGGCTCGTGGGTAGACGAGACCCTTGGTGTCGATGCGGAGATCGTACACAAAGAGGAAGTTGTACCGGTAGGCTTGGTAGACGAGGTAAAGACCGACGAATGCGAACCCGAGGATCAAGGGGGCAATGCAGGAGTATGTCAGAGCTAAATTTTGGCGGTTGTTAGCTAGTCGCATATCGGACTGGGCGGAACAACATACCTATCACGCCCATGTTCGTGAAAACAGGAAAGACATTTCCCCAGCTGAGACCACTCAGTGTCGCCCATCGCCGGTACAGTCGGCGTGGTGTGCGGTCAAGGAAGGTCGTGATAAATTTGAACACAACTGCTCCAGCGACTTGCACTACCGCCATAGAGCTCATGGTCAGGCCCTGTAGAAGAAAGTATGAGATGTAGAAATTGGTAGCCTTGGGTAAGTTCTGAGCCAGAAGGTCTTTGGCTGACAGCGGGTTTTTAATGATCTGCGCAGTCGCCGCGGATGCGGCAGATGTCAAGGTAGTGACAAGAAATACTTGGACCACTTGGAAGCAGAAATGTGCACTTTGGGTGAAAAGCTCAACACGAGCATCCGAGGGCACACCTGCGCATCTGGCACATGCTGTATACTTCGTTACAAACCGGTCTCACAAAAAGTAGGATGAACCATACCTCGACAGATAACAGGGACTAATGACATTAGCATCGAAAGAGCAGCAGACGGCAACAGCCCCGAGATGAGGCCGATAATCACATCTGGTAAGTCATTCAGAAATCCCAGAAATGGCACAAGGTCGGTAAGAGAACTGATGTTCGAAAGTGTGCCAACCAAGGCGGATGGGATAGACCAAAATATGACCAGAGCTGCAAGACCGCCTTGAACCAAGAACCTGCGCCCGATACGCTGCCACCAGCTAAGATTCAATGCTGACCAAACGACCTCATTGGGAGAGATACCGATGAAGCGCGGGGTCATATGCAATGGCTGATGATGCGACAGCGTTTGTAGGGCGATTTGCGCATCATTCTGTGTGTGAAACTCAATGAAGACCGCGGATAGATTCTTCATCTCTCCATTTCTATGTTTCTTCTGAAGATCGTCGACCTCTTCAATGACCTTGACAAGCTCGGTTCGCAACCAACGAATCGTATCAACCTTCTTGCCACAAAGCTTGGGGCGATGAGTTGGCCTTCGCACACCATGATACCAGCCCGATGCGTCCGCTTCACAATCATGACAGGCATCAGCCTCTAAGCAGGACTTGGACGGCGAAGCTCCTTTTCTGATGGCCTTAAGACGAGCTGAATTCGCTGCCCGGATAAGCTTGGTTTCAGCGCTTTCGAGCTTATAAGCTAGCTTGTCTCTTTTCTGAGCCTTGTCGTCCAACTTTTTACAGTCGGAAGTAATCCACATTCGCCGGATTGATTGTCCAAAGACCTGTCGCAGTGTCTCCTCATTCTTATATTCCTCGGGCACCGACATGAAAAGCACCGTTCTGGACGATATACGACGCGCATACGCAGGGGAATTCAAGTACGCCTGTCGCAAGTTGGCGTAAAACACGCTCTCTCGCGTGATAACAAAGAAAACAAATGCTTTAAACTGTAAGCGACGTTCAGAAGTACTCTGAGAAGATCACCTCACTGAAGAATATGCATGCCATGACGGCATGAGCGTAATAACGCTTAGGATCCGTGACGTTGCTGAAACTCAGCGCGTCCAGTTGGGTATTCCCCGCACCTCCGGTGGCATGTATAGGCAGCAGGATAGGCCAAGTGATCACACATCCAGTGAAACATGTCGCAGACAGAACACGCAGAAATCGCAAGAACAGATAGCCGTCCAGAGACGAGTTATGCAGCACCTGAGCATCATTGATCCTAAAGAACTCTCCGAACCAATTGACAAAGCCTGATGGCAAACGTGGGGCTCGCTCACTACGGAAGTTCTAAGTAAGTCGTCGTGACCGCAGATGAGCTTGGGATGGATGCTACGTACTGTTTATGCCAGCAAGGCAGATGAGTTCTGGGTGCATACCACCGCAGTTGAGTTCGCCGACAGATCAGAAACAAGCCGAACCAGAAGGCCGCGATCACCAAGGCAGGGATCAAAGTTGTTAGAAATGCTGAAAGGGAAGTTGAGCCCCCACCAAGTCCGAAATCTCCTATTACATCGGAACTTGTCGAGGAGGCGTTGCCCCGCGAGGAGCCAACGTTAGGATCATTGTCAGAGCTCTGATAAATCAATCAGCACGGAGCCTACGGAATACATATGGCATGGGCTCACGAGAATGTTATTCCGCTTCACAAGCGGATCAAGCACGGCTCGAAGAGCCATGTCACTTGGCTATACAGCTAGCTTTTTGTAGATTGCCGGTAGGAAAAGAAAGGGCCAAAGGTTAAAACTGCTCGAGATATATGCAGCCTCCAGAGGACAATCGCATTTGCCCCTAAAGCCACCACCACAACAAGCTTTCAAATTCCGGGTCGTGTCCCACGTATTTGAGTGGCAGGCATGTCGAACCTGTCACTCGAGGCACAAGCCACGCAAAAGTACAGTACATAGCCTGGAAGGGCTGAAGCTGCAAAGCATGCAGACTAGCGCGATGTGACTCGAGAAGTGGTAGACTGGCCAATGAGAGTGGCAGGAATGTGGATGGTCGCGTATCGGTGTTGATTGTGGGTTCTTGGTGGGTATCAGCTGTGGTTCGCTTATCTGCTATGCCGTTGATCAGAAGCACGAGATGGCACACTCAAAATCACATTTCAGGGAACCAAGTCCACAATTGCAGTAAGAATCGACCATCTTGACATGGAACTGTGCGATCAGCGGGATTTGGTCGTGGAAGAGCGCAAGATGAGATACCGAAGAGCAGCGCACAGCAGGCCATCAGCTGAGCCAACATGCAGACCATGCATGAGATCACCCGTAGCAAGGACGTTCCTGTAGTGGTTGGCGATTCTCAATGGTTCCTGATCCTTCGGACAAGCAATGTGGAATCAATAGAGGATGGGGCGCTGCCGATCGGCGGATTTAGCTGATCAGCCCGGCCGGAGCTTCTGCCGGCAAGGGATGGCTGCCTTGAGCACTCCCTTTCGCTGTACCGCGAGAGTCGATGGAAAAGTTGCACCGTAGCATATTTTGTTGCTTCATCAATAATTCTTCAAGAACTTGACTCAGAATGCTGCACGTAACGGATTTGCAACCTGGTGGACTTGCCTCTAATATCGCATCCATTTCTTTGCTAGGCAGGTGCTGCAAGGTGACAGCTCAGGCGCTTGCCTGTGGGACATCCACGCAATCATTTCCAGAGTTGGAAGAGGGGTTGACGAATGAACAACGGCCCCACACGGAGCATTGATGTAAAGTTCTAGAGAAATGTTTATAAAGAAGAGGGTCTAGGATAAAGAGCAAGATGAACAATTGATTGTTGCGGGAAGAGTAGATCCGGAATATGTGGAGGGGAAACTCGGGAGTGCCAGATTAACAGGCTTACCATGTATGGTTAGATGGTTACCCTGCAGTAAGTGTTCACCCAGGAACCCCGTATGGGTATGAGGAGCATCTCGAAACACTGAAGACATTTGGTTGGATACAATGGAAACCTAGAACCGAGGTTCGAATTAGTGTCGGTACAACACCTCATACCACAAAAGCTTGTGCCAGATTTAGCATTGCATAACTACGTTATGCTGTGAATGGAGCTTCTGGAGTTGGGAGCTGAGGAAACTGACACGCTCGGGGGCTCTCAATCAATTGAAGTGATAGAATGTGTGGAGGCTAGCCCAAATTTTGGAGAGGTCTCTTTTCAAGGAGATAATGGCCAATAGATAAAGGTGTGGCAATGCGCAAGAAAGGGGCTTAAGGAGATATACCAACTCAGGGACACACATTATTATCTTTATCATGAAGCACCCGCAGCAGGTCCAAGTATGGGTAAGCGAGGAACAGCTGCCCTAAATTCCTGGAGAAGATGACATTAATCTGGTCTTAGAAGCATATTGAATAAGGTTCGACTTGTCACTGAACTCGATAAACGTAGGCGCTTTAGACCCCGGGGGTCGTTTCTGTTGTAGACAGGCCGGCTCGCAAGAGGGTCGACAAAGCGACTCATTGATTGTTGAATGTGTTTGGAGTTTTGGCCTAGTCTCAAGATTGACGTCTTCAGATCCAGCTGGGCTGATCGTGGGCCGATGTGACTACATGCTGGTTAGGCTAGGAATTGAGCCAAGCTCTAAACAGTAGTAAACCATACTAACTCTCGGGCCGAAGCGAGTCTTTGTAGATATACTGACTGTGAAGTTCCTCATAGTGACTGCAGGGCTGTTTGGCACTGCACTTGGATTTTCGCCTTTCTTATAGTGCACTAGGAGAGGTCAGTGGCCACAATTGTTCAAGGGTACAGCAAGGCCTACCAGGCCATTCGTGCATTTTTCTCCCGTCTGCTAAAGGCCTATTCAGGTCACGAACCTGAAGAGTGAAAGATAGAAGACTGAAGGTCGAGGAAGTCTTGAGAAGATAGTAGGCTCCTAAGTGAACGGTCCGCAGCAAGGTGAGACCTTCCCCGCAGCCTCGATACGACGACCCTTGGCAACACCTCCCAAAAGCTCAAAGAAAAGAAGTCATCAAGATCACTTGCTCTTTTAGCAGCTATGCTTTTCTGAAAAGCCTCCGAGTTCCGTCGAGCGCTTGAGGTGAGAACCGAATTGAAGATAAAATCCCTTGTCTGCGGATCTAAATGTGACGCTCAAAACCTATATTCAGGACAGGGCTTTCTTTTGCGTCCAGGTCTTGCTTTGTTTTTTTCTACCCTTACGTGAGATCTTGGGCGTTTTGCATGATGCATTCAAATTTTTCCATTCTTACTTCTAGGACCTCATTGCTGAACCGGACACGAGCGACTCCAATAGGTGCCATGGATAGGGGTGATGGCTTGAAATACAATCACATTACGGAGTAACTACATGACATCCAGACTACGGTACTACATGAGCAAACTCGAGTCCAATCAAAATCTGTGATTAAGGTGGAGAGTGTAGATTGAGTTGGAGTGAGACCCACATTAAGCGAAAACGAATCCGATATACGATTTCCTCTTTGGGAAGTGTAGTATGCCGACGGATTCGCTCACTCGGTATAAAGCTCGCCTGGCAGCATTCAGACTTCTAGGAGTTTCTCAGCTACAAGTATCTCAGCACTATCTAGCAACCCTCTTAGAAGTTCTACAGAATTATCTACACCATGACTGGCACGTCGAACTGCACCGAGGTCACACCGCAATGCCCCGTCTCGGCGACCACTTACGGGTACCGGCCCAACCTGGGAGGCAATTGCTTGTTGGCAGCCATCTTTGGGCTCTGCACGGTATATCAACTGGTTGCAGGCATCAGGTCTCGCCAGAAGTTGTTCGCCATTGCTCTCACGGTTGGCTGTGTGATGGAGCTGATCGGATACACGGGGAGAATCAAAATGCATAAAAACCCGTGGGACAGTGGTGGCTTTGAGACGCAAATCATCTGCTTGATCCTTGCTCCATCTTTCGTGGCTGCTGGGATCTATTGGTCCCTGAAGCATATTGTCATGGTTCTCGCCCCCGAAAAATCGCTGCTTCGGCCTGATCTGTACCCATGGATCTTTGTTGGCTGCGACATCGGCTCTATCCTACTTCAAGCAGCTGGGGGTGGTGTTGCCGGAGCAGCGAAATCAAACAACCCAAAGCTCCTTAATGCAGGCAATAACATCATGATTGCAGGTATTGCATTTCAGGTCGCAACGATGGCAGCATGTGGTGTGCTAGCGGCCATATTTGTCGTTCGTCTGGTCAGAGAAGGCCGCCCGGAAGAAGTGCTCCGAGATGAGAAGATGTCCCCAAGAGAGACTCGGTTGTTCAAATAATTTTGCTTCGGGGAGGTCCTTGCTTACGTTACAGTGCTCATTCGTTGCATCTATCGGTATGTTGCCTGATAACAGCCCAGCAGGTTGACATATAGCTAATATCGGATGGCTTAGACTTCCCGAGATGGCTGGAGGCTGGGGCAATCCCCTGATGCAGAACGAAAAGGAATTTATGATCTTGGATGGCGCGTGAGTAGAGACTGGTGTTTCCTTGATCAAACTGAAACTGGCTAACATTGCTGTCTGTGGACGTATAGCATGGTCGCAATCGCTGTCATTACCCTCACGGTCCTCCATCCCCTTTACACCTGCCGTTTCTTAAGAAGATGAACAATCAACATCTCTATACTCAATCGAGCAAGCAGGCTAGCATGTTGGAAAGCGCACACTGGATTGACGACAGATGCTGAGCCTCATTTCGACTCGCTCCACGTCTGCCGCATGCTCTTGATAGTGTATATACCTTCACTCTGGACTTTTGGTGCACTTGTCCCGGTTGATTGCGAGACTTTGAGCTTCGGAGGCTCCATTATATGGTGGCAATTAGAATGATTTAATTCGTGTTTATAGTTTGTCTCAAGTTATTGACTTTCTCATGCTTTTGGAGCTGCATTTTCCACTGGGCATTGGGCCTGTACTGTACTGGGCGGAATTAGGGGTGCTTCCAATCAAAAGGCTCGGGAAGAACCATGTTCGGGAAAGTGGGACAGTACCGTGGACCGTACTAGGTGGGCCGGGTACAGTGCAGTGCAGTGCTACAGTCCGGTACTTGGCGCGCCGGCCGTTCTTAGAAACCCCGTTCGTTTCCTGCGCCTGAGAAAATCATTCTCCCAAACCAACCCCTTCATCACGACTCTAATAAGGCCCCGTCATGACCACTAAAGCCCCGGGGCAGATACAGTTGTTGCATCATGGAGCAAATCATTAGTAAGTCTGCCAGGTAACGCGAAATCGGGCACCTAGCCAGGCGCCTGCAATCCAAGCAATGTAGGTAGTAGTACTCATCTACACGCAGTGAACGGTCCGGCAACTCGCCGCACCCATACCAAATCCCGACGAGGCTGTTTCCAGTGCAAGCAACGCCATGTCAAGGTCTGCTGCTTCCTTCATACTCTATATATTCTTGCCTTCTCGACTAAAGTAGATAAGTGTGATGAAACGCGCCCGAATTGCAGCGCATGTGCGAGACGGTCGTTATCCTGCAGTTATCCTGCACCGAAACAATACAGAACCCCCTTGGCCAGCTTCGCCAAAGAAGAGAGAAGGAACACCGACCCTCACAAACGGAGTGCGATGGCCGAGGCGACTGCAGAATCACCAGCCGCGCGTCTTTCGAGATTAGATGAGATGCGACTTTTCTACCACTTCCTCACAATAACCTGCCGCACCTTGTCGAGGAACGAAGAAGATCATGCCTTCTGGTCCTCCACCGTGCCCCAGGCTGCAACATCGTACGCCCACGTGATGGATGCTCTATTGGCTCTGGCCGCCCTGCACATGGCCTCCAGCGACGCCACCGCCGAGCCCTCGAAGGACTGGCTGAAAACTGCTTTGGAGTATCACACGGCAGCCCTAACATTTCTACGTGGCAACTTATCTAGCAATGATACTGATCAGCCAGAGGACGCCGATGCATCGGCGATCTGTTCCGTCTGCATCTTAATCTTCACGACAGCATACCCCAACGTGTCCACGGATTGCCAGGACGAAGACTCACTGAATGAAATCCTGGAAATACGCATGATGCTCAAGGGTACTAGATACCTCTCACACTCGAATGGTAGCTTACACGATCAGTATAACAGCCACGGCAACAAGCCAAAAGACAGTCTTCAAGTTATAAATGAAGAGGAGGAGTTAGTATAACATGTAGTACTTTAATAATGTTGAATATGCTGAACTAATACATTTCCAGGGCTGACCAGAACTTGAGAGAGCTACACAGGTAAAACTCCTTTTACCGGCATACGAGAGTCTCTACGGTTTGTTCTGAGGCTAACATCTACAGGGAAATCATGGAGAGGCTTCGGGAGGTCCGGGCAGAAATAGACAGAAGCAATCACCCATATACACCGGTGCTTCGGGATACATACCAGCTTCTTGAAGAAGCTATAGGTGCCTGGCCCGCGAACATTGGAAGTATACGGTGGACACTGGAGATCAGTGATGAGTATCTTGACCTTCTGAGAGAGGGCGACTGGCTTGCGCGAGTTCTCCTGCTGCTCCATGGCCTAGGGATGCATCTAAGCTCTAGGCGATGGTGTACCAGGAACTCAGGGAAACGTCTAGTGAGGTCTATACTAACAGCCGTGAGGGCTGTTCCTGCGCAATGGGTGAATCTCATAACGTGGGTAGAACGATGCTTGGATATATAATACTGGCTGCTTACAGATGTACTTATCATAACGTGTATCGTTCGAGGCCGATCCCCAGGCATGATTTTCCCTGCGTCCTCTTCGGGCTATTATGCCTGGGCTTTAGAATCTTCGACAGAAGTATGAGAAAGATGGTATGCTGTTTACAGCTTTGGTCGGCCGAAACAAGAGGGTCAGTCGTCAGCTCAGGTCTCAAAGCTATACATCAATACACCGCACGGATGCCATACTCGTTGCGCCCATACACTGCAAGATGCTCCGGGATCTCGAGAATGTCAGTCCATACAAATTCCACAAAAGAGAGCGTGAGCTCATACACTATCACGCAAAAGAAAGCCCCCAAACTGCAGAACCTGCCAAACGCCCTCCGGATCATACTTGTCCGCCACCGCCCGCATCCGCCTCACATTCTCCGCCCCATAACTCGCCAGCACCTCCTGCCCCGCCCCCGCAAAGTTCATGCACTTGAAATCCAGAAACACCCCGCCTTTCCGCGCCAGAGCCTCTACCATCTCCGCCATTGTCCGCACCGCCCGGTGGGCAGCAGCGTCAACATCGACCCCAGCATCCCGCGACCACTCACCCGTGAAAACCCACCAGCACTGCGGCGCCTCCTCCAGCCCCATGATATTCCCGCCCCGGTTCCTCCCCGCCTGCACGCCCGCCGTGCCCATGGGCTGGATCGTGTAGTGCAGCACACAGCCCACGGGAAGCGTCGCGCGCAACTGGATCCAGCACTGATAGACCCGGTCGTAAAGATCGTGCGAGACCCGCGTGGTCACGGAGCTGATCGCTCGTTTCCCCGGGAGATCCTGGGCATGGCCCATGGCTTCCGCGAGCGAGAGGAGCGTGCCAGTTGTGGTGGGCAGCGCCGTCCCCGTCTTCCGGGGGTGGAGGTCGTGGAAGGGCGCAAAGGCGGACGCGGACGGTGATGATGCACCCGCGTGGCCGGCGTAGAACATGCCGACGGCGACGACGCCATCGTTGAAGTTCGTGAACAGTCCTATCTTGGGGTCGTCCTCCATAGCCATCTGCACGGCTGCTGTAGCCCCATTGATTGCCGTATAGTCATCTGGGTTGTAGAGATCGATCGTATACTGAACAGGGGTGAGCGGATGCGTCTCGAGGTCGAACCGCGTCACGATGCCGAAATTGGTGCCTCCGCCTTTGAGGGCCTGGTAGAGGTCGGGGTTTTCGTGGGCGTTAGCATCGACGACTCGGCCATCCGCCAACAGAACCTGGGTCACGCATTCTCAGTGCATCAGTTCCTGAAGATCTGGAGTGAGGGAGGCAGGCTACGCACCTCGTAATTCCGGACCCCATCGGCCCCCGTCCCATACAGATTCGGCAACGCCCCCATCCCGCCTACAGCCCCAAGCTACAGTATCAGCATCCCACTCTCTCCTCCACACATCTGGACCCCTTCAGAAACTTGGAAAGAGAAACCAACCTCCAAGAACAAACCCCCCCACCCCAACCTGCACCTGCCTTGCCCCCACAGCCTCTAGCCCCCGCGCCTCCAACCACCCATACACCTCGCCCCAGGTGCAGCCTGCCCCGACCCGCGCGACCCCATCCGCTGTGACCTCCATCTCCCGGAATCGGCTGATATCCAGGACGAGCGCCGACTCATCGGCGCTGCTGAACCCGGCGTTGGGGTTGTGGCCCGTCGCGCGGAGGGCGAATTTCGTGTGGGTTTGTGTGAGGATCGCCAGGGCTTGGGCGAGCTCGGCGACGGTTCTTGGGTAGATGTAGCCCGCGGCGTGGGTCCAGCAGGTTTGGGACCAGGGGGTGGTTACTGCGGCGTGGTAGTGGGGGGTGAGGGCGGGGGTTATTAGTCTATCCTGGAGGAGGGGGCTGAGGTGCGTGAGGGCGACTTTCGTGTTCGGTTTGGTGGTGGCGGTGGTCGGCATGGTGTGTAATGCTCGTGGTTGAGGGGAAGAGGATGAGTTGGGGTTGGTGGAGGCTTGTATACTCCCTTGGGGGGGGGGAGGGCGTAGGGAGTATTTATGGGATTCGATGGGTAAGCACTAGGCTGGCATTGAGTGTCATTTGTAGTGGATAACGATAGCCTGTCGGTAGTATGTTCTCGTCAGTCTCAACTGGTACTATGGTTGCTAGGAAAGGTATGAAGTAATGTCTACCTATCAATCTTCGATCTATTATGGTGGTTTTCTGGTTACAATATACTCTGCACTGTCAGCCCTAAGTCCAGCGCCCAGATCCATAATCCACTCTGTATCCACATCGATACACGGTGTGGCCAATCACGAATACACACTAGCTGTCAGTTCGCGGCCCCACAGGAAGAATAGGAGGCGCCGGTCGTTGCTCCTTATGAACGCATTTATTATTGCCTCGCGCTCCGGAAACACGGGGGTAATGTATAAGTGACTTAAAACGATGAAACTTTGATGATCCAAATTATCAGATACGGAGCTTGGCCTATGGCAAGAACAGAAGTAGTGCTACATACACTCACACCGAGCCACGATCCGACTCCGGAATCGACCGCAGCGAACTATGACTCGCTTTTGCCGAGTAAGGCTGCATCGCCACCAGATCCTGCCTCGACTCACTCCCCTCACTCGGTCCTAGCACTGTCTGACCAGGAGCAGGGGGAGGCCGGGGAGGCCCCACCCGCCGCGCCAGCTCGTAATGCCGCATCCCGAGGCTCAGCAACCCGGCGACGCCGCTCATCGCGCAGCAAAAGGCCCACACCACGCGCAGACTATCCACGAACACCGTACGGATCTGGTGTTTTGTCTCGGGGTCGGGGATCTGATCGATGAGACTCACGAGCGCGACCGGGTCCAGGTGGTTGTTTGTCACCGTGGTGGTGTGCGTGCGAATGGCCTCGAGAACCGCGTCGGCCAACGTGTGGGCACGCGCGCGGTTCGCAAAGATGGTGCCGCCTAGCGCCACGCCTAGCGTCTGGCCGAGGGCGCGGAAGAATGTGAACATCGTGGCGGCGGCGGCGGTCTGGGTCGGGCTTGGTGCGGCGGCTAGCACAGCCAGGTTGAGGGCAGAGAACAGCATTCCCAGGCCTAGGCCAATGACGATGAGACACACGATCCAGAGGGCGTTGGTGGTGTTCACGTGTACGAGGCAGGTGAGTCCCAGACCGAGGGTCGTGGCGAGCCAGCCGGCCCAGACCAGGTCCCGGTATCGGCCCATTCGACTGATCAAAATCCCCGTCGCCATGGCACCGGGGACGACGGTGAAGGTTACGGGGAAGAGGGCGACGCCGGAAATGATTGGCGTGTAGCCCTTGACAGCCTGAAAATAGAAGGGCAGGTAATACAGGCCACAGGAGAGGATCAGGCCGTGGGTCATGGTGCCGATGTAGCCGGCGAGGAGAGACCGGGTGCGGAAGAGGGCTAGCGAGATGACGGGGTTGGCCGGCACGTACAAGCCCTCGTATGCCACGAAGCAGACCAGCGTCGCGACACCGATGAGCAAGGGTGTGAGTGTGTGCCACGAGCTCCAGGCGTACATCACGCCTCCCCACGTCACGGGGATTAGTACGGCGGTGATACCCCCGGTGAAGAGCAGGATACCTCCAAAGTCAGTATCGCCCAGCTTGTGTCGCAAATAGACCGGCAGGGGCTGCAGTCGTGTAAAGAGGGTCATCAGAATGAGTCCCAGAGCGATGAGAGGAAGGTTGATGTAGAACAGCCATCGCTACGAGCAATTAGTCTCCTGGTGTTGAGAAGCATACATTTGGGACAGCTAGGGCGAATGCACATACCCAATTTACCTCTTGCGCGAAGGCAGCTCCGACTACCGGACCAGATGTCGAGCCAATGGCCCACACTGAGTTGAGGCCGGCCAGATATCGTCCTCGCAGCCGCAACGGCACCAGGTCGGTCAGGATGACTTCGGAGAGATTAGTGATTCCTCCGGCTCCCAGACCTTGAATACTACGGCCAACAAGCAAGGTCGTGGCGGTCGATGCCCGACTCGCCGTCACAGTTCCCGCAGTGAAGGATGCGATCGCAATCAGCATCATCGGCTTACGACCGACGATGCTGGATAGGGAGCCATATACAGGCTGGAAGGCTGTCACTACTGTCAGTGTCACGGCCATCACGGAGTTCGATCCACTCACTAGTCGAGCATATCAGAGACGAGGTTCCTACCCAGAAAGCTTGAACGGAAGTCAGTCCGAGATCATGCGAGATGGTCTAGAGTGACAGTGAGTGAGTGCTGCAGATTGTGTAGACCGGGGTTTTACTTACCGGCAAGGCGGACGACAACGAGGTAACATTCAGGATGACCGCCAACATCAACAAAGACAGGGCCAGGAGGGTAAGGGGAAGGCGAAGCGCAAAATCGACTTCAGGAGGAGCCCAACCATCACGGCCTGCCTCAGAGTCCGTACCTGCAGGGCCGCTAGACATGGCTGTGATGTTCCTGCAGCTTAATGAAAGGCTTTTCTGGCTTGTTGAATGCTATTTGATTGAGGGGGCCGAAAGGTAGAACATGTTTTGGTAATCGTTGCTTTTTCCAGGTGACCCCCTTGCATGAGCCGCTCCCCCCATCCGAAAGGCACTATGAAAAATGGTTGGCGATCATTGACAAGGATCACCTAACACGAGTCAATTGGCTTCAATATAAATGAACAGGTCGTGGAACTCACCCAGCGTAGTCCTGAGCCCAGCTGAGCAAGGCTAATCTCCTCCCCCTTTCTCTCTTTCCCTTTCGTGCTTTGCATCTCCTTCATCCTTCTAGCCACCTCACACCATGGAACCGCTATATGCCTCCAGCTGCCACGGCCAGTTCGATGCCATCTCGTGCAGGTTGTTGGTTAAATCTGGCACCTTCGGGCCAACACTGTTGGTCGGGTTAACCGTCTTCTGTGCCCTTCTCACTCAATTCGTTTTCACTCCCCAACGACTCAGGAGCATCTACGGAACCAAGTTTGCCGCCCTCACCCCCGCAGAGCAGCGCCGCGTAGGGGTCCTGCACGTGGGAATCGTGATGAAAGTATGGGCTTTCGTGTTTCTAGCAATCCCCAGCTATCGGATCCTCGTCCAGGGGCAGTATTGGGATGAACGGGGCTTGGTGCCGGGACTGACGCTGGCCGATATGGGCACCACCTCGGTGATGGCTTTCGGGGCGCTCAGCCTCTTCGACCTGGTATACAGCGAGAATCTGCGACCGATCTACTTGCTGCATCACCTGGGGACACTTGCCTTTCTTCACGGTTACTTGTACATGGTCATGAGCCTTCCCGCGGCCCCGGAGAAGACCGCCGAGGGTCTGGAGCGGCTGGTGCTTCTCGTCGAGATCTGTTTGACCTGGGGTACGTTCCTTTCTGTGTGTATGCAAGTGCTGTAGCCTCCGGAACGAGATGCTAAATCCTTCAATCGTGGTGTAGTTCTCTTCTCTAGCATCGGCAGCACCATCTCGCGCCTCACCTACCTCATCCGTCAGCTCGGCCCTTCGTCCTGGTCCCGTCATTTGCACCGGGTGTTCCTCACCGGACTCGCCATCTACAGTTTCCTCTCGACCCTCGAAGTGGTCGTGATTGCGTATCTCATGTTCACCAACCGCGACCGGCTGTCGAGCGCAGCACCCGCCGTGGTGGGCCTTTTTCAGGTCGTCTTCACCGCGACGAGGATCAAAACTGCCCAAGGTATTCGAAGCGTTTGTCGACGCCAGGCGCAAGAGGTTGCTGCCGCCGATGGCAAGCACCGAGCTGCTGCTCCTGCTCCTGCTGCTGTTGTTGCTGCCACGGCAATCGTCGACCTCGCATCTGACTACTGTGGCAGCAAGAAGACGGAGAAGAGCAGGGACTTTTCCGTCTTGCGCGCCGGGACGATGAAGCTCAAGTAATTGAAATAGTGGTGTCTCTGCATGGGTTGATCGGCCATCGATTTGTTGATCGGTGAGGGTATGGCGCAAGGGAAGGGAGGGAGAGCTTATGGAATAGTCCGGTCGTGGAGGTTTAATCTCGCGAGGAGGAGACACTGATCCACAAAACACACCCAGGACGAAAGAATGATGCTTTATCAGGAAATGTGAATGAGAGGTCTGTGCGTAGTGCAATCAGGGAGTGTAGCCAGTTAATTCATGGGTACCCCGCTTGTGAGGGGCTAGACTGTTCGTGGTGGGGAAGAAAGGAATGGAGATAGACGTAGATAGGTTGGAAGCCAGCCAAGACAAACAATACAACAATCAGCGACCTGCAGATGCACAGTGCAGAGTACATACCACCTAACTTAACTTACCAGTTATGATGCCATCACTCTCAATCCTCGTCTCTGAATGGTCCCACCAGAAACCGATACAGGTCAGAACTCATGCCGAACGTCCCCATTCTGTGCCGATCTCGGTCAAGGACTGGACAATCACTTTGTGAAGCTAGGTGCGTATGTCTCCGCCGTCTATTAATAGGCTGAAGAATCCCCAATTAACTTAATCTCGACATGTCAGACCCTAAAGTCCCCTACCTCAACACCCCTCGCTTCCCTTCCCCGTCGTTGCCTCTATCCATGTCTTGCCTTTGTTCTTCACCCTCAACCGGACAAGATCGACCTCATACCATCGACAATGGCACCCAAGACCTCAACCAACGCCGCTAGATTACGACAGCTCCTTGCCCGACCGGGCCCAGTACTCCTGGTTGGCGCGCACGATGCGCTCTCCGCACGTATTGCCGAGCGTGCAGGCTTCGATGCCATCTGGGCCAGCGGCTTCGGCATCTCCGCGACCCACGCCCTGCCGGACGCGAACATCCTGACCATGAGCGAGACGCTGGAGGCGGCGCAACGCATGGCCGAGGCCGTCACCTGCCCTGTCGTCGCGGACTGCGACAACGGGTTCGGCAACGCAATCAACGTGATGCGCACCGTCACCCAGTGCGAGCGCGCGGGCTTAGCGGGGGTATGCATCGAGGACAACATCTTCCCGAAACGCTGCAGCTTCTACGAGGGGGTGCAGCGGGAGCTGACAGCGCCGCACGAGCATGCGCTCAAGATACAGGCCGCCGTGGACGCGCGAACGGATCCCGACTTCGTGGTCATCGCCCGCACGGAGGCGTTCATTGCGGGGCGGACGAAGGATGAGGCCCTGGAGCGTGCGCGGGCGTACGCCGACGCGGGCGCCGACGCTGTACTCGTACATTCCAAGTCGGATTCGTTCGAGGAGTTGAGGGAGTTCGCGGCTGCGTGGGACCGCTCGTCGTCTTGCGTGCTCGTTGCGGTTCCGACGACTTATGAGGGTACCTCGGCGGATGAGTTGTTTGCGGCCGGGTTCAAAGTGGTTATCTTCGCGAATCAGGCGCTTCGAGCTGCTGTGAGGGCTATGCAGGACGCGATGGTGGTGCTTCAGAGAGAGGCGCGTCCGGCTGCTGTGCGGGACTCGATCGCGTCTTTGTCGGAGATCTATGGGCTCGTTGGGGTTAAAGAGCTGAAGGAAAGCGAGGAGCGATTTCTACCGCGGCCTGATCCTTCCCCAGTAGCGAATCGCGACGAGAACAATCATCATGGGGAGCCGGTAGGCGATGGAATTCAGGTGACTTCAAAGCTTTGAGTCTCTATTTTGCACATTATCGAACTTGAGCGAGGTCCCTCCTTCGATGTCTTTGGTACCTACCTTACTAGATCAATTGGCCCCTTAGGTCCAGCTAGATTCAGAGAACTGACACGGCTCTTACGAGTATATTTGAGTTTCAATGGATGAACCAGACTGTAGGGGTTGTAGTGTGTGGCTCCCTACTTGACAAGCAGGTAGTCGCGGCTTGACCTATGTAGAATGGAGAGAGGCTAAACAGACGGCCTCTCTCTTCCAGCGAACTGCGGATTATGTCCCTGAAAAAGAGCAAATTTGTCGCTGACAGACGTAGGTGCTGTATTATGGTGATGAGAAAGTCACCTCGTATACTGTTCCTGAGAAGCTCTGACCGTATGAGTATCCCATAACAGGAAAAGCTTTTCTTGCAAAATAACACCGAATAGCACCGGATAAGCCTCTAGACGAAGAAATTATCTGCAAACCAGTCAAGCTTCCACAAATCAGCTCGTAGGCTAGTGTGGTGCAATTGATGATGGTCTTATCTCGATGAGTAATTCAACACGAGGTTCGGCTGCAGCTCATTGTCTGCGTCGGCCCCGCACTGACTTCACTTGCATCATCATGCTACATGGCGGCTCTACCACAGAGCAAAGTGATTCTCCTGCTTGCATGAGTAGTCAATGGCATGGGTATTTAATCGTGCTAACCATAGATCAACGGCGATAACGTCTAGACAGGCAAGCGGAGGATCCGGAACCAACAGCGAGCCTCTCTACTAGCCGTATGCAGCATTGACTGCGGCATCTTCAGCCTCTCAGACTCCTGCCACATCTAGATGAATACGAGATATCATCTAGGATGTGAGGATGGTAATGAATGATATTTGCGACGCTTGTCTACCCCGCACAGACTTGTGGGAAGGATATAAGGAAGCAGTGGCACGTCGAGCGGCTATGCTTTCCGTTCGATGAACCCAGATCAGAAGGTCAATCTCCATTTACTTCACTTGTACCTTTCGCAGAAGAATCGGATTTTCTATCGCGATGGCCAAGATGTCCCTGCCTGCAACTTTCAAGCAAGCGGTATTCCACTCCGCCGGATCGTCGCTCATCATTGAAGAGAGCCCCCTCACACCGCCAGGCGACCGCCAGCTCCTTGTCAAGGTAGAGGCTTGTGGTGTTTGCTCGTCGGATCGATGGGCGCAAAATAATGTCATGGGTGGGGGCTTGTACGTATTTGCTTCAGCTTTCAGCTTCTCTTTTGTCCTGCATACAGACTGACTTGTCTGTATGTGAAGTCCCATCGTTCCTGGCCATGAGATTATCGGCCGCGTCGCTGGCCTCGGTAGCGGCGTCTCCAACTGGAAAGTCGGGGATCGGGTTGGTGGTGGCTGGCATGGGGGTCATGACGGTATCGAGCCTTCCCCTTAATAGCCATTGTCGGATCTTTTTAGCGTAAAACTCACTTCCTGCAGGTACCTGCAGAGCCTGTGACAAGGGCTTTTTCCAGATGTGCTCTGCCCAGCAGGTGAATGGGGAGACTAAGAACGGTGGCTGTTCGTTCACCCGCTTCGTCATCTGTTCTGTGGTTGTAGTTTTGAGCTGCTGACATCTATGATCAAGACGCTGAATACTGTCTTCTCAACGTCGAGGCTGCGGTCCGGGTGCCCGAGCACGTCTCCGCCGCGAAATACGCCCCCATTCTCTGCGCAGGCGTCACCGTCTTCAACTCTCTCCGTCATATGAATGTTACACCCGGGGAGATCGTTGCTGTGCAAGGACTGGGCGGGCTGGGTCATCTGGCCATTCAGTACGCGCGGAAGATGGGGTATCGAGTTGTAGCCATCTCGCGGGACTCGAAAAAGAAGAAACTGGTCCGGGAGCTCGGCGCGCACGAGTATATCGACGAGAGTCAGGTGAATGTGAGCGAGGAGTTGCAGCGGCTGGGTGGAGCCTCTTTGGTCATGTCGACTGCACCAAATGCGGCGATTATCAGTCCTTTGTTGAAGGGTTTGGGAGTCTTGGGAAAGTTGTTGATCTTGTCGGGTAAGTATGAAAGATATTATGGTTGAGCTGTTGTGCTGAGAACAAGGGGCTGACACAGGTCTTAGTGCCGGGTCCGGTCCCAGTGGACACTTCAATCATGGTGAGTTTGCTTCACTATATGGTTGGTACTGGATATTGATGCTGGCTTTGCTAGGTCGGTAAAGGACTTTCAGTGCAGGTTTGGCCGTCAGGTCATGCAACTGACAGCGAGGATGCTATTGCCTTCACCGAATTGCAGGATATCAATTGCATGGTGGAGGAGTTTCCGCTAGATAAGGCCAGTGAGGCCTATGGTAAGACCTGCTATTCATCTTTACGTGATTGACGAGGGCGCGTTCTATGTGGAAGATAAGTTTGCGAGGAAGGAATTCTCCGAGCTCAACTCCGTCGAGCCTGGTGCCTTCTCGACCATACCCTCTACACGCGATCTCCGACCCTCGAAAATTGCAATTCTCTCGATAAGCTGAGATCTTGAAGCAATACCATACTGACTCGTGTATTTCCCTGCACAGATGCCATGGTAAAAGGAACGGTCAGATTCCGCGCAGTTTTGACGATGAACTAGGCCCTCTACTGTATTCCTCTGAGCAGTAACAGGAACCAGCAGGAACCAGGTGCCTGGGCCAACATGTCCGAGGATCCACTCGGGTTTCAGTTTGAATCCTTGTGAGTATGATAGTCTTAACAAGCCCAGGAAGTGAAACGCTTGCTCGGATTGTCTTTCTTCTCTAAGGCGAAAAAGTACTTCACGAGTCAGTGACGTGCTCAGAATTAGCCGTGCGTTCGAAGAATGTTACAGACCAGATTTATTTCTCCATCAGTCAAGTAGCTTTGTATTCCTGGATGAGCTTCGGAGCTTTTCTGGAATCTCAAGGTCCGAGCACATCACATGGACATGACTACGACCTTCACGACATGAAGATTAACCGCATGGTACATTAAAGGCGAGGCTGTGAGAAAGGAGTAGTAGTTCAGGATCAGGGGTCAGCTTCGTACCACTCAGAGATCGGAGCTTGTCCGGTATCTAGTGCAGGACTGCGGAAGTTGTCCGTCGCCGGCGTCGATCTATCTCGGCACTTACTCGCAGATTGAGTGCCAGGATGGACCTGTAAGTGGGGCATAATCGCCGAAGTCACCATGTACGTATTTGTTGAGTTGTACCCGTGTGCGGACCTATACTCCAACAACATGCTGTCCAATGGAAGTTCCGGATCAAAGCTTCGCCAGAGGACTGAGGCCGGGCTCGCACAAGGTTCTAATAAAGGGAGATCATGAATGCCATTTCAAGGTTGGTTGAAAATATGAAATTGTGATATTGATTTGAGTGAGGGATGGGCTGCCCTGTCTTTTTTTAGGACGAATTGCTATCTTCCACGCTCTGGTGGAACTCTCTCTGAACCGTGATTGCATTCTTCGGCATCACTACCAGCTCTATCGTATCCTCTTCACTCTCCTCCGTGTGAGAGCCTTCGTGTACTTGGGTCACAATTGTATTTCCAGTCTCATGGGTTGTTCCGTGGGACAGATTGCCATTCGGTAGCCGGATCCATTGTTCATCATCAGCCGCGCTGACGCCGCGGGGTCTTCGGCCAACATTTTTCGAGCCGTACATGTTCGATCCGTATCCGTACTGTCGGTGAGGTGTCTTGGGGGCGGACGAGCTATTGCCAGTACGGCTGGTCATCTTCTGAGCGGCTGAGCGGAAGAGCCGGTAAATGATCGGGAGGTTGGCGCAGAGAATGCCTCCAAGGGATTCGAAAGCGGACAGGACAGCCAAGGGGACACCCTCCCCTGCGCATGATGTTAGTCAATTGGAAACACGCCATGTTTGAAGCCTGCAAATTGACTTACAGGTGATGTCACTAGAGTTCTGCGCAAAGACATAAGCTAGTCTGGCTGCACTGATGGCGCATGTGCTGGAGGTGAACCATGGAGTATTAGAGAAAAGCACCAGATATGAAGGTTACTGGACAGAAAAGCCTTACATGAAACCGATGGAGAATATGATGCACAATGCAATCTTTTTGGTAAGGGTCGTGCGGAGCCGGAGGATGACGGGGATTGGCAACGCGAAGATGAATATGTCCGTAACCATGTTGGAGCAGTTGATGTAGTATGACAGGGCCGAAGAATTAAAGCAGTGACCCTTCACAGACGGGTTCCAGAACGCAGCTAGCGGACGACAGAGCACTCCCATGAAAATCTCAATCGTTGTTATCCAAAGGCAAATGAAAATCGCGCATCCTATCACTGTTCTCGATAACCATTGCACAGGAAAAATGCGATAGTATAAGGCAAGGATACCAAGCTTAGTCGAAGCGAGGCCGACGTTGTAAAGGTGACTAGCAACATACTCCCCCTATTTAGGTTAATCCTTTGCTCGAACCAACCTGGGTTCATTGTACTGTACCTTTAAGAAGATTTCCAGGTCCTTCACTGAGACGGTGGAGGTATGTTTGCCGAATCCATGACCCAAACCTAGGGCTTTCAGTCATTATTCTTGCGTTTTATGATGCTACTTGCGTCACCTACCACAAGCCATCATTGTCACTGAATATGCCACTTCCAATGTCTAATCCTCAGAAAGAAAACTGTCAGCTTCCATTGCGAAATGGCCCCCATTGGAAGAGATAACTCACGGTTGCAAGCATTATCAAGTAGTCATCCATATGGAAGTTATCATCCTGACCTCTAGTCTTGACCAGCAACCTCATTCCCGTGGTCAACAGCATCCCGGCCATCGGTACGACATAACCCACGATCACCAGAGCCTCTCTCGAGGCGGACTGTTCCGAGCTGGCCATGATGGCGAATGAGTTTCTTGGAAAGAGGCATCAGTCGACTTGAATTTGCATCGAGGTGTTGGCTTGATATTATCAGGGAGAGATGCAATGTTTTGATTCTTTGTCTGCAGCCTGCCATATCTGGCACGCATATAGGGGCCCTACAAGCCCCATCGTCTCGTAATTATCGCGCTCCTTCGAGGCGAGCCGACAGGCATTCAATCCTGCGCCCCGCTCGGAGACCGGCCGTCAGGTACGATGTCTTGCTTTCACGGAGAAGGCACTCTCGAGATGGCGTGAGACAGCGATCTAGATCAAGATCCATGCCAATGCCACTGCCGACAAGCCGCTTCTCGGGACCGAGCGGGAACCGAGATGAAAAAGTGGATAAGGGATAGCTCTCGCCTGCGCGTGGTTGGGTGAGAGTAAAGACATAATGAGACTGGCAGCAAGATGTAATGCCAATGAAACATTCTATCGAGTGACAGGGATTAGGAATTGGGATCGCCGATGATGGCTGATCCACAGATTACCACTATATACCAAATACCGTACAATACACCACTACTAGTGTGTTACCCGGGCGGTATCCGTTGTGACCGGACCCGGTACCGGGAGGGCCGCGGAGCCAAAGAGCTGCCAAACTCTCGTTTCCGTTGTTCCCCCCTTCCTCTTCCCCACTTCGCGCGATCGACCATCTTTCTCGGAGTCCCTCTCTCCCTTAGTTTGCGGTCCGCCATGCACCGACCAGACTCTAGTCCTTTACAGGTGGCTCCTCATAAATCAATTTGTGGGAGTCACTGGCCTGATGGGTCAAACGAGGCTGGAGGTGGAGATGGTGAAAATCCTCCAACCATGGCCTTTCCCCCTCCAACTGCTGCTGCCTTCCACAAGTCACCCACAATTCGTGGTATCCTGCGCGTTTGTAAGACTACAGTATTTCCCGTTGCAGCACAAACCAGCCTCGCTACGACATTCCAAATCAGCAGTTTTTAGACATGTTTCTCTCATGGTCTATAGCTGCCTCTCCTCCTCCCGAGCCACCTCAGCCTCCCAAGCCAAAGGTGCGGTCTCGTACGGGCTGCAACACCTGTCGGCGTAGACGGGTAAAATGCGATGGTATGTATACGGTTCCTTGAGCAGGAAGGCAGAAAGTTGTGGCTCACATATAAGCGTTTCTTCCCGCTTTTAGAAACTCATCCCACGTGCATGCGATGCAGGAGGTCTGGATATGCATGCAGCTATGAGGTCCGCTTGCAGTGGGAGGACGAAATGCGTGCAGTAGGCAAGTGTCATGGACGAACAGGCGTTCAATCGAAGATGAACTCACCTGCACGCAAACGATTGGCTGATACGACCATGGAGCCGTGGACACGGACCAAACGCAAAGATCAGGATGATACCTGTCAGGTCGATGGCGAAGAGAAAGCTGTGTCGATCGGCTCTCCACCCGCCTGCCAGAGTCCACAACAAAACATTGTAACCAGCGACCAGGCTCTGGAATCCGTCTACCAGCGCCGCTACTATCAATGGGATCGACGCAAGTCAGCGTCACTAGCCAGGGCGCTGCCTGTTCTCCCTTGGAGTATCGGCATACCGGACGTTGACCATTTGTGTCTATCGTTCTATGAATCTGTCATGTGTCCCGTCGCCGTCACTGTTGACGATGAGGATAACAATCCCCTCCGCAGTACGGTGATGCGTATGGCTTTCAGGTCTGAGTTGACCTATTATGCGGTCCTCATGGCTAGTTCTCAGTATATGCGCTCATTTGACTCTCAATACACAATCTTGGAGATGCAAGTGCGGCAACGAGTACTTGGAGGGTTACGACAAGCATTGGCACGAGAATCTTGGGACACTGAGGATGTCCTCGTGCCAACAATATTTCTTTGCTCTTCGGCAGTGAGTGATGAAGTCCTTTTGTGGTGTCCTTCTGGTTTCGACCTTCGCCCTGATTCTGTTTACTAGATTTCCGCCAGCTGTGACTCGTCCTGGGTGCGTCATTTTACTTGCTTCCAGCTCCTCGTCAAGCGGGCAGCTCAGGGGAAATTTTGCAAGTCCGTCCTGCACCGATTTTTTGTCAGTTACTTCTCTGCACATCTGGTACTTGCCAAGTCTATGTTTTCCATTGAGGATTTGCTACCTGTCGTTGGACCACCACTTTACCTCGACACTAAAGACACACCGACTCTTACCCTGGATTTGCGCGAGACTTCGTGGACCTCGACAACCGCTCTACTAGGCGTGATGGATTCGAATATTCTTCATCAGATAGACATCTGGAATGGCCTCAGTAATCACCTTCTTCTCTTGATAAATGACACATTGACTATCAAAGAAGATGTTCTTGCTTTAAAATGCCTTCAAGCTTCGGATCCACCGACCATGGTTGTTGCTGCTCAAGCGTCAATTGAAACAAAGATACTAGGCTTGAGAGATAGCATCAGCAATGTCACGCAAATACTTCCAGACTCATCGATAAATCACCGTCATGCCACCGAATGCGCGAATTCATACCGCCTACTAGAGCATACAGGCGAGGCTTATCGTCTTGCCGCTTTTCTGCTCCTCTCTGAAGCATCCAAATCTTCATTCTTAGGGTTCACGCCAACGAATATCAAAGGATTCGATTCTGTACAAATAAAGGATCACGTCCACACAATTCTCATTCTGGTGGATAGGATTGTATCGAAGCTAGACTTCTTACCCATCTCCTGGCCTCTGTGGCCCCTTTTCATCGCGGCTTGTTGTAGTGACCCAGACTCGGAGGCACAGGCCAAGGCTCTAGCATTGTTTCGGACTGCTCGAGCGAAAGCCCCATACGAAAACACAATGAGAGCACAGACCCTAGTTGAGCTGCTGTGGAAACGCCGTACGCTGAATTCGGATGCAGTCGCACAGATACGCATTGGCCGCTTCGAATGGGAGGAGGTTATGGAGTTTCTAGGGTGGCAAACAAGTTTTGCTTGACTTTCTTGGCTTGAGTTACGACAACGATTTAATGACGAATACTTGAAGCGTTAACTTGCATCATCCTTCTGCACCTGATCAATGCTCTTGAGTCTAACAATTCTGAATTCAGGAGGACTGTCAATACACACAAAAAGTAGGCTCGTTGAGGTCCGTCTCCCCGGCCCTCTATCTACTATTTTTCAGTTAGAGGCAATAGCGGTAGCTTTGATTCTGCCAATCAGAGACATCTCCGTCACCACCCAGTTCAGAGGACGCATCAGTCGCGTCGTCCGACTTGCTTAGCTCAGGCTCGATAGTTCGTCCCTGCTTGCGATCGCGTCGCTTGTTTTCCCAGGCCATATAGCAGCGGAGGCCAATGACATCAAGTACAGCCAGGCAGAAGCACGCAAGGATTGCTGAGAATGCAGTCTAGTGCAGAGGTTAGCTGGTTTGTCCCTCTCCGACGCGTTACATATGGCAAGCGGGTGAATTTCACCTCGCCTGCTTCCTGATCTAATCAGAAGTCCACTTACATTATAGCGAGGGGCCTCAGTGCTCTTGAAAAGTTGTGGACCAGCAATGTTACCAACACAATACGCAATGAAAATAAGAGCAGTTACGGTACCCTTCTTGGTAAAGCCCGCTGTGTTGCTGGAGACCAAACTTAGGCTCAGTGGCCAGCCGGCTCCGAAGACCGTCACGAGCCAGACGCCCACCAGTCTACCCCATTTCCGGTGCGTGGGTAGCTGCCGCATTAAAAGAATGCCGACTAAACTGATCAAAAGAGTGAAGATCATCCAGTAGCAGCGCAAGCCAGGGAAACGGTTGCACGTCATGGCGATGGCAAAGAGCATGACGAGAGCGACAGCAGACAAAGGGATCTCGTACAGTAGTGTGTGGAAGGTGTCGAAACCGAACGACTCGATCACAATACTGGCGAACTATTTGGAGTCAGCAGGTTTCTTTAGCCGGGCTCTTCTGGACTGGTTTCGGAGCGGGTCTCCTGGGAAACTTACATTGGTGATGCCGCCGTTCGGCAGTGAGACAAAGAAGTTATACAACACTAGGAACCAAGTATTTGGATCTACTAGCGCCTCAATGAATTGGTCCTTCTTCCACCTCCGACTCTGATAACTCTTCTGAGATGCTTGTGCACGATGGTAGGCTGGGCCTCGCTGATCGGGCTTGAGAAATTTGGCGTTGAGGGGCGAATCGGGTAGAGTGAAGAACAGGAGAACCGACCAGGCGATTGAAATCAGGCCGAATATGATAAACAGCCACTATTTGAAGGACAAGGAACTTTCAGTCAGTCGGGCCAAACTGATTCAGGCTTCGTGGCAATGCCTGGTGCCTTAGCCCTGCCGTGAGCTGCATTCCACATACCTGCCAGGCGCCCAAATGATCATCAATATGACCAATGGCGTACGCAAGCACACCTCCAAAGATTGCGGCTATTCCGTTTCCCGAAAACCAAATGCAACTTCTCATCGCATGTTCAGACGGGGTATACCACATGCCAATCAGCATGGTAAATCCCGGACTGATTGCACTTTCGAACACACCAAGAAGAACTCTCAGCGATGTCAAACCGGCGAAATTCGAAGCCGCTGCATGACAGGTCAGGATAATTGCCCACAGGATCCTTCACCATATGTCAGCTCGACTCATTGATTGCAGGACTGCTTCATTGAGGAGGGGTGGATAGAGGGCTAACATCATGACAGAAAGGTATTTTCCGATGGGAAACTTAATAAAACCCAATGACACGGGATACGAGGCAACAAGGTAGCCGAAGTAAAATGCGCTCGATGCCCATGCATATTGTGCAGTGGTTATATGCTATCTCCGCCGCGAACTGTTAAATCAAAGTGATTTATGGTTGAGGATGGTCAATCAATCATACCGTTCCAGTCAGAAGACCTAGGATTGAGGTATAGGAAAGGGTTGTTTTGTCGAGGTACTGCAGCAAGTACGAGAAGAACATCAGGGGGAGCAAACTATAACGACGAGTGTTAGGTTAGGGCTTCTGAAGATATCCTGAAATATATGTATCGAGTCTCGGTCTCAAGACAGCGACGTACCAGAGGTCAATTCGACGCAGGATGGCTTTCTGTTCATTATCCGAGAAATGCTGAACATCGTCGACAGACTCATGAGGGCCTTTGGAGAACGACTTCTCGTCTGCCATCATAGGCGGCGTGGTATCCTCCGAAGAAGCCATTCTTTGTGTCTTGTTCCTGCTGGTGATATGGCAGAACACTTGACTCATTCGATCTTTCGAAATTGGAATTGAAGACGGCGAAACATTCGAGAGGTGGGCAGGTAGAAGTACCTCATCCGACCACCGCATGCTTTCGCCCATTCGATGTACTTCGCGCGCAATTAATAAACGGGCGGAGGCTTGTTTCGCCCTATGCGGGCCTGGTGTCTGCTAGTCACCCGGTGGCTGTATTATTTCACCAGTATTACCGTCACGTCTGGTATGTCTCACTATTCTCAATCGGGGTTGAAAACTGCTCGCTTCGACCTACTTCTCTGACCCGTGCATAGCAGAGGTGGATCATGTCAGAGATTGAGGATACCAGCTATCTGAACCGTGCAATGCTCGCATTGTGGTTGTACGACGAACGGTCATATGAGCATCAAAGCTCTCATTCTGGCCAGAACCTACCCCTCAGCGACATCTGCTCCGAGCCATGCCACCCAGAAATTAGGAAAACATGTTTTGAGTACTTTTTCCGCACATACACCTTGTCTAGGTGTGTGCTTTAGCCAGTATTGGATGGTCTCCTACGGTTTACTGTCACTGTCCAAGCCAGAATCCACGGCCAATACGTGATAGACCCGTGAAAGCATTTATACCTTAGTCACAGGAAATGCGGAGACGTGGTCTGGAGCATTGGTGGGGCATGCAGCCTAGCGAACGTGCTATAATATAAGCAGACTCAGAGGCTCGGCTCTATAGACATCCCTAATCATGACTCCGCGAATTCACCCCTGATTCCTCCTTTTCACCCCTGCATCTAATCTCTCGACTACCTTCATGCAATGATGTATCGATCACTCACAGACGGCAGCCTCTACCGCATCGATGCGGATCTCCTGATTCCTGGGCATGGAGACCCCCTTCTCCACGGTGCCGTGGTCTGGAAGTCCAAGACTATCCTCTACGTGGGACGTCAAATCGACGTACCTCAAGAATACCAAGACGCAACGACGTCGCACGTTCCCGTAGTGATGCCAGGGCTGTGGGATTGCCATATCCACTACATGGGCGCTACGTCGGCGACGATGGACGCGGTCGTCAAGACCACACCCGCTTTAGCCGGGGCCCGAAGCGTCCCCGACCTCCACGCAACTATCATGGCGGGGTTCACCTCCGTCCGTGAAGTAGGGGGCTACGGGTGCGAGCTTGCGCTCGCCGTGAACGAGGGCCGCATCCTCGGACCCACCATCTACGGCGCTCACAGCGCCATCAGCATGACCGCGGGCCACGGCGACGTGCACGGCATGCCCCTTCACCAACTCCAGGACATGTGCGCCCACGGGCTCCCGCTGACCATTGCCGACGGGGTGCCAGAGTGTCTGCAAGCCGTGCGCAAGCAGCTCCGTCACGGCGCGCGCGTGATCAAGGTCTGCGCCAGCGGCGGGGTCGTCAGCGCCATCGACGACCCCCAGCACCAAGAGTTCTCCTTTGAGGAGATGAAAGCGATTGTCGACGAGGCTGCGCGCGCCAAACGCGTCGTCGCCGCCCATTGCCACGGCAAGGCCGGGATCATGAACGCTCTGCGCGCCGGGTGTCGCACCATCGAGCACGGCAGCTTTCTCGACGAGGAGGCTGTCGAGCTGATGCGCGAGAAAGGCGCCATCCTCGTCGCCACCCGCAGTGTGATTGAGACGGGCCTGTCGATGCGCCAGCTCTTCACGCCGGGATCGTATCAGAAGTTGCTCGAGGTCGCCGATGCACACAAGCAGGCGTATCGATTGGCGGTTGCGCGCGGGGTCACCATCGCCCTGGGCACGGATCAGTTCATCAGCTCGGATAATCCCGCTGTTGCGTATGGGCGCAACGGCAAGGAGCTGGAGTACGCGGTGGAGGCGGGGATGACGCCCTTGGCTGCGATTGAGGCCGCCACGGCGAATGGCCCGCTGACGTTGGGGGAGCAGGCGCCCAAGAGTGGGCGGCTGCTCGCGGGGTATGATGCCGATATCATCGCGCTGACGGCCAATCCGCTGGAGGATATCACGGTGGTGGGCAATGCGAAGAATGTGACACATGTTTGGCATCAGGGGAAATTGGTCAAGTCTTAGTATACATCTCTGTAGTAATATTGTCAGTCAAATTTCATGAGCAGTCCGACAACGAAGTAGTACAGTAGAAAGCTGAGAAGGGAGGGGAAGGTGGTGAGCTTGAAACTATGCTCATTGCGTGAGGATGATAGCTATTCACCATTATGTCAAATGCATTTATGGATAAGCCTCGTCCGTGACTTGCCTTCAGTCCGCGTCGTCCGCTAAACGCTGCATCATGATTCCGCTCCGCTCCGCTCCGCTCCGTAACGGAAGCGGGATAGAGCGGGTAGAAGCAAGTAGTGAGACTGGATTCAGTGACCGCTTCTCTATGTCGTCCTTGTGATCTGTCCTTTGTTGTGGTGGTGTCTCTCTATGTGGAAATAGTTTCGCATGAATCACCGAATAGGGGCATTCTATGAATGGTATATGTATGTGTCTTATAGCTGCAGTGTTCAGCTTTTCAGACAAAACTTGATCATTATCGTACCCCGCAAACCAAAGCGCTGACTGCTATCGCCATAGGACGGTTATGTGAGGCTATTTGTGAGTGCCATATCTCGACAAGCAACATCACATCCACGCACTCCCTGTGGGCTCCTGGGAAGCTCTTCGTGTGGAAAATATACTTCTGCATGAAATCATTAGACGCTTCGATATGAGTAAGAGCCTAGCATGGACCAATTGCAATCCACCTCAACGGGTCTAGTAGCTCACGTCACATCGTACATTCTGGAGCGGACACAATGCGCAAGATGTGTTGTTCTTCGCAACTGGTGGTGGTTAGTTTGTTTACGATCCATCCAAAAGTGATAGATGGCATTGGCGGTGAGATATGGCAATATGCATGTGGCCGTACCGACAGGAGTCGCAATCGCAACAAGGTAACCGCAAGATTCTCCCAAGTCTTGGATGGGGCCATTACCCCTCAAGCCTCTCAGCTACTCATAATGGCCCCAAGGGATGAAGGAAAAAGATCAAATTTAGAGTACCTGTCAAACAGAAACGACACTGCCCCGCGCCGCTCTTCCTTCGAACCCAAGCAGCCGTTCCCGCCTCTCCCCGCGGACGATTTCGCGACCAGCACTCTCGAGGTACAAACCAACACATACGCCGAGAATGACGACAATCAGGACCTGCCGTCGCCCTTGCATGCAGACATAGAAGCCGAGGACGATGCAGACTTCCAGTCGCATTACTCCCTGGACGACCAATCATTCTCTGATGCATCCACGGACTCGGAGCAATCGCCGGAGGATGGCATCTCCATGCATCATCCATTCCGGCAGTCGTCCGGCTCACTGCACGGTCCGAACGCGTTTGCACCTCCATTCTACAATCGCCCTCCGACACCACTACCGCCATCCCCCTCGTTGACCTCTCTCCTTCGCCCTCCGTTCTCCACCACCACTTCGCGACCGACAACCCCCGACAGCTCGGATGTGGAAACGCCCAACGACACGGAGGCTGCTGTCGCGAAGTCGGCGCGGCGGGCAACAACAGTCCCACGGGCTAGCCCCAAAGTTCCAACGTACGAATACTACGGCTTCGTTCTGTATCTTGCGTCCTCGCTGGCCTTCTGTGAGTGCAAAGAAACCCCGGGCTGAGTCCAACCCAGCGCAAAGACCATGTCTAACTAGCTCTTCATCCCCAGTGATCTACATCCTCTGGTCCTACCTCCCCTCCCCCTTCCTTCACCAACTTGGCATATACTACTATCCAAATCGATGGTGGTCACTGGCCTTCCCATCCTGGCTAGTCATGTCTATCATCTACATCTATGTCGCGCTGGCATCGTACAACACCGGCTATCTCACGTTGCCGATGAATAGCGTCGAGAACATCGTGGACGAGGTGGCCAATGTCGCGGTCATTGACGGCAAGGGTCGACGACGACCCGGGGGCGGAGCCAAGATGAGGCCCGGTGCGACCTCGTACCAGATCATGGGCCCGCAGAACCGCAAGATCAATTGGAAAGAGATCTGGAGCGAAGGTACAGATGCTGTGCTGGATGTTCCTGTGGGCGGTGTCTGTGAGGTTCTGTACGGGCAGGAGAGGGATGATGATGAGTTATGTGAGGAATTCGTTGAGTATTCATGACATGAATTGCGGCGCGATTTCGCCGAGATATGACTGAATGGCAGGAATGTGCCAGCCTGGATCTCAACCTGTCGCGGATGCGCTTCTCCTGACTCTTATCGTAGTGACTTGCTTCCTTATCGTCACGTGAAAGGAAGGACGATGGTTGGATTCATCACAGCCCGCCCTCCCTTTTTGTGCGTCCATACTCTCATGGTGGTAAAATGCGTAGGATGAACGGACCTTCTGTTTGATACCTGATTTTTTTCCGGGAAGTTCTTTGTGACTATTGTAAAGGTAGGTATTGAGGTCTAGATGCGGCGAGGCTCGCCCCTGTTGAGTGGACGGGAAGGAGTGCCATAGGTTTTGTTTTTTGGATCTATCACCGAGCTTAATGGTAGCTTAGCCCAGTACGTAGTACTTTTGAAGTGGACTTTAGGTAGGGTGCAAAGCAGTCCAGTCGCCAACACCACCACCCTTATCGCACTACTCCACCACAGTAGACACATTTTGAGTCAATTGCGGCAGCTGGTCTATTGACCGCAACGAATTCAAAGAGGTTGGGAAAAGTCAATGGCCAGCCCACCACTTCTCTTTCACCCTCCAGCGCTAAAAGCGGTTAAGGCCGCGTGGGCGCCTAGGGAGCCAACGACAGTTCCGGCGGCGGCGGTGGCTTTCCCCGACCTCAACTCACCAGCAGCGAGGAGAGAAACGCGCACCGGTGACCACTCAGTGACCAGCGACCGGCCAGTGAACCAGTGACCACCGTCCCAGTCCCTCCACACCACCACCACCCCCCAATTCTCTCGGCTCAAGCTCGCATCGCTGACCCTTCTCCTTTCCTTGTCCGTTGGAAGTTCTCTCCTGCGATCGTCGGTTCTCCTCCCAGCGAAACCTCGCATTGTTTGTTTTCCTATCCATCGGTGCTGACCCGGTCTGGAACGTGGTGTCCTGCCGTTGTCGCCCCGTCATTGACCCTGTTGAACTTACCACCATCTATCTTTCAAACAGACGTGCGACCTCCCCCGAGTTCCACTGATCGGTATCGCTCCCCCTCCTCAGCAGCTCGGACCTTCCTCCCTCCGCCTGCGATCGCCGGAGCTCATATCCCGGCTCGCCTCGCCGCTTGATCGTCCGCTTCCCCCATTCCATTGTTGATATCGCATGGCTTGGCAGTCTCCCTCGGCCATGGCTGGGGGTGGAGGCTTCGTCGGGCCCGGAGGTGATGGCTCCCCCAATGGCGGGCAACCCCAGGGGACAGAATACACTTTACAAGGTGAGTCGAGGCTCGAAATTTGGGCGCGGAATTTAGGGGGGGAGAGGGCGGGACACGAATGCTAATTCTTCCCTTGTCCGTTTTGTTGTTGTGGTGTAGGTGTGATGCGCTTTCTGCAGACCGAATGGCACCGGCACGAACGCGACCGCAACGCCTGGGAGATTGAGCGCGCGGAGATGAAGTCCCGCATTGGAAAGCTGGAGGGCGATGTCCGCACGAGTAAACGCTTACATGAGTCGCTGGGGAAGCACGTCCGGTTGCTGGAGGCCGCCCTGAAGAAGGAGCGCGAGAAGGTCAAGAAGCTCAGTAACAACGAGAAGGTTGATGACACTCGAGATCCGAAGGAGATCGCCCGGGAGAGCATCAATGCATTAAAAGGTTTCTTTTTCTCTTTTCCTCCCGTTATCTTTGCTTGTCTGCTCGCCCTTCACGATTTACTGACTGCTTCCCCGTCTTAGCTCAACATCCTCGGCCGCAAGGCGATGTGAACGACGCGGAGCACAATCCTGAGAACCACCACGAGTTCCGCCAAGAGAACGAGCGGGATAAGTCGCGGTTATATCTGTCCAAGTGCTCGCTGGAAGTTGCGTACCACGTCATTCCTTCGTCCCACCCGCCCCCCGATCTCAGCGATCAAGACCTTCCGAACCATTTTTACGGCAATCAGCAGCAAATGTCACAACAGACCTTGGAGGAGGTCTACCTGCAGCAACAGCGGCAGAAACAACACCAGCAGCAGCAGCAGCAGCAGCAGCAGCAGGCGAACAACATGATGGCTCGGGAAGTGGCCCTGCAGAATCACCAGCCCATCATCACGCATTACTCGGACAACGCTGCCCTTTCTCGTGCTCCTAGCCAGTTCGGGTATACTCCTGGCTCGAGGGAGGCAATGGAGAGAAGACCCATGGAACCGCAACAGACCTCGATGACTGCCCTGGAAAACCGGAAGCAAGGGTTCGAATCTGCCCCAATGGAAGAGCGTGCTGGCACGGAGGAGCAGGTATATAATGGATACGGTTCGCAAGTAACAACCAAGGAGGAGACCCGGCAACCCCAGCCTGTAGACGATGCAGATGGCTGGAACTTCGATGAACCTGCGGATACAGCTCCCCCTGCTGAGCAAATACCGCCTCACCGCCCCGATGTCGATGCTTTCCCAAATGCCAATTTCGTCGGCGCCAAGTCTCCCGCGCGGACCGGTTCAGTCTCCCATCGCCGAAAGAGCTCCGGTGCCAGAAGGAAGAGTGAAGGTGCTGCAGATCTTGCGGCGTCGAAACCAGATACTTCTTTCAAGGTTCGCTTCGCTCTCCGAGGCCACTTGGATGTTGTCCGTTCCGTGACATTCACGGGTGGCGGCAGCCCTTCCGAGCCTGAGATCTGTACGTGCAGCGATGATGGGACAATCAAGCGCTGGATCATCCCGGCAACCTATGGTACGTTTGGCGCCCACGGCGCCAACTCGAGCAATGATCTGGACATCACGAGCTACTTCACCCACCGCGGACATGTGGGAGCTGTGACTGCGCTAGCGGCTTGCTCGCCATCACAGAACTTCTCCAACGGCGGTCGCGCGCTTGGAGATGGGTGGGTGTTCTCCGGTGGACAGGATTCCAGCGTGCGTGTCTGGGAACGTGGAAGGGTTGATCCCAAAGCCACACTTGAAGGTCACACGGATGCAGTATGGGGCCTGTGTGTTCTTCCTGGAACCGCGGGATCTGTCTTTGGCGATTCCTGCAGTCATTACGGCGGGCCTGATCGGATCCTGCTTGCGTCCGGTGGTGCCGATGGCCGGATTATCATCTGGGCAGTCAGCGCACCGCCTCAGCTTTCGTCACCTCAAGCAGGATCTCGACGAGCGGGAGGCAGCCGGCGAGCTAACTCTATCTCGTCCGGTTCCAACTTCCCATCGTCGCCACAGCCGAGCACCGCAACCACCACGCCATTCCACTACACAATGGTCCGACAGATCGTCCGCTCAGATTCCCCATCGCCTACGTGTATCAGTCCATTGTCGCTTGCAGGTATCAACTTTGTTGTCTCCTATGCAGACGCATCGATCCTAGTCTACGATACGAGAACGGGCGAGGAAGTTGCAGGGATGGCCAGTCTAGAAACATACGACGGTACGCCCTCGACCGGTGTTAATGCGGTTGTTGCCACAACAGTTGGATTTGATGGTTCGGCTGGCCTTGACCCCAGCCGGACAATGGCGGAAGAGGAGATTGTTCACGGCGCGACTGGGTCAAGCGGTGCCGAGGGGGTGATTATCAGCGGATACGAGGACCGTTATATTCGCTTCTTCGATGCCAACAGCGGTATGTTATGTTCTGACGATGACCTTTCGCGGATACTAATTTGCACTCGTCCAGGTCAATGCACATACACTATGCTCGCTCACCCGTCAGCGATTGCCTCGCTCTCTCTGTCTCCAGATGGACGAGAGCTTGTGTCGGCAGGCCACGACGCTAGTCTGCGGTTTTGGAACCTCGAGAAGCGGAGCTGCACTCAAGAAATCACGAGTCACCGGCTGATGCGTGGTGAAGGAGTGTGTTCTGCGGTGTGGAGCCGCGACGGCCGCTGGGTAGTCAGTGGAGGGGGCGATGGGATCGTCAAGGTCTTCTCGAGATAACGAGGGGGTTAATTTACAGCTTCCGCGATGTATGAATCCGTTTCTTTTTGTTTCCAGCTGATACTTTCTTATGGCATGTTCCTTGGACGCATGAAATGGATGAGCGATTGGCCAGTTCTTGAGCATTTGCAATGGTCTTTAATACCTGGCATATGTTCTTTTCTACTTTGTGATTATAGTTCTTATTTTCTCTCCATACCTTTTTTTTTATTCGATCGGCTGCATCGCTCGCCACTTTTTCTTGCCTTTTTGCCCCTTCGGGTACATTGTGCTTCCCCATTTTGATACATTTTCAACCAGATAACATCATGGGACTGGAATTCAGACGGCTGCAGCTTTACGTTGCGATTGTTCAAGCATTCTACCGTGGGTTGTGGGAAGGACCCAGATTTCTGTCACACTAAGCTTACTGATACCTCTGCCATGCATATTGCGTATGCATCTTACATCGCCATCGTCTTCGCGAACGTCTACCTTTGCTTCCTTGGATGCTGCGCGACTTTTTTGATCCCCTAGTATGCCCCGGGGGCCTGCTTCTAGACTGTATAATGATTGCTCTGTTCACTATCCTCTTGCCTTAGAACCCTGCCGAATTGACCTGTACATTATCTTGCCCTACATGGCTACATGGCTACTACCATTAGGACATGATACTTAAGTAGACGCAAACCGCGCCCGCTTCACTAGCCTGAGCACCAGCAATCGAGGCCCATTATACACAAGAAAGAAGATTTGATATTCATCTCTCCCAGCATTAGATATAATATGAACAAGGGTATCAATTACCCGTCTTTCGGACCCCAGCATGAGAGAAACCCTCACTTCCTCCCGCCCTCCCACGCCTCTCTGAACAGCCCCCTCAACCGCCTCGCCTCCTCCGCATCCTTGACCCTCTGCTCCAAGAACCCCTGCAAATCCTCCCAGAACGCCTCCGTCTTGACCACCTCCTCCCCACTCGGCCCGACCGCCGGCTTAACGACCGGCTCGGCTGGTGTCTCCTCCTCCTTCACCCCCACACCTGAACCTTCACCTTCCGCTTCACCCTCACCCTCAGCTGGAACAACCCGCCCACCCCCCAGCACCATCACCGCAACCTCGACCTCCTTCCCGCCCGCCAGCAACACCGGCTCCTCGCTCAACATCTCCGCCAGCGTCCTATTCCCCGTGACGGGCTTCTTCCGGTGGAGGATCTTGATCTTCTCGAGCGCGGGCTTTGCGTCGGTGGCGTCGACGACCCGCGCCCGCACCGCGTCCTTCAGGTCGGTCACGGTCGTCGTGGAGAGCGGAAGATTGGGCAGGGTGAGTTCCAGCGCCGGGTTGCGGGCGGACTTGAGGACGACGGTGATGGATTTCGAGGAGCCCGGGGCGGCGGCGGCGGCGTTGGGGGTTTTCTTGGGCATTGTTGGGCGTGGCGGTTGGAGGCGGGGGAGGAGGTGCTGTTTCTTTATTGTTAGATTGGGGTCTGGAGTTGTATGGGAGGAGGGGGCTATGGGAGGGGAGTGCAGGGGGTGGGGACGACGTACTGGTATGCGGGCGTTGGGGTCGTCGTGGACATAGTCGGCTCGGAGCTTGATGGGTCGGCTGTCCAGGGCGGAGAGGAAGGCTTTGGCGAAGGAGATTTCGGAGGCCATGTTGGATTGCTTCCCGGGGGAATGATGCAATTTTTACTCGGTAGTGGGTTGTTTTTTGTGTTTTGGGAGAGACCGGAGAAGAGGTGGTGAGGTGGGGGGTAGATATGATGTCGCTGGATGGGAAGGAATTACCCGATCGGGATCGGAGGGATGTTGTTGATGCTGGCCTGGCCTGGCCGCAGATTGCGCTTCTGCCTCAGGCAGATACTAAAGGCGGTGGGCGCATCACACTGCTGCCTCTGACCGCCCGCGGGAAAAAATGTACCGCAAAGGAAAAGGAAAAAAAAAAGTTTAGATCTTTCCCCGAGTTGATCAGACAGGAACCCGACTTGTCAAACCTCTCTCCCCTCAGTTTCTGTCACAGTCCTTATTCACAATGGGTCGGGGAAATCGCATGAAGAAGCAGGGTCCTCCTGCCCCGCTGGATGAGTCCAAGATCACAATTTACAAGAAGCGCAAGGCCGCTGAACCTCAGAGCAAGCCCGCTGAGTCGGGCAAGAAGCGCAGAAGAGCTGCCGCTGAGGAGGAAGAGGAGGAGACCGTCAAGCCTGTCGCCAAGAAGAAGGCCAATGGTGCTGTGAACGGCAAGGTGACCAAGGTGGACGCTAAGGCTAAGACTCAGGCCAAGAGCAAGGAGCAGAAGAAGCCCGCCGCGGCTAAGAAGTCGAGTTTCATGGATTCGGACGACGAGGCGGAGGAGGATGATGAAGATGCATGGTCCGACCTGGACGATGAGGAGATGCAGGACGACGAGTTCGGCGACCTCGATGCCGTGAGCGACGACGAGATGGCCTCCGATGATGATGACTCGGTTGTCGACTCCGAGGACGACGACCACCCCCGCGAAGCCATGTTCTCGGACGATGAAGACCTTTCCGACGCAGAGGAGCGGCTGACGGCTGCCAACATCGAGGGTCTGTCCCGGAAGTTGGATATGGCGAGACAGGAGGAGGAGGAGGAGGCCGAGCTCGAGTTGCAGGAATCCGCCATGCAGACCAACATCGCGGGAGACCGTCCCGACGTGTTCGCCGACGACGTCGGCCAGCCCGGCCTGGCCCCCGACCTCCAGCTGCTCCGCACGAGAATCACCGACACCATCCGTATCCTGGGCGACCTGAAGACCCTCGGCCAGCCCGGCAAGTCGCGAACCGACTACGTCAACCTGCTCCTCGGCGACATCTGCACCTACTACGGCTACACGCCCTACCTTGCTGAGAAGCTCTTCAACCTTTTCACTCCCATGGAGGCGTTCGCCTTCTTCGAAGCCAACGAAACCCCGCGTCCTGTTGTCATCCGTACGAACACCCTGCGCACCAACCGCCGGTCGTTGGCCCAGGCCTTGATCAACCGTGGTGTGGTCCTCGAGCCTGTCGGAAAGTGGTCCAAGGTTGGTCTGCAGGTCTTCGAGTCTGCCGTTCCCCTGGGTGCTACTCCCGAGTACCTGGCCGGTCACTACATTCTCCAAGCCGCCTCCTCCTTCCTTCCCGTTATGGCCCTGGCCCCGCAACCCAACGAGCGTGTTCTCGATATGGCCTCCGCCCCCGGTGGTAAGACCACTTACATCTCGGCTCTGATGCGCAACACTGGTACCGTCATCGCCAACGATGCCAGCAAGCCCCGTGCCAAGGGTCTGATTGGTAACATCCACCGTCTCGGCTGCAAGAACACCATCGTGACCAACATGGATGCCCGCACTGCCTTCCCCAAGGCCATGGGTGGCTTCGACCGTGTCCTTCTTGATGCCCCCTGTACCGGTACCGGCGTTATCTCCAAGGATCCCAGCGTCAAGACCTCCAAGAACGAGCGCGACTTCCTTGCCATTCCCCACATGCAACGCCAGCTGCTTCTGGCCGCCATCGACTCCGTCGACCACAACTCCAAGACGGGAGGCTACGTCGTCTACTCGACCTGTAGTGTTACCGTGGAGGAGAACGAGGCGGTGGTCAACTACATTTTGCGCAAGCGCCCCAACGTCAAGCTCGTCGACACTGGCCTGGGTGACTTCGGTAGCCCCGGTATGACCAACTACATGGGCAAGCACTTCGACGCCAAGATGACCTTGACCCGCCGGTACTTCCCCCACCGTGAGAACGTCGACGGTTTCTTCGTCTGCAAGCTCAAGAAGACCGGCCCATCCCCGACCGCCAAGTCCGGCGACGCTGCCGCGACCACCAAGTCCGACCGCAAGGCCTCCAAGTCCCCGTCCGCTCCCTCCACCGACGACGAGAGCATCGACAAGACCCCGATTGTCGACGAAGACGGCATGGTTCTGGAGACGGAGGGTGGATCGTTCGGTCCCTTCGAGGAAGACGACCAGGACGCCGAGCGCATTGCCCGCGCGGAGCGCAACCGCCTGCGTCGCAAGGGTCTCAACCCCAAGGCCGTGAAGCCCGCCAAATCCTCCTCCTCCAAGCCCAAGAGCGACTCTGAGTCCGAGAAGCCCGCCGTGGAGGCCTCCCCGAAGACGGACAAGAAGAAGACCGATGCAGACACCAAGGCCAAGAAGGATGAGCCTACCTCGTCCCCGGCCGCCAAGAAGTCCGCGAAGAAGACCAAGACGCAAGAATCCACCACCCCCGCCACCCCCGCCACTCCCGCCACCTCTACTACTCCCCCCTCCGACAAGAAGAAGAGCGCCGCGAAGAAGCAGGCCGATAATAAGAGCGGAAAGGCCAAGAAGGCCGCCAAGAAATAAAGGGTGGGCGGTAGTCGGGTGTGCATCTGATTCTTGTATGTATTGTCTGGTTTGAACCAAAAGCATTCGTCTTGTGTTTGGTATGGGTGGCGCATTCTTGTGATTCTCGTGTTTTGAAATGGATAGATAGCTTCGGTTTGAAGCTCGTCAATAGATACCATTATGTTTGTGCAGCCGAGTCCAGATTGACTGTAGTGTATACTGTGAATGAGTAGAGTGTAGCTGGGATGGCGTCAAAGAAATCATCGACGGAGTCGTACTCGGTTGAGCATAGACAGAGTGCAGTGTCTGGCTCATTTCCGGGTCACGCATGTTATCTCTTGGGGAGGTCTGGTTCACAGCCCCGCCAAACTAGCTTCGACGCAGCCATACCACCTGATTTAGGGCGAGCCTTGACGTTGAGGCTTGCCCTATCCTTGACCTCTAACAACCTCACATCCAAGCGGTATATCCTATATGTACAGTACAACCGCACACCCCTACTCTTCCCCGTTCCATAACTACTCCTTCTATAACCCATCCACTACTCCAATCAAGCCAAATACCAACCAAAACCACCTTAATCCACTCAACCTACATAACAACCCAACCTAACCCCCGTAACAAACAACAGCATAACCCACCCAGAGTGATAATAAACAAAAAACCCCTCAAACCCTATCTCTATTAAAGCCCCTCAAACATACACGCACACATACACACACACACACACACACACACACACACACACACACACACACACACACACACACACACATATATACACACACAAAACAAACACAGCCAAAGAACAATGAGACCTCCTTGCCTCCCCCTCCACAGCATCACAACGACCTACCGGGGAGTTTGAAAGAAAGGGGGGTCTGGGGGTTCTCCCCCAGATACTACTTTACTTATAGGAGTGTAAGAGTGTAGGAGTGTATGGGGAAGTGGTTGTATGGAGGAGGGCGGCCGCTGGGAGTCGCGTCTGGATGATTGCTGAGGCTGGGTTTGTATTTGGCTGGTACTGGGATGATTGCAGTGATTTAAGAGGGTTCTTGCAGCTGTTGTATGTCAAGGTGTATCGAGTTGGAATGCACTATTGAGCCTCGAACGCATACTATACGAACAATTGAATATATGAGCAATCTGTCTTAGTTCAGAGCATTTATGGACAAGGACAACCATCTTAAAACTTTGCTATGCATCATTCAATCAAATCAACCTTCAAAAAGCAGGCAGCAGGCAGGTATCTAACGGAAAGCACCACGCTATCTAAGATCCCCTCATATATCCACAGCGTCTAAACCAATCAACACCAGGGCACTCCAGTCTGTACCTTCCAGGGTATTCCAGTCCCCCCAATGCAATTTCAAAAAATCAATACGGAATCAAGTCCGGTAAATCTTCACCACGCTGATGATGCTCTTCCGACAGATCGGGCAGAGATCCACTTGACGGGCACACGTCACACACGCGCAGACATGTCCACAGTCATAGAACAGGGCATCCTGCTCTTCGCCATAGCAGATCTGACACAGATCCATCTCCTCATCCGCCACTTCCCAATAGCTGATACCCTTGCCGTGGCGCTTGCCGTCCTTGTAGCCACCCACGTATTTGTTGCCGGTCTTGCGCTCAACAAAGGTACCCTGGCCATGGCAGACACCCTCGAACCAGTCGCCTTCATAGGTATCGCCAATCGGGTATTCCATATAGCCGTTGCCGTGGCGCTTGCCGAGGACGAAATCGCCTACGTACGTGGCAGCAAGGTCGGAGACGTGCGTGCCCTTGCCATGGAAGTAGCCCTTCATGAATTCACCGCTGTAGTACTCGCTGGTGAACGTGGCCCGGAGGGTCTTCGTGCCCGTGTGGGCCCGAGTAGGATGTCTGCGCGACGCGGCCCAAAGATAACGGACAAGTTGGTCAGGGTTGGCGAACATGCCCTCAATATTGAGCTTAAGACGGCGGTCCTTGTTAACCTTATCCCCAACGATAAAACAGGTACCGTCGGGCACGAAAGTCTCGAACGTCTCACCGGAAGCCATGGTGGTCACGTTGGTACCATCTACACGCTGCCAGACCTGAAAGTCCTTCATTGGCGCCCACTTGAGATGCTTACGGATAGCGGCCTTGATGTTCTCTTCTTTCTTCGAGAAGAAAGAGCCCACAGTCCGTAGAATCTGCGCCTCAATGTCGAAGACTTGGATGAAGTAGTAGACGTGCTCCACCGGTTGAGGGACTTCAACCTCTGCAGGGGCATCCACGCTCACATCAGTCTCAACTGGAGCGTCAGAGGGCGTCTCGTTGGGTTCCTCGACCACGGTGATGGCCTCAGTAGCCTCGACTTCCATCTGTTGAAGATCCTCTGCGATAATTGCAGCAATGACGGCGTCGTTCTCGTCTCTCACAGCGGTATTCTCAACGTGGACTGCCTCAGCGACCTGGCTTTCGGTGGCTGTTTCAGCATTCTGTGGGTTGATCTCAATGTCGAGTTCACGAGACACTGGCTCCGGAACAATGCTATCCAGCAAATGGTCCGGAATGTTGCCAGATGAGCTGGGCTGGGCAGCGCCGACCTCATGAAGAGACTGTCTATCCTCGGAAGACTCGGAACCGTCTCGCTCAAGAATAGCTTCTTCTGGTTTGGCTTCAATGGCAATGGCCTGCTGTGGGTCCGCGATGGCGAACAGCTTCGCATCTGCATCCGAAACGATCTCCATCCAGAAGCGAGCCGTCTTGGCAGGCAGCTCCAAACTGTTGCATAGCTCCGTGATACGGGCAAAAGCGAGTGTAGGACCGAATTGATCGCGAGTGTGTCCGATCTGCCACAAACGGACATATTCAGGACTAGTGGCCTGCTCCGTCTTGGTCGACGCCCACAGCGCGATCTTCTTGCGAAGGTCAACATAGTTGGACGAACGAGGCACCGTTAGGTACATCACGCTGTTTGCCGTTTTGGCCTGTGCCATCAGATCGTAGGTATCAAACAGACTGCTCAGTTGATCGTACTTCGGAAGCGAGTACACTTCAACTTCGATCTCATCCTTTTCACTCGAGGTCAAGGGCAAGGTTCCGGTCTCGTAGTATTCCTTCAGCGGCGCGGACACCTCCCATGGCCCTTGAGGACCAGGTAGGTAATCCTGCACGACGTCGCTGCGAATGTACATCACTGCAATGGCAACGTCGTGGCCAGTCTTGTGATCAGGCTTTTGCGAAGCGTCTAGACCGAGGTGAGGTCCGAGAGCAGTCTTCCGTGTCAGACATTCGACACGGTTGTCACTCCCATCATCGAAAGCCAGCCACCTGGTACCAGGGCCACCTGGACGAAGAATACTGAAGAACTTGCCTGAGGTGCGTCGGCCACGGTGGACGATGTACCCATACAGAACATACTTGCCGTCCTGACCATCCAGTAACCAAGGTGTGAGGTCTAGCTCTTCATCCAGCTCGACTCGGTTATAAAGGAGGCGCCACTGCCTAGCTGCCTTGTCCAGATGCTGACGACCAAGCTCCAGATGCAGGATGGGTGGAAGCACCCACCGTCCCGGCTTGGCACTGAGGTATTGAGTGAAGGCGTCGTTGGTGGTCTTGACCTGATCCGCAGCCACACAAATGCGGGAATTGTACTCCTTCGGTATGGTGTTGATCATTCCCTCCCCTTGTGCATCAACAGGGACCGAATCAATAGATGGGCTGTCGAACAGCTGGGCGAGCTCATGTACTGCATCGGTGCCGTCAAGCTCGATCTCGAGGGTCCGACGCAAGCGTTCCCAGAATTCGCATACATCACCCGAGTACTCATGCAAGTTCCGCAAAATTGATGTGATCAGATCAGTGTCTACGTACTGCAGTGATTGACCTCGCGAACGCAGCTGCCAGAGGAACTTCTGCAACGCGTCACAAAGCGGCTTGGGTTTGACATCGCAGTCACTGAGATGTTCCAAGACGTTCGCTTTCTGAATGATCTTGCAGAAGGGAGCAAGGTGCACCCACGTGGCGAGCCCGGCTACCTCCGCACTGTGGTTGATGACCGAGTCCCCTAGAGGACGGTAGCCGGTCAAGCTCAAGCTATCCCAAGTAGGCTCGGTGTCACTGGCATGCCACCAGAGCGACCGAGTGGGATCGTCGACGATGCGGATGTAAGCATCGAACGCGAGCGTGTCGTGCCGAAGCAGTGCCTGGCGCTGGCCCCGCTGACGGCGGTGGATCTGGTCCCACGGGCCGTGAAAGTTAGTCCAGCCCCAATCCAGGTTGTGTGGGTTGAACTGGTGGCACGATGACTGCATCCACCCCGTTCGCGGCTCCTCTGGGTTGTAAAGTATGACACCAATCTGAGCGGACACCCGCCAGGAACCAGCCCCGGCAGCATTCTCCTGGCGAGCATGAGGGTACTGAGCCTTGAATTGCTCAAACCATGCAGCCGTATCCTCAGTCTCTGCAAACTTGATGTCAACCTCGGGAACAGTGTTGTCCAAGCTCTCTTCAGCAGGGCCCTGGAGCACCTTGAACTCCGTATCCGGATAAGACTTCTCTGGAGTGGGCATGGTCGGAGAGCACTCGATGTAAATGCTCAGGGAGTTGACATTGTTACCGCGGGGGAAGAACTTGATGGTCCACCAATAGCCACCCATGTAAGCTGGGGGCGAGCGCATGATTTTAGCGCGGTTGGGGCGGTCCGGGGAGCCACGAACGCCTTTGATCTTCCACGTCAGGCGTGCCTTTTGGATAGGACGGTACTCTGGATCATCCAGATCGGCGTGGAAATTCTTCTCCCAGTAGTCATCTAGGCCAGTCAGCAGTCCGCTCCACGTTTCTAACCTTCGTCCCATGGTTTGGAAGCTTACACTCATAGGCGCTATAATCGCCATCCGCTGCAGATTCAATTTCCTTCATCTCTGTCTCGTCCGGCACCGTAGAGTCCTCCTCAATCTCGGCCCAGTAGGCATGTTCTAATTCAGGTGAGGCGGGTTGACCCGCTGATGCCGGGTCGGCATCCTCGATTATCTGTGTTTCGCCTTGCGGGGCATCTGGGAGCTCCTCAGATCGAGGCTCTGCCGATGGTTCGAAAGGCATGTCGCTAGACGGCTCAGGAGCATCCTCCGTGGTGGTCTCAATGGTCACCGTTGTTGCAGTGGCTGGCTCAGTCGGAATAGAGTCGGTGGTAAGGGTGATAGGAGGGGGCACCTGGTCCACCAAAGCGGTAGAACTCTCCATCTGGGAATCCATTGCTGGGATTCAAGAAGATGGACAAGTGTGAGAAGAATCAAAAGACGACGAGTCAAAGTAGCAATGGGGTGACCTGTCCCTAAAGGCTACTGTCGAAGGCGATACAAAACACGAGTGAAGGAGGGCTAGACTGGGGACGATGAGTCAAAGCTGAGAAACACGAGGAGTCGTAGCCTCAGAATGTGTGCAACCAACAGAAGACAATCAGACATTCAAGGGTCAGGAAGTCTGCTGCAATGCTGCCTGCTTGAGTGTTTGAATGGCAGGCTGACGGGTCCCCAAAAAGTGGTCAGGCTGCAGACCGAGGGGCAATGATGGGGGGATTGAAACGTGAGAGCCTGACAGGCAGAAAAAAAGCGAGGGTCTAGAAGAAAAGGCCAACGATAAGACGCAACGAGCAAGGCTTATCAAGGCTGGAGCAGCAGATAATAAATTAGGGGCACAAGTGTCAAATCACTAGTGCTGAGAAAGACAAAAATGAGAGAAGGGAATAGTGTGAGGGGAAGTGGAGGTTGGCTGATGCTCAGCAACAGTTTCCCACAGTTTATCACACTGAATCGGAGAGATTGTGCTGTAGTCTCCCCGTAGCTAAGTATATCAAATCCGGGGAAGGAGATGCGGGAAGTATAGATAAGTAGAGAGAGAAGCTATCCCGACCCGCAAGAAAGGATGAAAGATGGTAAAAACGCAGGAAAGCAGTTGAAGGGAGGAAAGAAGGAAGAGGAGGGAAAGGATGAACTGAAAAAAGAAGCAGAAGAAGAAGAAATCAGAAGAAGCAACAAAAGCGAGTGACAGAGAGAGCTAGGTACTAAACTGATCGAGGGGGGGAAGAGCCAATGGCAAATGGATGAGGATGAGGCGGCAATGCAGCGGCCAAATCACGAGGCGCTCACCGCTGGTTATTGGGGAATCAGAGCCACTTCTGCTTCTTTTTCCCCCGGATTATTAACATCCGTCTCCATCCCGTCCATTGCCACCACACTCGGGTAAAGCAATTAGAGATGAAAAGAACTGAGAAGGAAAAAAAAATCAATTGTTCTCACCCGACCAGATTGCGTGGATAGAACCAACCAACCCAAAAAAAAAAAAGAATAAAATCAAAATATGGAACACTATACAGGAAACTTGAACTGTCCTGTCCTGTCCAGTCCAGCCAGTCCCGTACAGTACCATCTTATCGATTGTCGCGCGATTGATCGACCGAACTAGCCGGGGGGAAACAACACACCAGGAACTGACCTGTCAATTTGCGTTGGTTGCCTTTCCCCTCCTTTCCATCATTTCCCCCCCCACACCCCCCTCCCTCACCCTCGAGGGAAGAATCGGGTATGAATACAACACATCCAATTCAAATCAAAGAAAACATTCTCAAGGCATGGAAACTCCATTTCATTGTTCACTATCACAGGTACAACTTTCCTTTCGTTGAGTTCTTTGTGCAGTATCCGTAGGTCTTTTTCGCATGCATCCCTCGGAACTTGGAACGGCAAGTCAAACTCCCAGCCTGGAGAGGTCCGCCCGATCCTCTGGCTGGTGGCAACAGTCTCGGATAGGACAAACTAATTGAGGGCCTTTTCCACGCCCATGATCGACCTGTGGAAACGCTCCATCGACCCAGTGCAACTCCATCGGTGCCATTCGCCGTTCCACCTGTTGGTATTTTCCCCTCTTCGCCCAAACTTTTTGCCCCTCTGCCGATCCAACAACCTCTCCCGAACCTCCGGGTTTTCGATGGGTTGCCGTCCTCTGCCGTGCAGATTCTGTCCCAGGGCCTCGGAGCTGCTCGTCCGATTTGCCTCCCTTCTCAATATCCTCTCTGACCGCAGCGCAATAAGTGGGGGGGTTAGCGTGACCGTAGCGCCACGCCTGGATCGGCCTTTAGTTACCGACGCGGGGCCGAGATAGGAGGGGAGCTCTCCGGAAAATCGCCCAAGTGCTCGGTGAAGGGCGCCTTGAATGAGCGAGGATGCGGCCTTTGGAGTACTGGAAGTGCAGAAACTGGAAACAAATCATGCAACGGCCATTTCGCCAAATGTCTGCCGAAGTTTACGCAGTGGCCATGATCAATTCTAGGCCTGGGAGGCATCCGGTGCCCCTGCATCTGCTCTCGCAAAAGAAGCGGCCACAATGAGTGGGAAGACAACTGTAGCTTCCGCATATACCTTCACCGATTCACCGTCAGCTTTGATCTTGCCCCAGCTGACGGCCTCATCCGGTCGCGCGCCGGCATCGCTTCCATCGAACTCCTGACCAGTGTTCACGTAGACCGCATGCTCCGCACCGTTCCGCATCAGACAAGCATTCGCAATATGGTGTTTGATGACTCCACCTCCGAGGATGATCATTCCCGCCCGAGCAGCACGGACCGCCATGGTATTGATCCGGCGCACATCGTCGACGATATCAACGCGCAACCGTTGCGGGGAAGATTTGAAAGTGTGGAAGTAGAGCATGTCTCCAAGGGAGCCATCCGTCAAAGCCGGGCAGAAGACGGGAATGTTGTTGCGGGCGGCCCAATACAGCACCGAGTCCTCGTCGTTGATCTCACGACCCAGGCGTTCGGTGATGCGACTCGGGGTCCAGTGCAGTTCGGCTTCCTCGTCCCCCGTTTCCAACGCCTTCTTCTTCGCGGCCTCCTGCTCTTCTAGCATCTTATCCAGAATCGGGACCAGCCAATCCTCAAAGGCGCAGTAATTGCTATTGGGGACAATCAAATTGCCGATCCGATTCAAACCTTTAGCCCGCAGTCCCGCGCCAGGTGTAGAGAAGGAGCCCATGTAGGTTGGCGCCAAGCACTTGATCAAATCTTCTTCCACACCGCCAGCGGTGGTGACAATGGCGGAAACATGGTTGTTTTTGACGAGGTAGCGAATAGTGTCGCGGAGGCCGGAGGAGATCAAGTTGGAAGTGTACCCGAGAAAGATGGTCGTTTTGGCACCGGTTTCGGGATGGCGGTAAGCTTTCTTTCAGAACCGAGTCCTGTGAGCGAGTATGCCTTTTAAGATTAATATGGTAGGTAGAGTGGCCTTACCATGTTGTTGATGATGCGGGCAGCGTCTGCGACCGCACTGCCTTGAAAGCCCGTGTATCTCATGTTGTCGACCAATTCGGCAACAGTAATGTCCCGGTCCTTGTAAAGATCAAAGTCCACTCCGCTCACTTTTTGTGTGCCTTCTGGCACAGGCTCTGATGCGACCAAGACAGCATCGGTGACGGAGGAGGGAGGGGCATTCTCGGCCGCCGGGACGTTGTTCGCAGACATTCTTGGGAAAACTTTGAGGAAACCAGTTGATTGAGTCTGAAATGCTTGGTATAAGAAGAATCAAAGCACTGAATTGATTTCCAATATTGTCCCCTCGATGCTCGACAGAAGGAACGCGAGAAGAGTGGTGAAGGTTGGTGGTCACGTCAAAAAAAAAAAAAAAGCGGGTTATGTTTTCCCCTTAGGCTAGCCTTTTTTTTCGTTGGCACTTTTTTTCCAGTTTCCCCCCTCTTCTGCTAAAAGCGGATGGCGGGGGGCTCGCAGGAAATGCCCGGCGGCGGGCATTGGCAGATGGCAGGCAGTTCAGTTCAAGGTTCAAGGTTGGCAGCTGCTGCAAGGATGCCTGAGTATCTGCCTGAGGCCAGAATGGACCTTCGACACCTCAGGCACGAGGTGGAAACTGGACCCCTGGCCTGAGGCCAACTCCGCAAGTTATTTTTGAGTTTCCCCTAGAAAAGCGAGTCCCTGCAATCGAGTGACTCCCTGGCCAACTAAAAGCATCCGAATCCATTGCCTGGGCCCCATCGCTGAGTCTGGTCAGAGTCGCTCGTTTTTCCCTCTTGCTCCAACCTACCTACCTCTTTCGTGACCCTCTTCTTGACTCTGTCTAGACTCTGACCTCGAAATCCTTCCAGTCCTTCCAGTCCTTCCAGTCCATCTTCAATAATCATTTACCTTCTGTTTCACCTCTAGCTTCTCAAAAACCGTCGGATTTCCCTTCCAACCACCGCCGTTACACGCAAACCGATCTTGGGGTCTCTGGGCGCGTTCCGGCACCGAGAACGAAGACCGCGATCCCATCGCTGGGGATACTGCTGCCCAGCTCCCACTCCTACTCCCACTCCCTTGCAGCGCAGTCTTTCCGGTGATTTACTTGACACGTTGTCGCCCATCAGACACTGCGGACCACAGCTCCAGTTACGTTGAAAGATCAGGTAAATTGAGTTTGCGTCTTTTGATTTTTGTTTGCTATTGTTTCCGTCAGAAGCTCGAGGTTTTGAGGTTCTTTATTATCATCATCTACCATCACCCTCATCATCCTCATGTTCTTTGAAACGGCTTTCTTCTACCACTCTCGACCCCTCCGATGAAGATTTCCGGCTGTGTGAGACACTGTACTCCGTTCCTTGAGTCGTGACCAGCCAGAAGGTCTCCCCTCGCACTGGAAATCGAAATCTGTCTGCTGCCGCCTGCGTGATCCCCGATCCACCCAGGAAAGCTGCCCCGGCTTGTCCAGTCACGGGCTGAATCAATCGGCGCCAACCGTGGCTGCCGCTAAGCATGAGGGATGGTGCCAAATTGGGATCCGCGCTAAGTGGATTGAACTGGATTCATGCTAAAATGATTACCTAATTTTCAATCCTGGCCCGTGCGTTTTCTCTTTTCCCAGTGACTGGCAGACTCAGTTTCACCCATGCTGGGCTGGCTCGGGGCTGGCATGCTTCATTCTACCCATCACGTGTTCTCCACTGCCCGTTCGTTCGTTCGTCGGTCGCTCGGTCGGTCGTTCGATCGTTACTCGCTCGCGCTTTGGCTGCGACTGCGACTGCTGCTGCTGCTGCTGCCGCTTCCGCCTCTTTGCGTCAATTGGTCTTTCCAACCCGCTCTTTTCGAGACTCCTGCTTCTTCTTCTTCTGTCCATTTGTCTCATATCCATCCATTTCCTCGGTTTCCTTTCTTTCTCTTTACTTTACTGGACTTTTGAATTTTTGTTTACTTCACCCTTTCCCTTTCTTTTCTTTTGGACATACTTTCTTTCTTTCCTCGAAGTCCGAATTTCATCCCACCCAGTACCTCGCCTTGGTTGAACCTCTGAAGTCCCGCGTTACTAATCTGTCGCAGGCATCCTGCCGGGTTGCTTTGTCTCATGTGCACTAGCATGACCTGGTGATGTCTCAAAGATACCCTCCGCCGTCTGGGTTCAACTCCCGTGACCGTTCTCCGCAGCGTTTTGGGGATCGTCGACCCCCGGCAGGTCCCCGAGGATCCGACGATGCCAACATCCCACCCTTGGGCCGAGAGCCACCTCGAGGTCCTAAAGCTTTGATTGACCCCCCGCCTCGAGGTGCTACATTTGCTGGTCGTGGCCGAGGATACACCGCCCGGGGAGGAGATTTCCGAGAACGAGATCGAGACATTCGAGATCGCGAACGAGACCGAGACCGAGATTTTCGCGATGTCCGTGATGGCCCGCCACCTTTTCGCCGCGACCTGGATCGAGATCGGGACTGGAGCCGGCGCGATCGCGACTTCGATCCTCGAGAACCCCGCATCGGCTTCGGACGCGGTCGCTCGCGCTCTCCCCCACCGCCTCGCGACTTTCGCGATATAAGAGAGCCTCTTGGCCGAGATCCTGATCTCGTCCGCATGCGGCGCGGCTCCCGAGATAGTTTGATATCTGTCTCCTCGGCAGTGCCTGACGTCCCGGCAGGAAACAGTCACCATGTTCGGACCGGTCCCCCAATCCGTGGGCGTGGTCGGGGTGAGTGGGAAGCAGGACGCGGCAGAGGCCGGATGCCTTATTTAGACGATCGTGACACTTTCAGGCGCAGAAGTCGGTCGCGCGACGGACGCTGGGATCGGGAACGCGACCGGGACCGGGAACGAGACCGGGACCGGGAACGTGAGCGTGAAAGAGAACGAGATAGAGATCGCATACTCGACCGCGACCGTGAACGTGAACGTGAACGAGTACCGTTAGACCGCGACCGTGAGATTGACCGAAGAGATCGGGAAAGAGAGCGTGACATACTGCAGGAGAGACGAGAAAGGTTCGAACGACGAGACGACTTGGAACGCCGTGTTGAGCGCGATGACCGGGAGCGACCGGGGGATCACTGGAAGCGTGAGCCGCCTGCCAATCGATTGGAGAATCCAAACCGGATACCTAGCATATCTGCCGCCTCACCTGTCGCTACTGCACCCCAACCAACAACCCCTGCAGTTCCCGAGCGGGTACCTGAGCCCCCTGTTGTTGAGTCGCCACGCAAACCGTCGGGAGGAGATGTCCGCCGCGAGCCAGAACGAACTGAGCCACCTGCACCACCAGGTCGTGCGGAGCCCCCGAAAGAAGCAGTAGTTGCGCCGCCCGTGAAACGATCTCCTCCCCCGGCTGCGCCCCAGGTTCCCGCATTCGGTTCGGTTACGGCGCCAATTCTCGAAATCACGGCAGACAAAACAACGGCAGACTCGGCGCCTGCTGCATCCACTGTTGCCAACCCCGAAAAGGAACGCCCCGAGGCGCCGCCACGGGCCTTAGGACATCCACCCACTGCCCCCAAAGCTGATCGGGCACCTCCTCAGCTGCCTCTCGAGCAGCGAATCCGACGCGATGAGACCAGACGTGACGACATAATCGACACACCGGCAAAGCCCGAACCCATCGCACGTCTGCCCAAACCGCACGCCGCACCCCCACCCAGTGGACCTATGGTAGCAGAGCTTTCTCCGCCTACTGCGCCCGCTGCCATGGTGGCCAAGGAGACATCGGCCTTCCATGAGGCAACGTCGCCAAGCAAGCCAGGGCCTGTCCCGATGACGGTAGATTTTGGCCGGAGGCCGTCTGCGGCAGGACGTGCGGTATCTCCGGGCGCCCACACCTCCCCTAGGATGCCGAATTCAACGATCCCAACTGGACCACGTGCTCTTCAACAGCGACCATCTGTTTCCCGCGGGCCGCCCAAGCCTAACAAGCAATGGGTTCGTCCTGGATACAGTCGTCCACCAGCCGGGCCAAGTTCAACCCTCCCTGCAAAACGGGACTCTATTGATGAAAAAGAGCGTAGTCTTTCGGTCAGCGAAGAGCACCGGCGGGATTCACGTACTGATATGGATGATTCAGGCTCAGGGCCAGAGGCAGGAGAAATAGTCAGTGAAAAGGATCCGACTGAGCCAAGGCTTGAACTCCCACCTTCGCCTCCCCTAGCGGCGCAACCAGAGAGACCCAGGGAGAGATCCGCTCCGCCTGTACAGAAGGAAAAAACACCCGAAAAGCAAACGGAAAAGCCAGCGGAAAAGCCAGCAGACGCACCGAAGAAAGTGGTTATTCCCGATTTCACACGGACTAGCGACGAAGAGGAAGACGAGAATATCGTTTTCACCCAAGACTATCTTGAAGAGAGGAAAAGGGTGTTCGAGAAGGACATGCAAGCCCTCCGAGCGGAGCTTCCTCCGTCTCCGTTAGAAGATCCAACCATAATGACGCTACTGATGCGTATCCAGCTACTTGGTGCCTTAGCCCATGCCACCGTCAAAGACAAAGCACCAATCCCTCCGCCTGTCCGGGAGGAAGAGAAAAGAGCCAGCGATGAGAAGCCGGATGCAATGGATGTGGACACCGAGCCGAACGGAAAGGCCGAAGATCACGAGCCACCGACCAAGGAGGTTATGGAATCGGTGCCTGCTGCTGAAGTACTCTCTGTGGAGACTTTACCGTTTCTCAACACTGGTCCCCCGACCCCGTTGTCAGATCTGGACATCTACCAGGAGAATGCAGCAGCTCATGAGCAGCTCAGGGATCTTTTCCGCGGAGAGCTAATGAAACAACGTAAAGAGATCGCTCAAAAGAACGCTGGCTTACGGCTTGATTATCTTGCTCACTACAAGCCCTGGAGGCTGAATGTTTGGGAATTGGATAATGCGAAAGAAAAGACGTCGGTCACGCCCGGACCAACCACACCTCCTGCTGCCCCCATTCCTGTGACGCCTACACCTCCTGTGGAAAGCGGACGAAGATATAAAGGCAACAGCGAGCTGGATTTTCAGAACGCTCTTCGCGCTTCCGAGATTTCGGCACAAGAGGAACTCGAGAAGCGTCGTGGCAACAAAGCTACCGCTCAGCCAGATCTATCCCGCGAAGCCGTCATCCCAGACATGCTAGAACCGCGCGAGGTGAAGGCACAAATCTATAAAGACACCAACAACATTATTGATCCTGAGAACGCCATGGACGTATTCGGCTTCCTGCCGCCGCCCAATGACTTCACTAAAGAGGAACATGTTATTTTCACAGATGCATTCATGGCACATCCCAAGAAATGGGGCAAAATTGCGGAATCATTGCCTGGACGCGACTTTCAACAATGCATCATACATTACTATCTCACCAAGGAAGAGATCAAGTACAAAGCCAAGCTCAACAAGCGGTGGAGTCGTCGGGGACGGGCTAGAAGATCTGCTCGTCCAAAGTCGAATGCGCTCATGGCCGATTTGGGTGTGGTCAAGCCAGACTACGAAGGGGAAGAAGAGCCCGCGCCTGTCACGGATACCGGGCGTCCCCGACGTGCAGCTGCTCCCACGTTTGGAGACTCGTCTGCGGACACAGATGCAAACGGTCGTCGCGGAAATGCGTCCAAGGACGGTGAACAGGCAGAGAAACCTAGCCGGCGAGGACCTCGCAGTGGCGGCGGTACTCGTGGTGGTCGGCGCGGCAAAGCTGCGCAGCAACAACAACTGCAGCAGCAGCAACAGCTACAACAGCAACAACAACAACAACAACAACAACAACAACAACAACAACAACAACAACAACAACAACAACAACAACAACAACAACAACAATTGCAACTGCAGCTGCAGCAGCAACAACAGCAAACACCGCAGCCGACGCCATCAGAGCAATCGGCTCGAACAACGCCGGTGCCCCCTGTTGCAATCGCCGTTACTCCCGTACCAAAGACAGAGGTATTTGAGCCGTCGCTTGATGGAGCTGCTGCTGCTGAAGTTCCGATTGTTCGCAAGGAGACGCCGCAAGAAAAAGAGCCGATCGAGGCACCACCGCGGGCGCGATCAGGACGAGGACGTCAGAAAGAGGGGGTCTATGTTTTCGAATCAACTGATCAGGAGGCCCCCGCCCCCGCCAGGCAGCCCGAAGCCAGCGGATACGGATCCTTGCAGCCCACAAGTTACTGGTCGGTGCCCGAGCAACGCGACTTTCCCTTGCTGCTGGCACATTTCGGGCGCGATTTTGAGGGTATTTCCAATTTCATGAAGACCAAAACAACAGTCATGGTAGGTTTCCTCGTTCGCTATTTTCTCTTCTCTTTTTTGTTGTATCATCGGCTAAAGGTGTGGTATAGGTCAAGAATTACTTTCAACGCCGCATCGACTCCGGTAATAAGGATTTCGAGGAGATTGTTGCAGATGCCGAGGCGAAGAAGGCTCGCGGTGAACCCACTGGCCCCTTGCCTGTACCGAATTTCGCCTCGAAGCGACGCTACGAGGCTACGCCGTCTGCCATAATTATGCCCCGGCCTCTTGCACCCCATACAGATGCAGCAGTGCCTGAAGCGGACGAAGGTCGGCTTGGGCCCAAAACCAAGCCAATCGGGTCATCTCAGCAGGTTCCTCTTCATACTCGACCTACGCAAGATAAGGACCGAAACGTCTCGCGTTACCCTCCGCTTGCACAGGCTAGTGCCGTGCCGGTGCCTATCCTTGGCGGCGATGACGCTTCCAGAGCCATGCGTCCTCAGGCTACATTGCCACCACGACTCCAGGGACCACGTCTGGGATATTTCGCGGACGACCGGCGTGAGATCCCTGGCACAGTGCTTTCACACCCTTCGGCCTCTCATGCTCAGGAAATTACTGTCTCATCTCGGCAAACGCCAGTATCAGCTGCAGAAATGGCACGTCTCGAAACGCTCCATGCTCAGGGTTATCGGACTTCCAACGTCGACATTCATGGATCGCCATTGCTTCCAGTACAGGCTGCAACCCCTGCCTCGCAGCCTTCTTATATGCCGCCCCAGCATCCATCGTCTTTGATGCCCACCGGGTCTCACTCTCACTCTCGACAGCCGAGCCTTACAAAGACCCCCAGCTCACCCGCTCAGCCACTTTTGGGACACGAGCCTGAACACTCCCCCATCCGTCGTGACTCGATCTCGCAGCGGCCGTTCTGGACTCTGCCAGGCCAACCAGCAAGTATCGCCCAGCCGCCCATGCTGTCGCCGCCTAAGGAGCTTCTCCGACCGGGGTCCACTCCTCTTGAGCCGCCCGAGCCGCCTCGTGTGCCTGCCAAACGATCGAATATCATGAGTATTCTCAACGACGAGCCAGAAGAGCCGCAGCCACGGAAACGGTTTGCTAGTGACCAGGTATCTACTCCAGCAAGCAACACGGGATCTCCGTCCCGTGCAGGGTATGCCGGTATGCAGTCACTCTCACAGCCACCCTCGAGGCCTGAGGACCCTGCTTTGTCTGCTCAACCGAAGGGTCCAGTCTATGGCGCGCCCAGCCCGTATCTTCCGCCGCGCGGGTATGCTGATCGTGTGTACACTGAGTATCAGCCTTACGGTTCTGGGTCTGGAGGTGCTGGACCAGCCAATAATGATTGGATGGCACGGTTCGACCCGCGTGGGCAACAGCCGCCACCACCACCGCAGCAGCAGCAGCAGCAGCAGCCGCAGCCGAGCAGCCGCCCGTCTGCATCTCTCGCTTCCCAACCCGCCTATTCCCCCTATACGTCCCACCAGTCTTTGCCTGGTCCCTCGTTACAGAACCTTACAGCACCATCGCCGGCGCCTACGCCGTCGCCGGCTACGGCTCAGCGACCTGCTTATCATGGCTCAGTGTACGTGCCTTCCCCTGCGTCACATGCTCAGGCAAGTGCGGCGGCATCGCGCGAAATTGCTGCGCAGAATGCGATGTATCGACCGGCAGTTGGCTCTCCGACCCCACGGAACGGCAGTCTCGCGTCGTATGGCTCCAGGCAAGGGCCGCCGACGCCAATTCAGTCACCTGCTAATTTACTGGGGATGCCCTCCCGACCGCCGACTGTGCCACAGTCGGCGTACGTGTCGGCACCAGCCACACCCGGTGCGGGCATGTCCGCGCAACAACATGTGAACCATCAGACTTATCAGCAGCACGTCCAAACGATGGTGAATGGAGCTCATCAACAGGCGGCTCATCGATCCGCCCTGGGACTGGCTGGTGCCGTAGCGTACGGTCATAACACCCCGCCCCCGCAGGCTCAATTGTCTCGGGCAGCAGGCCTGCCTGGACCGGGGCCGCAAGCGATGGCGATGGGTCGGTCATACACACCCCCAGCGATCCTGCAGCCGAACCCAGCGGGAGGGTTGAGCTATGCTCCTAGTGGGGCTGTGCACGCCATGCAAGCACGGCCCCCAGGGCCTGGCGGTCTAGAACCGGGTCCGCATGGGGCTCCCGGGCACCATCGCGTGTACAGCCAGGGGTCGAACCCGGGGCCACTTCCTGGACAGATGACACCCCAGCATGCCCCTCGATAGAGTCGAGACTTCATATCTAATTTGAGGTAGCGTTTGGCGGGGCAATGGGGTGGTGGGGTGGTGGGGTGTGGATGTTTTGCCTGTATTATCTTCAAGCTTTCTTGCCTGTCTGAGTTTTATCTCTTTTGTCGGATGACGACTGAATGTATAGTAGATGACTACATGGATGGCCAATCTTATCTGATAACTTGCTGGGTGTAGGAGTAGAAAAATCGGATTTGACCCGTCCACGCAAGGCAGTACGTGGACGATGATCCAGTGGAGACCTTCTGCCGCGCCGATGAAACATGACATCCCGTGTGTCTGTGGGGGGATGATCGGCTACGATGGATGCTTATCAGCGCGTATCTTTTTATTTACAGTGCTGTCAACCCATGCAACGCTTCCATCTCAAACCCCTCGTTTGTATTCTGAGATGTCTTTCCCAAGTGCAAGTCTAGCATGCAGCCCTCCTCCTCCTCCACCCCCTGAACCCATCGAACCCCCGATCCTCCTCCAATCCGAGCGCCACAAGACCTACTACGAGAGCACCCGACTCGCGCGGCGCCGCTACGAGCACGCCACCCTCCGCGAGGGTCTGCAGCGGGGATTATCGCTCTGGAGCATTTTGGCCATCTTATCCAGTGGGGGACATGAGGATGTCCCCTATCGCGGGAGGAGAGTGCATCCTTCGAGGCTGATTAGCTATAGCCATGGCCCGCGACTTGAGGACCGCAGTACCAGCATGGGTTGCGAATCCACAGCCATGCACTACGCTCACGCCCACATCTACGATGAACCCCCGCTTGAACAACACGAGCAGCGTCCCACCATGATGATGCTTTCGTCCTCGTATCCGCAGAGCCAACCTCCGATTCACCATCGAAACACAAGTGAATACTACAGCAGCAGCAGCAGCAGCACAACCCCCTCGCCCCCACGCCTACCCCAACATAACCACCACCACCACCAAAGCCAGATATACAACCCCAACCATCAACATACCCCAATCAACAACACCCACCACCACCACTACCATCACCACCCATCCCAAAAAATCAACCCCCTCCTCACCCTTACCATCAATCCCCCCCTCATCACCCCGGATAGCTCCTACTTCGCCCGCGTCTCGGACTACCGCGTGCGCAGCCGGAAGCGGCCGTGGGAGGGGGACCGGAGCTGGGACCGGAGCTTTTTGTGTCGGGCCTATAAGCGGCGGCGGGGTGGGGGTGGGGGTGAGACTCTGGGTATTGGGTCCGATGGGAGGAGGGTGCGAGGGTGTGGTGGTGGTGGGGCGGTGGTGTTGGAGAGGGGGATGGTTTGGGAGATGGGGGGTTGTGGTTCTGATATTCAGGGGGAGGGGGGAAGAGATTATTGGGAGGGCGATGGGGATGGGGGGAGGTGGCGGTATTGGGTTCCTGTTTAGGTGGTATATTGGTTGAGGGAGGTAGAGCAATGAAAGATGCTTTTATTACTGTTTCATCTATTCTATGGCTAATGCTGAGTAGGCGCACGCTATCTCGCGTGGGTTGATGTTATATGTGTGATTAGCTCGATGGCCTGCATCGAGGGCTCATGGCTACCTACCTAGCTTCAATGGCTAATGTGTCAAGGCTAAGGGCGCTTCCTGAAGACCAGCGGACATTCGTCCTGTTTCATGTTAGTACGACTTTACGGTTTACAGGTCGATAAGGAACACTCACCATCGGAAACAACGTGGCAAACACCCGGATCTCCTCCGACCTGGCCGTCGCATGATGCGTCCAGTCCAGCTCCAGCGCCGCCTTGCCGATCATCCCCGCCATCGACAGCGGCACGTACTTCCGCGCCAGACAGTCGTGCGCCCCCGCCCCGAACACCAGCCAGTTCTTCGTCTTCGACTCGGCATCCCCCGTGATCCAGCGGTCCGGTTCGAACACCTCGGGGTTCGGGTACGCCTCGGGGTCATGCAGCGCCGGCCAGCACGAGGGGATCACCATCGCCCCCTTGGGCGCGGTGTACTCGGGCGTGATGGGGAAGTCGCGGGTCGCGAGGTAGGGCACGAAGATGACGGGCGGGCGGTGGCGGAGCAGCTCCTTGATGACGGCGCTGGTGTAGGTCAGCGACTCCAGCATGGGCAGGTCGAAGGCGCGGGAGCGGTCGCCGCCGCGGGCGGCCAGGTTCTCCGCGCGCACGCGGGCCAGCACGTCCGGCCGCTGGGCCAGGATCTGGAAGATCCAGGTCGTGGCGCTGCTGGAGGCGTCCTGCGAGGCGAACAGGAAGGTGAACAGCGTCTCGCTGATCTCCTGGTCTGTGAACTCGCGGATCAGGTTCTGGGGCTTCTCCTCATCCGGCACGGCCTCGCCCGCCGCCAGCCGCGCCCGGTACCGGCTCGACTCCATCATGTGCCGCACCCAGTGGTCCACGATGCAGGTGGGCGCCGCCCCGCGCGCCATGTTCGCCTTGCACGCCGCCGCGCACCGCGCGAACTCCGCGTGCACCGCGTCCGCCGTCCGCTTGCCCCACCACGGCTTTGTGAACGGCACGTACATCGACAGCGGGATGTTGACCAGCTCCAGCGCCGCCGTCGCCAGGTAGAAGTCGTCCGCGATCTTCTGGATCGCGTCCGGCGAGATGTAGTCCCCGAAGAAGGTGCGGCATGAGAGTGCGCAGTTGATCTCGCGGAAGAAGGTCATGAAGGGGATCGGCCGGTGGTCGTTGGCCGCGCTCGCCGCCACGAACCGGTCGAAGTAGTCCGCCAGCACCTTCTCCTGGCCCGGGAGGTAGGTCGCCATGGCTTTGTTGGTGAACAGCGGCGCCAGGCCCCGGCGGTACTCGGCGTGCGCCTTGCCTTGCAGGAAAACCCAGGCTTTGTGGCCGAGGATGTCTTTGGCGATGGGGACGAGGCACGGTTCTGCGTAGGTGGGGGATTTGAAGACTTTGTGCGCGAGGTCGCGGTCGGAGGCGAGGACGACGAATCTGTGGGGGGATTAGGAGGGGATGATATGTTGTTCGTGTGGTGGAACGTACTTGTGGAAGACGGAGACGCAGCTTAGAGGTCCGCTCGCCCATTGAGCGAGGTATTCATCGAACTTGGGGTGGATGGCTTGGAGGAATGGACCCATCAGGGGGATCTTGAATGCCGGGCCGGCGATAGAGCCCTTTCGCTTGATGTACATGACTTTTTGTGACTGGAGTCAGTGACTGGCTGGTAGTTGAGGGGGGGGGTGTTGTAACCTTGGTCGTAGAGTACTACTCCCACTAGGAAAGTCACGATATACTGCCAGGTGGACCAGCCCGTTAAGGAGGATGCTGGGCTGGGCCATGTTGGCGATTGTGCGAGGTGCGCTGTGGTGATGTTGACGATATCAGCCATGGTGATAATCCTGGACGATGAAAGTCATGAAGGAAAAAATCGAGATGAGTGGTCATTGTACTGATTTATACCAATGCACGAGGAGAAAAGGAGACTGCATAGATCGATCCATCATGCGATAGAATGCTCGGTTTGTATACATGACCCGATTGGGACTAGACCCCGAAAACACATTCGGGCTCTAGTCTTTTCCGGGTTAGACTTGAATGGCTTCAATGGCCATTGATTCACTCTTCACTCTTCACTTTACAGTCCACAGTTTCATCTCTCGCTGCTGTCCATCATTTCTAATTAATCCTTACAAAACACTTGCATGACATTGGCGCCACTACTCGGACATACCATGGCCCCTGAGGCAGAGATCCTCAGTTGACCAAGCCGGGTGTGTGTTCTTTTCCTCCAATTCTTGCTGAAGCGCAGGCAGCATCCTAAGCAGAGGCCTCGGCATCCGCTTGGCGACCCTTTCCTTTACACAGTCTAGATCGGTTCTTCATCTCCACCAACACTCTTCTCTCCGGTGGCACAATCTCAAGGGAAACACATCTAGACTCAACTGCATGACACCACAATGTCGCGAACACTTCGTCGCTCCTGTACAGCCTGCTACAAGTACAAACATAGCTGCGATCTCCGCACTCCGCGTTGCTCGCGCTGCATCAAGCGCAACGTTCCGTGCGTCTACGCCAATCAACCCCTGACAGTATCGGATGATAGCGGATCGACGATAGCGCCCAACTACTCGACTGCTTTGACCAGCTACAGGTTCCCCGGTCTCGACCCTTTCGACTCCTACCCCCAAACTCGACTGCCCCGGGAACGTGTTCAACGTCTGATTCATAGTTGTACGTATTGCTTTCACCTAGCTTGTACTAGGCAGCGTCACTCACCAGCCAGTCCTGCACAAAATCGCCTTTCAGTACTATCCGCTGGACCTGAGCGCGACGACAAATCCGTTCCTTATCTCCTGGTGGCCGCTGGCTCTGGGCGATCCGGCTTTGTTCCATGTCTCCCTGCAGACAGCGTGTCTGGACGAAGAGCTGCTCGCTCAGAAGGGCTTCCAGGCCTCCGAGATCCTCATGACCGACTCGGTGTCGCTACTACGCCGCAAGATTGAAGACCAATCCCTAGCCGTCCAGGATGGTACGATGAACTCGGTTATCACCTTGGCGGCTATTGAGGTAAGTTCCGAGATTGCACACTTTGACGCACTGCTAACCACCGCGGCTCCAGTTCGGCAAGGGGAATGTCGACATTGCTGGGATGCATGTCAACGGGGTCAAGAAATTGGTTACGCTGCGAGGCGGTATTACTGCAGTAAGACAGACCAGCCCTTTGACTGCTCGCATGATCAGTTGGTAAGTCGACTTAGCCCCCTAACAAAACCTTACTGACGTATGCCGCCAGGGTATCGATGCTTGTCATGGGCCACCCCCAATTTGACACGCAGGACGATGCCGGCATCGGAGATGGCATTCCCTCAACTCCCGAATATCAATACGCTTCTTCTACGGACACTCTTGAGGACGGAGTAGTCGATTTTGTCCACTTCGTTAATGACAATGTTGAGTACTCTGTCCGGGATGTCTTCATCCGCCTCCGCAATGTCTTTCAACGTGCGCGTCATATACCCTTCCCACCGACCCATCTACACGACCTGACATGTTTTGTCATCCACCGACTGCTTCTTTCAGCCCCTTCATACTCTACAGAACCGAATTCTCAAACACCGCCATCAATACCATCCTGTATAACCGAATGCGTCCGCTACGCCACCATCATCTACATGTTCATCATCCATGGTCCAACATACTACTCACACGCGGTCATTTTGCACACGATGGTCATGCGATTTGTGCAGCATCTCAAGCTCCTCGATCTGGCACCCCACGTCCACTCCTCTCTTGATGTCTGGTTCGTAGCAATTGGGATGGTCGCTTCCACCGGGACTGACCCCGCCCACTACCAATGGTTCTTGGAGAGGGCCCGGATGGTAGCAGGCGCCTTAAACCTAAGAAGTTGGAGTGACGCAACCAACAAAGTCAAGAGTGTCCTGTGGTTTGACATTCCGCAGGGAGATGCAATCTTTCGCCCGCACTTGGATGCGATCTTTAGCGATGCAACAGATATCTCAGTGCATCGACTCGATCTTGCAGTCTGTGTTTCGTCGAGTAGTGCTCGTGAAGGACTATCGCGAATAGCACAGTTGTCTGATGCATACACATGACATGGTGGTAGCCATGAAACGGGATGCAGACTGAACTGAAGTGCAGACAGTGGTATGTGATGTGGGCGAAAATATCCATCCCGAGGCGACGGTACCGCCAAGTAGGAGGTCCGGATTTATTGATAAATCCTTATCCCCGAATACAGTGCTCTCTGCGAGGCTCTTCCCGGGTTAGCAGGAGGTCCAGAAATTTTGGTTCAAGACTTGAGTTCGCCGCTCCGAGGGACTATCCCTCTACGGACATTTCCCACATCAAGCGCTACTTCCTGAAAATCTGACATGCGATAGCTGTTTTTACGCGCGTTGGGATAAGCAGTATCTGCCAAGCTCTCGCTCCGCAATCTCTGACTCTGAAACCGGGTGTGATTGGCAGTTGGGCGGGTCGAGCCGGGTTGACGCCGAGAAAAAGAGGAGCAACATATCAATCGATAGACTGATGAGACCCGTGAAAGCCATGTATTCAGAGATATGGTCTTATCGCTCTAATTTGGGTGAGCACCTATTCCTGGATAGAGCTGGATCAGAGGGATCGATGCTATCACGGCTTCTTCCGCCCTTGAGGCGGTAGTCGGCAACTGCCGACATATCATCAGGGGAATCAGAGAATTCAGCACAGGCCTTCTCTAGTCGTCAGCAGCGCTCTTTCTGACTCGCGTTGACTAATTACTACCCCTGTTATGACGTGATGATTGGCTCATCGGAATATCCGAATCGGACCTCCGACACTAAGAGGGTCGCCTCGGTCTCTCGCGGTGCCGAGACCCGGTGGCAATCCCAATAAAGATCGGAGGCTTGCGTTTTCTAGAACGCGAGGGGAAGTCGTGAGTTTGCTGCATACACAAATTCTTCAGGCAGCATGACGGTAGTGCCTGGCACGACGGTCTCATCGACATCACCATCTAATGATGTTGAGAAGGCTGCTAAACCGGTATCCTCGCCCGATCCCAATCTGGTGCGGTGGGAGGAAAATGACCCCGAAAATCCACAAAACTTCTCGACAGCGTATAAATGCTGGATCACCTTCCAATTAGGGATGTTGGCCCTAAGCGCCAGTTTGGGATCGAGTATCATCTCCCCTGCGCAAACGGACCTCATTGAATACCTTGGGATCAGTAAGGAGGTCAGCATCCTGGCCACGTCGCTTTACATGTAAGATTCACTCCCTAGCCTCTGATAACAGTCCGAATTAACGGAGGATAGTCTCGGGTTCGCATTCGGTCCGCTGTGCTGGGCACCGATTTCAGAGATCTGGGGCCGTCGCTGGTCGATGCTCCCCGCGGTATTTTGCATGGGTCTATTTAGCATCGGCACCGCGACCAGCAAGACCACTGCTTCCGTGCTCATCACGCGATATTTTGCCGGCCTGTTCGGCTCTGCCCCCGTCAGCAATGTCTCCGCCGCCCTCGGGGATATTTTTCACATGAAGGCGCGGGGAATCGCCTCGACCTCGTACGCCATCTGCGTCGTTGGCGGGCCCACGATGGGACCCATCATCGGGGCGGCATTGGTCTCGAACCCTTCTCTCGGCTGGCGCTGGACCGAATACATCGAAGCGATTATTGTTTTCTTCGTGTTTGCCGTCACGTTCTTCTGTTTGCCCGAGATGTACGGTCCCGTGCTCCTGCACAAGAAAGCCGTCCGCCTACGCAAAGAAACCGGCAATGCGGACCTCTACCACCCCCACGAGCATTTGAAAATCGACGCCCACAGCATCGTGACGAAGCACTTCTCCCGGCCCTTGGTCATGCTCGTCACCGAGCCGATGGTCACCGTGATTGCGCTGTACGCCTCCTTCACCTACGCCATTCTCTACCTCACCCTTGAGGTCTTCCCCATCGTCTTCGACGAACTCCGCCAGTGGAAACCCGTGGTCGCGACCCTCCCGTTCATCGCCCTGTTCGTCGGCGTTCTCCTGTCGTCCGCCTTCATCATCCTCGTCGGCCAACCCTACTACATCCGCAAGTTCGACGAAGGCGGCGGCAAGCCCGTGCCTGAGGGCCGCCTCATGCCCATGGCCGTCGGCGGGTTCTTGTTCGCGGCGGGCCTGTTCTGGTTTGGCTGGACCGCCGCGCCGAAGTACCACTGGGCGCTGCCCTGCGTGGCGGCGGGCATGTTCGGCTGCGGGTTCTGCATCATCTTCGGCCAGTGCATCAACTTCCTGGTCGACACGTACGGGCCCTATGCCGCGTCCGCCACGGCGTCCAACACCTTCCTGCGGAGCGTACTGGCGGCGGCGTTCCCGCTGTTCTCGCAGCCCATGTTCCACAACCTGGGCGTGGGCCCGGCCATGTCGATCCTGGGGGGTGTGGCGGCGGCGGCGATCCCGGTGCCGTTTCTGTTTATGGTGTACGGGAAGCGGTTGCGGGCCATGTCGAGGTTTGCGCCATTCAAGGGGTGATTCGGTGGTTGTGGGTGGTCTTGTTAAGGGGACTGACGAGGGTTCTGCATAAAAGGTGTTTCGTGTTGTTTGATGATGCTTAGATTACGGCATTTACATATATATAATAGACAGGCATGTACGTATATATACAGGCTTTTTAGTCGGAAACTGTCATACACGTTCGAATTATGACTGGACAGGAGAGATTCCTACGATGGTTTATTTTTGCAGGGGGGCCATGATAAACAGTCATTGAATCATAGGCAGGAGGAAAGAGATTCAGTGAAATTATAGCCATGTTTGACGAGTGCAAGCTGGCGGATGCGAAGAACAGACATGAACTGAATCTCCCTCCGCCCCATCACAACCAACAGAGCATTGCATTTTCGCAGACGAAACACCTGGACCGACCAGATCGAGTCCCGGAGAATGAGACCCTAGTTGCCGTACGGAAGTGCAATTGATAATGAAGCTTCCTCTCCAGGCAAGAAGTTAGGCCAAGAGCAGCAGGTTGTTCAAGCGCCCTGCGTGACAAACTTAACAAGAACTAGTTATCCCATGCCTTCTAGATACTTTATCTCTGGCTTGTAAGACTATCTAGCGGTTGCGCTTCCACACAACGTCCGATATGGTGTAGTGGCTAACATCGCCGTCTCTCACACGGCAGCCGGGGGTTCGATTCCCCCTATCGGAGCTCATTTTTTTTGTGTTTTTGCTGGCTGGATGCGTCTGTCTACCTTGTTGTTAGAGCATTCCTCTTATTTTCAACATTTGAAGTGTATACATCATGTCATGATGATCCGACTTACACTTCCGGTCCGGTCGGGCAGCCACGCGAGACTGTAAATAGACTTTTTGGTTGTCCGGCTGTCGGCCTGTGGCCTGTCACACGCGTATCAGCGTCAGCGGGAGTTGATCCGAGTGGACTCCTAGCCTGCATCCCTTCCGTAGCTTTGTTACACCACACAACTATACAGATCGTCTCTTCAATCGTTCCCCCTTCTCTGGCAGCTAAAATCCTTAGCCCTAAGTCTGAAGCACTCGCATATTCTCAAACAACCGGCATTCCGCCCCTTCTTTCCGTTCCGCCCTTACGTAGTCTCTAGACCCTGGGGACCAGTGACCCAATTCCTCAGAGACTATTATAGCATATGCCCAGGGGTGGTTCCACCAAGATGCGATGGCCTATACACTCCCCATTCAATATCTCCTCACCCCATCAATTCGCTTTCCCCCGAGGATATAGACCATCTCCCCGCGTACCCAGCCATCCAGCCTGGAAGTCCACCACCCCCTTGCCCTACTCCTCATCCGCAACCTCACACTCACACCCCGCTCCCAAAACCCAAACCCAAGCCACCGACTACCAACACAACTGGGTAGATGACGCAGAGACGCTGGCGCGGTATAGACCACCACCCATCCGACCGCTCGAACTCGGCATCGACGCCGGGGAATTCTCCCTCGCAGACGCGCACCTGATCCTGGGCGACTTCGGCGAGGTTTCGAGCCGTCCGCCGCGCTGTCCGCCGCCGCGGCCGACATCTGGAGTCTGGGCTTGGCCATCTGGGAGATTTTTGGGGGGCCTGAAGGCCCCCTCTTCAGTGGTGGAGGTTGGCACGGCGGAGGAGCTCGTCGCCCAGTACGTTGACGGGCTCCGGGCGATGCCCCCCCGGCGTGGTGGGAATACTTGGAAGAGAGGGGCCAATTCTTCGAGAAAAAAAAAAAAAGAAAAACGATAGTCAGAGGTGCCCCAAAGCAGGATCGGGATATTTGGCCGCCAATCGACCAGGAATTTGAGGACAGGGTGCAGCATTATCGCAGGAAGCGGAAAATAGGCGAGTTTGGGGCGGAGGAGACGGCGGCGATTTTGGATCTCATGCGGCGGATGTTGGCGTTTCGGCCGGAGGAACAGCCCGTCGACAGCGGAGGTACTGCAATCGGAGTGGATGATTGAGTGGATGTTGCCGGATTATGAGCGGGGGTTGCTGCAGAGGCAGCAGTAACGGAGGAATATGCTTGGGATGTGCGAAGGGGATTGATGTCTTTCTTGGTGGTTGTGGATGCATTGGACATGTTTCTATTGTTGCGAGTGATTGCGTATTACTCTCGATCTCAGGTAGCGGGAGGATAGGCAGGAGGAAGACGACTCTCCACTCATAAGTAGCCATATAAAAGTTTAGGACACATTGACTTGGACATATTGACTTCAGCTCGAGCCAGAATATTCGTGCAATATGGACAAGGAAGAAAGTATAACGATGTACAGCAATGGCTCAACTGCATTAAACTAATATACCTAAACAGCCCGAATTTTCTTCCAACCATCAACTACCCCAAACAGGATGACAAAACCAATAAAAACATTATTATAACACAGGTAAGATCCTCCGTGACCGAAAAGCTAGGAGAAAGGGGGGTATAATCTCTGATCCGCCGATATGCGTCTCAGCTGAGTTCGATCACGCTACACGCATCACACCCAGACGCAGCCTACTTCGCCTCCGCCGCGTCAAGCTTCTCGACACTGTGCGCCGTGCTCAACGAGCTCGTGCGGTAGAAGTAATCGTGCACGGAGCCGCCCAGCAACTCGTCCTCGATGAAGGCGTCCGCGTCGTCCTCGCGCTTGGTCTCCTCGCTCAGGCGCGCCATCTTGGTCTCCCACTCGGCGCGGTACTCGCGGATGCGCTGCTGGTAGTCCAGCTCCGGGTTGTAGTGCTTGCTGGCGCCCCGGAAGCGCTCCCACACGGACAGATGCTTCGGGTGCACGGCCACGCCGTGGTACTCGTGCTCGCGGCCCTCGCGGATGTAGATCCAGCGGCGTTCCTGCTCCTTGAGGTCGAGGCCGGTGGTGTCGGGCAGGAACAGGTAGGTCAGGGCCATACCGAGCAGCCCCCACCACGGGACGAAGTAGAACTTGGTCTGCGTGTCGATGTAGTTGAAGAGGATGGCCGCCAGCAGCGCGCCGAGCTTGCCCGTCGCGGCGGAGATGCCGTGCGCGGTCGCCCGGATCGGGGTGGGGAAGACCTCACCGGCCACAAGGAAGGTCACGCAGTTGGGGCCGAATTGGTTGAAGAAACTGGACAGGAAGTACATCGTCTGGAACGAGTGGATGTGGGCGGCCTCCGTATAGTAGTCGTAGTGGAACGCAGGCACCACAAACATGATGAAACAGAGCAGGAAGCCCCAGATCTGCATCCATTTGCGGCCGTAGAGCTTGTTATCGACGAAGGCGATGGCGAAGTAATAACCAGCCAGGGTGACGATGACGTCGATGAAACTCCACTGCCACGTGGTGAAGATCGATTTCGACTTCGGGCTGATGACGGCGATGAAGTCGCTGGAGAACAGCTTGGCGCCGTAGAAGAAGACGTCATTGGCGAACCAGCCGCCAGCCGTGGCAAGGACACGCGGAGTGAAATGCTTGAAGGTCAATCGGAGGGAATCGCTGTCGTAGCCGGTGACAGACACCTTGGCCGCCTTCTTGGTGGCGGCGAGCTGCTTGCTGGCGGCCTTCATGTGGTAGGCGCGGTAATATAGAAGCCAGAGAGTGCCAACCAGCGGGATCACGAAGGAGATGCGGTAGGTCCACTGGGTGGCGGTCTGGTTGATGGGCTCTTGGCCGCTGCCGGCGTTGAAGATCAGAAGCAGGATCATGAGGAAGGCCTGGTTGAGAACCTGACCCCAGCCTTGCATCGAGAAGCATGAGATCACTTTGGCACCGCGGTGAAGGCGATCCTCCCGCGTAGACAGCTTGCCAGAGCCGACCGCATTTTCCATACTACTTGTAACAGTCATCGGGTACTCGCCACCTATCAGACAGCCAGTCAGTCATCGTTCCACTGAGACAAAAAGGCAACGAGGCAGAGACTCACCAACACCAATGCCGTAGATGAACAAAGACCACGCATAGCAAATGACCCAGCCGTTCTGTGTGGTACCCCAAGCGCAAACCAGCATGACCAAGCCCAGAATCATAATCCAAGCATCCTGCAGCAGGCCCCAACGACGGCCGATCCAATCGCCAATGATACCAACCAGCACCTGTCCGATGATGATCCCGACAATCTCGAGGTAGGATATCGCGGAGATCCAGTTCTTGGAGCAGATCTCGTATTTGCCCCAACACGATTCGAAGGACTTGCCGAACAGGGTGGAGATGTTTCCGATGGAGAGCAAAACATAACTATGACACGTTAGATCAGGAGTCTCCTTGTAGAGTGCCAACCAGGAAGGACGTACCCTTCCAGGCCAATACCAGCACCTGGAATGACGGTGTCACGAAAATAGTTCATCAGCGGCGACAAAGGATCGGCCTTGAACTGCTGCCAGAGAGCCGCCCACTGCCGGCGACTCTCCTTGGAGTCCACGGAGCGGACGAATCTGATCCGCTGTCCGAGAGGCAGATCGGCCCAGTAGACACCCGCCGGGGTGTAACTATCATCGGGGCGAAGGAGTTTGTCAAAAGCCTCCTTCTCGCTGTGGCTCATCTCCGGGAACTCGTGCTTGGCGGCCATGTCGGGCTCGCGAGAAGCGTCAAAGTCTGCCATATCGAGTATGAATTGACAAAAAGTCCTCGAGGCTGTAGAGAGACAGATGATCCTACCCGGAAAAGGGGGGGGAGGGAGGTGAACGGTGGGCTTAAATATGCATGAACGGCGAAAGGGTTGCATTATCATGCTATATGCATCGAGAACCATCAATATCAAACTCGTTCAGCACGTTCTACCGGTGGAGACTGTGGTTGGCTAGACGCAGTTGGTTTTGTCCACTAGCGGTGCTTTAGTCGGCCAGACAGTGGCATCTCACCCCGGTCAAGCGAGACGAACTAGTGGACCTTCGGCCTCGGAGGAAAGCAACGTGACAGTTGGCCCGGCCCAGTGTGTCAGGTAATTTCGGTTCCCTAGGCTCGACGACTAACGAGTGTTTTCCGATTGCATGAGCGAGAGTTGGGAAGGCGGGCTGGCTGGCTGGCTGGCTGGCTGACAGGGTAAGGCCTTTGGACAGCCCATGCCGCCTCGCGACGGCAGCTGTTCGCTAACATCTATATTGCAGACATCATCGTCTCCATTGCAAATGCATTCACAATCATCGCATCGCAACTGACCGCTTCAAATTGGAAACTTGAATGCAGGATCGGGTCGGACTGAGTCATGGCCCCGAGCACAGTAGGTCTAGCGAGAAACAAAGGCAAGAGGAGAAGGGAAGTAGACAAGCCTCCTTGGCCAAACTTGGCCCAACTTGGCCCAACTTGGCTCCAGCGACACCCGGCGTGGCAGCGGGCGTGGCACCACGTGCGAAGAGTGAGCTCTGACTTGCATCCACGGTCCTGCAGCCCACTTTGTGGACAAGGTGTCTCGTGTCTCGTGTGTTGATGGGGAGGGAGAATCAAAGAGGAGCAAGAGCGCACGTGCCCGGGCTGGGGGTTTTCTCTCGCCCGTTGGCGGCGGTCCCGTGCGCCCCCTATCGCCGCCCTAGCCTGCATTAAGTCTAGGCCCCGAATCCACTTGTTCTCCGAGTGCCTCAGCAATCATCATCTACCCATTGTTGGATTACAATGGGACAGTCTAGTCGCAGGAAATTATTTTTTTCTTTGAGGTTGTGGCTATTCCAAGGTTTTGTGACTTTCTTCTGATTCAGATACTATCCGCTGATCCTCCTTTGCGAAGTGCCGACATCTCATCTCATCGTCTTGCGCGTCTGCAATACACATCGCAGGAAGAGAGCATCATGGTATTCGAGGCGTATTGCGATGAAGGTTGAGAAGACTAGAATGATTTCCCACGAGTTGAGCGATGAAGGTACGCCGCTGAGAAGACAGGCGATCTTCAGTTCCATTCACTAACCCATGCAGCCTATTAGTACAGGTCTTCAAGCTGTCGCTCGATTCTCCCAGTTGACCGAACCGTGATACTGGTGGATTCTATCTGTCTTCATCCAATTTCGGGTCAGGGTCAACCCACAAAAGATGGAATGCAGAAGTCCTGAGGCATACTCTGACTGTTCACGACTTCAGCGTGGGCATGGACTGAGGAAGACCGACTCTCCTCTACTTCACCGGTTACACATGGACGAGCGCGTTGGCCACAATAAGGTAAGTTTATTTCCTTTCTCAGTGACTGGAAAATGACGGATGCAAAATCTCTCAATGCTCTATCGACTCCTCGCTCAAACTACAGCAAGATACCATTATATACACAATGCGAACGTGTGACGGGTGACAGTGTAGGAAGTACTGCACCCCTGACAGCCTCATTCATACTGCCGGGCTAGGCAACGGAGAAGAGGCCAGCCGCAGATACCGATGAGGCCGCCACTTGAACCTGCGCGTCCACCAGAAGATCAGAATCGTCCCGAAGCACGCGAGCAGAATCATGCCGATGACCACATCGTTGATGGCCCGCAACAGATCGTCGGCCTCGGAGACGTGCTCGGGCGCCTCCTCGTGGGCCATTTCTTCGTCCACCACGATGGCCTCGACCAGCGGCGCCGGGTCCACTACAATCTCCTCGACAGCCGGCTCGACAGCCACCAGCGAAGCGGGATCGTCCGGGACGAGGAGCAGCTGCTCTCCATCCTCGGACGCGTACTTCAGGGCCCCCTCGATATTGGCGCGGACGATCCGCGACCAGCCGAGGGAGTCCCCGTGGCGGTCGAGCGCCTCGGCGGAAACAAAGTCCCAGTAGCCCGGGGTCACGAAGACCGACTCAAAGTCGTGCTTGGTCACGTTGCCGATCAGGTAAGGGACGGCGGTCTCGTCCGCTTGCGAATAGAAGTTCCACACGGCGACCTCGGTGGCGCCGTTCCAGCTGACGTGGACGACCGTGGTCAGTTCCGGATTCGCCCTGGCTGCGTCGGCAGCGGACGGATGCGCCTGGCTGGGTTGGCTGGCGTAGACGGACGCGGCCAGAGCGGGCGGCTGCTGGGGGTGGCCGACGAACGGGAACTTGTACGACCGGTAGCTGTTGAAGCGCGGGGAGAGGAACTTGGCTTCCATGAGCGCGGTGCCGTCCGGGGCGTGCTCGCTGTGGTAGCCTTGCGCGCTCCAGCCCATGAAGACGTTGCCACCGTCGAGGCGCTGGAGGTTGCCGCGCATGCGACTCAGGCTCCCGTCCGGGCGGGTGTAGCGGCTCTGCAGCGTCGCGGTCATTCGAACGGTGTCCAGCTCGACGATCATGCCGGAGGAGACGTCCTCTTGGTTGGTGAAGTCGTCGGAGGCGTTGTTGAGGAACGACAGGACGGTGTGCGTCTCGTTGGCCGAGACGAATCGCGCGTTGTGTTGCTTGGAGAAGGTGAAGTCCATCGCGAAGTTGGTGTATTTCCCGCCCAGACGCCAGATGATGTGCCCGTCTTGCCCGGAGATCAGGTAGATGGTGCTGGTGTAGCGCGCCGACAGGAGGTAGTCGCCGTAGACGTTCTTGTCCGCCGCATTCACATGGATGTAGTCCAGTCCTCCGCCCCCTTCGGGTGGCGACCACGGCATCACATGGTCCGACTCGTGGAGGGGGATCTTGTCGCGAGAGTCCCAGTCGAAGAGGACTGCGCTGGTGGCCAGGTCGATCTCCACGAACCCTCCCGAGGCCACTCTGCTCGATTCGGCCGGCCGGCCCAACTCCGCCAGGGACTGGTCCTGGATCCGGATCGAGGCCGCCAACGCCGTCTTCCCGCCCGGAAGAACATTGAACTCGTGTAGATCCCACCGCTCCAGGTCGTTCGTGATGGGGATGGTGTTCTCCACCAGGTATTTATCGTTTAGTATATACGCGGCACCTTTGGCCAACGGCGTGCCGTCATTGATGTAGTTGTTCTGGAGAATGAATGAAAGATGGGTGGCACCATCGGCGATGTGGTTCGTGGGCTTGAAGTCAAAGACATTGCGGTTGTTGTGGAGGCAAGATCCGGTCCAGACCAGCTTGCCGTCCTGGTCGTAGATGTGAGGTCCCACTTGACAGGGGTTGAATTTGCTGTTATAAGGATCGGCGTCAAGGTGACTGTACGGCGCGACGAACCAGTATCCAGGGCTTACGCGACTGCGATCGTGGTAGGTTATGTTGTATTTAATTGCCTTGACATTTGGCATCTGTGGGGGAGACGGTCAGTCTGGGTCCGGGGACAATGATATGTTGGGAACGTACAGTGACAAATGAGAGGAGGTCATCATCGCGAGTGACATCAAATGTGTTCGCGGCTTCAGTCGAAGGAAGCAAGGAAGCAAGCAGAAGCAGAAAAGAAGATAAAGAAGGTGAGCGCATTGTGTTCGCGACGAATGAGAAGTCTATATATAGCGAGGGTGAGGCTTAAAGAAAGATCGACAGTTGCATGATGGGTCAGCAGAACATGGCTTGACGATGGCTACATGCTACGCAAAGTGCAAAGGCAAAGAGGGTATGAAGAGGAAGAGACGAAGCAAGGACGGAGCCGAAGCTTAAAAACAAAAAACGACGATCAGACAACAAAAGCAGGAACGAGATAAAGGGATAAAAATTGGGAATTGAGGAGAGGGCAGCCATAGAGAAGAGGCAAAAGGGTCCCCACCACGTGGAACCACGGGTATCGCAGCGAGGGTTTATCGGCTTCTAGCCTTGAGGCGGCCCCACTGCCTTGCCATACACTGGGAATCCTAAGCGACGGAGGCGTTCGTGTTCGTGACAAACGGGCAAAGCGGCCCGACACTAAGGGACCAGAGGAGACTTCCAATTGGCCAGGGCGTAACCTGTCTTTTCAGCCGCGATGCAGCCTCGATAGTTCAATTGGCGATTCGACCCGTCAGTCATAAGAATAGTGTCAGGCGGGGGCTGAAGCGCTGTGCAGGAGTCATGTGCTCCTTATATCCCGTCAGGTTACGAGGAGACCAATCCCGAAACAAGCTGTGAAACTGACATCTCTCCCAGTTGATATCAGCCACCTGCTCTATCACCCCGGGACATGCAACATCACTTGCTACATCTTGTTGCAGGCGGATCGTTGACAAAGTCATACTGTCTTGACTGATTGCAGAAACAACCCATCTTGCCATCTGAGACATGGATCTTGATTGATAAGGGCTCTGTTCTAGAGCACAGAAGAGAAGAAAAAAAGGTCTCCCCGACTGGGAGTCGAACCCAGGTCTCCCGCGCTTGTTCCCGGAAGGGATTGACAAGCGGAAATCATGACCGTTAGACCATCGAGGAAGCGGATGAAGTTTCATATCTTATCTGTTCTATGGACTAAAAGCAACCTGGTGATGCGAATCCTGGAAGCATAGTATCTGGACTTTGGAGTGGCTCGGTAGGCGATGTAGCGGCTGACTAGCAGCGTGTATCTCGGCTCCATTGTCGTGCTCCTTGAACTGCTCCTAAGGAGTCAGCCCAGATCATTATTTTGAGCCCCCACAAGGATACGTACACCTTCTTTCGTGACCAGTGGAACTGGTCGCTAAAGATGACTTTATTGATTCGGCGCCCCACAATTAAGCTTTAGGTAGCATGTAAGCGGCAGCTCTCAGTATAGCAGGTGAATTTGCGCAGCCAATACCCAAGAATGGAGGACAAGCATGTCTTGCAAGCTCGGGGAGCAAGAAGCATCACAACAGCATCCGACCGGGGGTTGTGTGACTCAATGAGGCCACGGTTCAGAGTAGACTCAGGATGATTCACACGAAATGTATGGGAAGCACCCGCTATTTGGTGAACGTTATGCTCCTGCACATCTTATACAGCACCATGGGTGATTCAACTTGTAGCAGGGCAAGTCTTGATGGAAGTTGTTTCTGCACAGGGCCGCACTGAATGCAGCACGAGATGAGCTGCAAACCAGAACCACGGAAGAAGGAAGGTCCGAGGGCCGAGTGTTTGCGATAGACACCTTGTCTTTCAGGCGTACGGCCTGAGCTGCAGATCCCGGCTTGGCCTCCTGCGACAGGTTATCATCAATGCTGATCGCGCTAAGGGAGTTGACATGGAAAGAGAAAGTGGAGCCATGTCTCTAGCACCAGCCCTAACGCGTGTACATTCTGGGAGCTGTCACTGTAATCGAGATCCGTGATATTGATCGGATCGATTGCATCGCACGCATCGAAGACACCTGAGTACGCTGTAGACGCTCAATAGGAGGTATATGTCCTCTGTCGGACCTTGCGGAACCGTCTAGCATCTGGTACCACACAAACTATTGCGAAACTAGCGCAGGGGCACTGCGAGATGACTCCCCAGCTGCTGCACGATAACACCGCAAGGCCGCCGGAGACTATTAGCAACATCTGACGATCCATTCCCACCGGGGTTATAGCATGGAAAGAAGCAGCGCTGCAAACATCGCCGCCGCCGATCCCGATCATGCAAGGGCCATCGGCATTGGCGGCGACCCGAGGCTGTGAGTGGCTGCATTTTTCCCTTTCCACCATGAAGCAGCCCAAGTTTGCTCATTTGTTGATGATCGGCGCTTCTGCAGCATGACTGGATTACACTATCTGCTTAATGACATGTTGATCGTCGCCAAAGGCCGGAAGGTCCACCGAGCGCAGCCAGGGTCTTCTCCGCATAAATATTCACAAGGATCCATCCTCCCGCCGGCATCGGGTACGGCTTCGGATTCAAAATGCTCCTTCTCGGAATTGTAGGATCGACAACATAATATATAACCCTGTGACATCCGAAATGGCTGTTCCTCAACCAGTCCCCATGGAAGACCAAGACAATCCCGCAACAGGGCCTACAAGAACGATGGACCACGAGCCAAACCCTGACCCCAAGCACCGCATGGACGGCGGCCTGACCGCATGGCTCCAAGTCCTCGGAAGCTGGCTGATCTTCGCAAACACCTGGTCTGTCATCTCCTCTTCCAGTGCCTCCGTACCGCGCCATCCAAACTGACCGACAAGTGATGCACCGAGATCAGGGGCTTAACGAGTTCCTACGGCGTCTTCGAAGCCCACTACACCACCGTCCTGTTGCCGGAATACACCCCGTCGGCCATCGCGTGGATCGGCTCGGTGCAGCTCTTCCTCATGATGGCGATCGGGCTGCCCGTCGGCGCGATCATGGACCGGGGCCATCTGCGGCTGCTGGTGGTCGCGGGCAGCTGCCTGCAGGTGTTGGGCATGCTGATGACCTCGCTGTGCACGGCGTACTGGCAGGTGTTCCTGGCGCAGGGGGTCTGCGTGGGGATCGGGAGCGGGATGCTGGTGGTGCCCTCGGTGGCGGTGCTGCCGCTGTACTTCTCGGCGAAGCGCATGCTGGCGACGGGGATTGCGGCGACGGGGAGTAGCTTAGGTATGTCTTTACACTTCCACCACAATCCCCGGAAAGGTCAGAAGTGATACCTATCTAAAAACCATGCAGCGGGAATCATCTACTCAATCATGCTGCGCCGGCTGATCGTCCGCATCGGCTTCCCCTGGGCGGTGCGCGTGCTCGCCTTGATCATGCTCGCCGGCTCCCTCACCTGCGCCGCGGTGATGCGCCTCCGTCCCGGCCATGCCAAACGCGCGCCCCTGCAATGGAGGAAATTCACCTCCGATTCGTGCCTTGTCTGCTTCACCGCCGGTATTCCCCTCTTCCCCGCATTCCACCCCATTCCACGATCCTAACAAAAAGCACCAGCATTCACCGCAATGATGGCCTCAGTCTACATCCCCTTCTTCTACGTAGAAGACTACGCCCTCGACCTCGCCATCGACCAAGACACCTCCTTCTACCTGCTCAGCATCATGAACGCAACCAGCTTATTCGGTCGGATCGGCTCGAACTGGTTAGCTGATCGGTGAGCCTAGCCCCCGTGCCCCTCTGCCCCAATTTTCCATCTCCCCCTACCGCTACCCGTAAACCCCCTTCCCCCCATCAACCCACTCGACAAGCTAACTGCCCAAATAAAAAAAAAAAAGATGGGGCGGCCTCCCCCTCGCCCTCCCCGGCTGTCTTTCGACATCCATAATCCTCTTCTTCTGGCGCTTCGCCACCACCCTCCCGGCCCTGGTGGTCCTCGTCGCGATCTACGGCGTCGTGTCGGGGAGTATCGTCTCGTTGCCGCCGGCGATCATCGCCAATCTGACGGACGATGTCTCGGAGGTCGGGGCCAGGATCGGGGCGGCGTATACGGTGGCGGCGGTGGGGGCGTTGATCGGGAATCCGATCGCGGGGGCGGCGCGACAGTACGGGCAGGCCGTGCCGGTGCAGGTGGAGTATCAGGGGACGTGGGTGTTTGGGGCGGCGGTGATGGCGGTGGCGGCGGGGCTTGTGGGGGGGACGCTGTGGTTGAGGAGGGTTGGTGGAAGTTGTAAGTAAGAGGTAACTACTGAGGTTGCTCTTGGGGGTTGGATGTAGATAGGTGTAGATTAACATGTCTACTTTTATAGTTTGAGGTTGAATCTGAGATTTTCTGGTAAGAGTAGACATAGAGTCAAGGGATCTATCTATTATCGACGATGTAGATATATTCGACGGGAATTAAATGCTATGGAACAATTGGCAGTATGTTGATATCAAGCGCGGTTGGGAATCGTAGGAGTATCGCATACTAGACCAACCCTCGGACCCATCCGAGCACCAAATAGCAGAGCCAAGCACTGCAATATCGGAAGCATCCGACAGACCCCACATCATCCCCATACTTCGGGAGCCACAACTTATATATGTAAACATGCACTGCAGCAACAGGGCAACTACCCACTAGGTACAAAACCCACGCTCCTCCCCCGGATCTAACCAAAAACACACCAAATACCATCACCACTCAATACCCGTACCAACCACAACCACCACCTAAAAACCACACCCACAACCCACCACATCCCAAAACCAACCATCAGCACAACCCAAAAGAAAATGCTAAAATCCACCCTCCGCCACCTCCACCTCCCGAAACCCCTCCCTCCATCACCCAGTCCCAAAAGACGACTCACAACAACCGCTCAACCCACCAAAAAACCGCAACGCTCCCTCCCAGCATCCTACTACCGCGGCGGCACCAGCCGCGCCGTCTTCTTCAACGCAACGGACCTGCCCCGCGACGCCTCGACCCACCCCGCAATCTTCCGCGCCGTGCTGGGCAGCCCCGACGCCGCGCACCGGCGCCAACTCGACGGGATGGGCGGGGGCATCAGCAGCCTCTCGAAGATCTGCATCATCCGGGCCGGATCCACCCACCCCGCCGCGGACGTGGATTACACGTTCGTGTCGGTCGGCGTGGTCGACGACAAGGTCGATCTGACGAGTAACTGCGGGAACATGAGTGCGGCGGTGGGGCCGTTCGCCGTGGATGCGGGGTTGGTGCGGTCGCCAACGTTGAACGGGGACGAGGCGACGACGACGACGACGACGGTGCGGATCCATAATACCAATACGGGCAAGATCATTCACTCTACGTTTGCGGTGGTCGAGAGTGCAGCCGGAACCCAGGAGCCGCCGGTGTATGAGGCGGCGACGAGTGGGGAGTTCGCCATCGATGGCGTGGCAGGCACGGCCGCGCGGGTGCAGCTCGATTTCGTGGACCCCGCCGGTTCGGTGACGGGCAGGTTGCTTCCGACGGGGAATGTGGTGGATGCGTTTGACGTCGACGGAACAGCGGTGGAGGCGACGTGTATTGATGTCGCCAATCCGTGTGTCTTTGTCTCCGCGGCGAAGCTGGGGGTCCAGAGTAACCTGACGCCCGAGGAGCTGACGGCCGACGGGGGGTTGTTGGAGAAGTTGGATCGCATCCGCCGGTTAGCCGGGGTGAAGATGGGGATCGCGGCGTCGCCCGAGAAGGTGCCCGGGAGCATCCCCAAGATCGCTCTGGTGGCTACCCCCGGGGAGGATGCGCGCTCGGTCGCCACGGGTCAGACGCCGCAGAAGGTCGATCTGGTGGCCAGAGCGCTCTCCGTGGGCCAGCCGCATAAGGCGCTGCCCATTACGGTGGCGTTGTCCCTGGCGGCCGCGGCGCGGGTGGAGGGGAGCACTGTGTCGCAGGTTGTGAAACGGGGACAGACGGTCGATGCTGCCGGGCTCACCATCGGACATGCCAGTGGAAATCTGTTGGTGGGGGCGGAATTCGCCGAGGATGGCAGTCTGCAATCCGGTCGCGTGTTCTCGACCGCGCGGAGGTTGTTTGAGGGAAGGGTGTTCTGGAAAGATGAGTAAGAAGTATGCTGCGGACTTCATATTGTGTAACTAGTATCAGTCGTGAAGAATGACAGAGGGGGTTCTCAGAAGCAATCCTTCATCACGCTCGACAGCTCGCCCCCGTAGTCAACCATATACGGTCCACTCCTCCCCCATACGTCAGTCTCCTGGTGCGGCGGCAGCCCTCCCATCCCCATGATCTGTGTTTCCAGGCTTCCAACCGCCTCAAACCACTCCATCAACTCCCTCGTCATCTGCACCCCATCCACCGGCGTGAGACTCTGTATACTGCCCGTTGACTGCATCGAAGGCTCAACCCCGCCACTCGCTTGCTCTATCTCCTGCCCCTTTGCAGGGTTAAGCACATCCGCACCCCCAACCCCAGCTTCCGCTGCCTCCGGCTGCCGACGCATAACCTGCGGCCCCAACTTCCTCAAACTCCGAATCGACTTCCACAGCCGTAGTGAAATATAAGACTTTGTCGAGAAGCCTTTGATAAGTTCCAGCGCCAGGTAGAATTCCTCCCGACAGGCGCTACTGAACTGTGACGGGGCTTGCGCGACAGCCAGAAACAGCACCGCAACTGCCGAGACGAGGAACCAGTTGAAGGTCACCTGCTGAAGACGGTAGATGTCCGTCGTCTCGTTGAGTCGCGTGATGAAGCGGATTGTCTCCCTGGCCAGGTCGACTACCATCTGCGATTCGGCGGGGTACCGCACGATATGCGCGGCCGAGTGGAGCACGGGCCGATGGATGAGCATGCGGAGCTGGTTGGAGCGAAGGTAAAGCAGCGCCCGCAGGCGATGCAGACTGCGCGGTGGTTGAGGCTCGGTCTTCGAGGCCGACAGCGGCTGCTGCTCCAGACGCAGAATCTCCGGGATGTTCATCACCCACTGTTGGACCTGCCAGTCCAGATAATTCATCTCTTCCTTCTTGATCTCGTTCGTATTGTTGAACGCCGAGATGAATTTCCACACCTTGGCCGCGATGCGGCTGTACCGGATCATGACCCGAAGGTAGGGGGTCTTCTCCTCCGGCTCCGGCAGCCAGGGATCGATGTCGCTATCCTCGAGCGAGAACGGCATGCCCGTCCCAAAGCTCCACCGGATGTCGAGGATATAGATCGACCAGAACAGCCGGAGAACGCGATCCCGTCCCGCGGCGACAATGGCCGGCTGGCCAAGCGTTTCCCGTCGGTGCAGCCCTTTTTCAAGGCACATGCGCTCCACGATGCCAGCGATGCGCCAGGCCAGGATCTCCTCGTCGATCTGGAAGTAGAAAATCGCCTAGCGCGCTTGTCAGCCAGCCATACAACAGCCCCCCCAGCTGAGAACTCACTCACAACCAGCGTCAACAAGATAATACTTTTGATCTCCGACGGTCCCCACACGCAGTTATCAGCCACCTCCCGCACACTCTCAAACAGCCGCATGGCCAGCTCGCTACTCCCCGCCGCCTCAGCCGTCAACGCACACGCAAAGACCAACCGTAGAATCTGCACATCATCGGCATGCACCGCCCGGATTCCCTCGGGGCGCGCCCCAAACACCACCTCGACCTGATCCAGCAAGTCTTGCAAATCCAAGACCGGATACATCATCCCCATCTCCTCCTCATACACGCGACACAGCCGCATCGCCTCCGTCTTGTCCAACGACCACAGCGGATCCCCCGACGGCCGCGCCGCATCGAGCAACGCCGGCGGCCCCGGCGAATCCGGGGGCAGCGGCGAAGGCGGGTGGTGGGCATCGGCCTCCCCCTCCTCCGCACCGTCAGCGTCAGTCTGCTCGACGATCCCCTGCCGGAGGAGATTCGACTTGGCGAGATGCAAGCTGAAGGCGGATGTCGTCGGGCCCTGGAACGCGGTCTCCCTGACTGTGGACCGGCGACGGAACGGTCGCTGGCTGCCCGCCCCCGTCGCCGCGTCCGACCGCGCGATCGCGGTGGCAGTGATGCTGGTCTGCGCTAAGGTCGTGACCGCTGCGGAGAGGGTTTTGATTTGTTCCTGCATGGCGGACATCTGTTTGCAGAGTTGCTCGAGGTATACCCTGGATGGGTATCAGCATGAATGGGAATCTTCCACTGACCCGTGAGGGCATTTATGTGCGTTTGTGAGTGGAAGCGCGAACATACTGTTGATCCGACTCGCCATCGGCGTGACGAGGGGGCTTGTCGTAGATACAGTCGATGCGCTGTCGGCCGCATCGCTGACAAGGCGTCTCGCCATTGCACTTGATCTTGCGGCGCTTGCATTCGTTGCTAGTGGGCATGTTAGACTTGATCCAAGCGTGACTGAGGGAATGAAAGGGAGGGAGGGGAAGGCCTACCAAGCCTTGGCGATGTACTTTCGCCGTCGTTTGCGTGGGTTGGCCCCGTCCGAGTCATCCCGGTGTGCAGGGGGCGAGAAGTCCCATGTCGTTAGGGAGGCAGTAGCGTCCATGATGGGGTGTGAGAGTGACTGGTGCGAGAGTTGACTGCGGAGATGACGGAGGAGGGGGGACGGGGACGGGGACGTGGAGGGACGTGGACGGGGACGGTAAACGGACGGTGGCTGCTCCGACCGGGCGCAGCAGCGCGGGGAAAGACTTGGGTGAGTGGCGGTCAGAAGGACGGAAGACCCCGTGCGGGGGATTCCGCACCCGAGGCTACCTAGTGGTGCTTATCTTGACCACCTAGCCTGGCTATGCGTAATTCAATCATTAATTGATAATTCAAAGATAGCTACACCAATAATTATTGCGTTCTATGGCGGGAAAAGTACTCATCCGTACACTCATCATTTACCTGGCAGTTTTGACCAATTGCTCCCAGCAAAGTATCTATGTTGATCTTCCAGCTATCCAGCTTAACTACCAACTCATTTTCAAAAGTACTGTACTTTACAAATCACAGATCCTTAGTCCGCTCATCACTCTCCCGGATCCACTGCTTCAACTTCTCGGGATTCCTCGGTCGAAAGCCCACCTTGAAGGGCTTGGGCTCCGTTGTCAAGGCCGTGGGGATGGCGTTGCAGTGAATGGCATCCATGATGGGGCGGTCGTCGGGGTTCTTAGCCGGGAGCATGGTGAAGGCGGTGATCAGGCGGATGTAGGCGGTGTACAGCTCGCGGTTGGCCAGATGCGAGCCAGCGCACATGCGCGAGCCAGCCCCGTAGCCGTAGTGCGGAGTGCCCGTGCCCTCGCCCACCTCCAGATACCGCTCTGGCAGGAATTGCTCGGGCTTGTCAAAGTGCTCCTCATCGTAGTCGGCGGCGTATGCGTTCTGGAGATGGGGTTAGTAAGACTGTACTATAAGCCCGAAAACAAGTGGACAGGCGACATACCATGAAAAAGGTGGTTCCAGCAGGGATGGTCGCGCCGTTGTAGACAATATCCTTGGTGCTTTCGCGCGGCAGACAGATGGGGATCACGGTCCAGAACCGGAGGGTCTCTTTCACCAGGGCGGTCACATAGGGGACTTTCTCTTCCACCAGGCACTTCTCCCACGCATCACCGTCCGGGTACACCTTCATGATCTCTTCGTAGGCCTTTTGCTGAACGCGCTGGCCGTCTTCCGAGGCGAGGTAGGCGATGCCCATGATCACGTTGCCGGGAACCGTGTCCAGTCCGGCAGAGACCATAGTGAGACAGATGGACTTGACCTCCGCTGCTGATTGTCAGTACTCCGTTTTACACACATGGTCTTTGGAAAGTAACCAGGGATGACTCACCCTCATTCAGCTTCGCCTCAGGATCCTTGAGAATGTTCCCCGTGATGCACGGCTTATCCGTGCCCTTGGCAATCTGATCCTTGAGAATATCCAACAGATACGTCAAATACTTATCGCGGCGCACGCGGAACGACTCAGCCTCGGTATTCGCCTTGGGGAACAGACGCATGAGGGGGATGTAGTCCTGCCAGTTGTTGCTGGTGCTGCGGAAGTTGGAGACGCCGCGCTCGACGTCGCAGATCTCGTGCAGCAGCTCGTCGTCGACGTTGCCGCTGATGCGGAAGCCGTAGTTCAGGGTCAGACTGGTGTTGAGCGCGAACCGCTGGAAGTACGCGACCGGGTTGATGTCCTTGGTGCCGCTGTCGCTGTCCTGGAACAGCTCCCGGATACTGGCGGTGGCCTCGAGGTCGATGATTGGCATGTACGACTGCACGGCGGGGCGGTTCAGCGCGGTGGCGGCCGCCTTGCGTCGGCGCTTGCAGGACTCGTCCCAGGGCGAGGTGCCGATCGTGAAGCCCTGCGAGCTGGACACGACGCTGTGGAAGGTGTGGAAGGTCGGGCGCGAGATCAGGGCCGACTGGTCTTTGATCCACAGCTGGCGGACTGAGTCGAAGCTGTTGGCGAAGACAATGCGCTGGAAGAGCAAGGATACTCGGTTAGCATTTTTCGACTCTTGTGTCAGTCAGCCTTTTATTCACGGCGGGTCACATACCCGATTTCCCATCCGGACCTGGAAGACGGGGCCATATTTCTTCGCCCACTTCTTCGTCACAGTAGCATGCTGGTCGCCTAATTGCAACAGGTTCCCAAATATGGGCACCCCAGGAATCTCAGGTATCCCCTTGATCTTGGGAACGTCGGTGCGATTGAGATAGCGTATCAGAAAATATACCACCGCGACGGCGGCGAGGGCGACGGTTTGGAAGGACATGGTGTGAGAGATGGAAGTGATTGTAAAATTTGACTTTTTTTTTGGACGGTGGTGTCTGAAAGAAACCAGGAGCTTTATACACCTCTCCTCCGCGGTTCTCCTCGGCTTATCATGGTTCAAGTTGGCTATGCAGCGGTCCCCATGCAGCTAGACCTTGAAAAGTCGCAGTGGATTTGCGTCATGGGCCACCGGGCCAACAAAGAGGGCTCGGGCCAAGTGCATTCGTTATCCATTGCTGTAGCAAATAGAGTGTCGGCTGGCGTAGTTAGTAAGGTGGTTCCCCCGCACTTTCACCCTGGTTGAAATGAACAAATGCACGAGCGTGAATTGGCTGGAGCGGGATTTCGGAATGAAACACCGCGACCCCGCTCTCAACGGATGCGGAACCGGGGCCGAGATCGACACCCGCCCCATAACCCAACTAACCAACTGGCAACTACTCCTTCCGCTACTATCCGCCCTGTTCAAGGTTGCCTTCGGCCCGATGACGGCGCTTCCTTTAGGCCCGACTTGATATGTTCCAAGTTATATCCTCCGCTGATAAGACTGAGAGCATTCCAAGGGCTTATACGGAGTCCTGCCTAATATTGAACTGTACTTCAAATCTGCTAAGCACCACAAATTAATATCATATTACCCTAATCGGCCGAACTCGAGCACGGAACAATGACATCAACAGATTCCTTGTGCAACATCGATAGAGCAGTCCACCCCTCATCCACAATTCTCACTCCACAGCCACCAGGACATCTCCTCGTGCTCAGCTCATCCCGAGACTCCCACACAGATGTAGTATCCATACCACATATTAGTGCATCCCGTCCCCACGGCCGGATTCCAGGTCACAATGTTCTGCACAGTGATCCCCTCCTTCGTCGCAACAGTGGTGCACGTATCGCCTGACGCGACCAGGTAAAAGGTATTGCAGTTGCTCACCATGCCCGTCTGGGTTGGGGTGGGAGTCGACACCGCAACGGTCGTGGTGGTACTTGTGGTGGTGGTTGTCGCCGTTGATCCCACCCCAACGCAGACATAGTACCCCAGCCACAGGGCGGTACACCCGCTGCCGACGCCGGAGTTCCACGAATAGAAGTCGGTCAGGGAGATGCCGGCTGTCGTCGCGATACTGGCGCAGGTCTCACCACTCGCCACCAGATGGTACGCGTTGCAGTTTGAGGCGATGCCTGGCTGGGTAGGGCTGGGGGCTGCGGCTGCTGCCGCGCTGTTGACTTTGGAGACAGTAACGAGCGTGGTTGGGATTGGTGATGCAGCAGGAGGAGCTATGGCTGCTGTCAGGGAGGCAGCTAAAGTGAAAAGAGAAAGGTAGGAGAGATGCATGACTGTTGTTTGAGAGATTGTTGCTCAGATGCTTGATCCGTCGGGCTTGGTGCTTGTTCCTATCGACATATTGGCGGCGGAATACGCATCCTTTTATATGCTGAAGTACTGATTCCTGCTGAATTCAGCCGCAGGTCACAAGGCCCGTCTGGTGTCAACAGAAGAAGGGATTTTTGCATTTGGCGCAGGAAACTTGGACAGATGATAATGAGTATCTCCCCACATCCAACAGCCGCAATTGATGCAGGTCTCATATTCTGGGGCTCATCTGATGATCTGAAGGATGTGGTGTCCAATAATCTAAGGACACTTTAGGTAGCTTCTGTCTCCATTGGCTGCCTAACTGAACCCCTGCCGGCTAGTGTACCTTCTCGTCGTCCAAGATACATTTCTTATGGACACACTCGGAAGGCAGTCGGGCTGCTGCAGGGACTGCGAAGGATGATGATGTCGGGTCTCGGCCACTGCTTCCCAAGCGAAGCTGAAATCCTGCAAGACAGGACATGGATGCTTGCAGTTAGAGTGACACGCCGATACTTCCAGGCGTTCCGTTGGTCGGATTCCGCAGATTGCTCGTATCATGTCTCACAAGCGTCCAGTTCTGATTGAATAGATCCGGGTTTTCGTATGAGAGTGTTCTTTTCTGGTTCCTGCATCAGGCGCCTGATTAACCCATTACCTAAGTATCGCGGCGGGAAAGCTTTTCGAGTTGTGCAAGCCATGGATGGGGGCATTTCATTACTATCAACAGCTCAATCAATCCCGAGATAACTCAAGGCTCGGTAAGGTGCATGGACGTGACAAGAATCAAGGATAAGTCACACGTGCCGTTCGTCAGAATGACTGCCTAAGCCCAGAGCCTTGTGTGACTCTTGTTCCGCGGATGATCGGCATATGAGCTCATATTGTCTGACATTCAGGTCTTCTTCACTAGGATGAGGTGAGACAGCAAAAGCAACCAGTCGTCGTCATAAGCACGCCCCGGGCCTCTTTACAAGCCCTTGCTATAGAGTTCAGATGTCGCGATATGCGTTCAAAATTCGTTCTCTGTGAAAGTAAAAGCTTAGTTTACAGCAGACCTATAGCGAGGGGGAGTCAAGCCAAAGCCGCGATGTACCTGACGAAGCAATTATCGCTCTCCGCTTGTCATGCCATCAAACCCGAGGTCAGTGCGGGGGCGGGGGGCATGCGTCTAAGCTACTGCATGTCTCGCAAGCGGATCACACGTAGGTAGTATCGAATAAATGCAGCGTGCAGCGTTGCATTCCGGTACATCATGCTATGGAATGTATTCGAAGACTCGTGCTCGCCTCGCCCGTCAGTATGTCTCGGATAATTGTATGTTGCGTGTAAAGAACAAAATTAGATTCCGGGTCATTGAGCTACGGCAAGCAAAAGCAAAGTCAAGAATGAGCTGCAGTAGCAGAAGGAAGTTGAGAAGTGAAGAAGGTGCGGGGAATGTAAATGTAAGACATTTGGACAGGGGTTGGGTTGGTGTTTAGTCCCAGTCAAGCCCCTGCCCAGTGCCTCAGGCCACACCGCCGACGGGCCATGGAACTCCCCTTAGTTACCAGCAAGTGAGCGGGAATTATGAGTACAGCTCGGTAACCTCCAACTCACGAAGTTCAAGGGGACGGTCCACATAGCATAGATACAGAATTTTAGTACCTTACACATACGATTTCAGGTCCAAAACCAGGGTTTACGAATGCGTTTGGGTTAGGTATACATCAAGGTATTATGAACAAGTTATGAAGGGTATAATCAACTCAAAAAATCTCACACGCTTCTTTACACCATAGAAACCTTCCTCGACGCACTGAGTTGGCTGCTCTGACGTCTAGTAGCGTGTCTTTGCCTGTCCGCGGCAAGGGTCTGGGCGAACTTGCTCCTCGCCCGTATCTCAGGACCTTTCCAGTAAAATATGTAAATCGGGATGGTCACCAAAACAGCCAAGCAGCCAAGGATAGTGCTAGCCCATTGGAGATGAAAACGTCTGCCGATGTTGGTATACATCGGGGTTGCGTACATCGCGGATAGCCCAGCAAGTAGATCTCGTGCGAACCCATTCCCGCCCGTAGCGGACGCAGAATACTCGCCATAAGCCGCCACCATGTAGTCGATCGTGGCCATGTAGATACCATAGTTTGCGATTGCGATCAGGAACACGAATACCAGGGGGACCATCCAATGGGTATACTCTGGGCCCATGGACGTCCAGGCAAAGCCAAATAGTCCGATTGCCTCCAGGGGTGCGATGAAAAGCAAGAGCAAGAGCCGACGCTCAGCCACCCGAGCCGCATCACCCTCGCGTCGTCGAATCAAGCGCTGGCGGTAGATGTCGGGCAGGAAAATGGCATATGCAACCAGATAGCCAACAAAAATGGCGACAAAGCACAATCCAACCTGCAGTGGATTAAAGGCCCATTGTTTGAAGACCAAGGAGAACGATTCAATGCAGGTGAATATTAGCGCATCAGAGAAGCCAGAAAGAAGAGATAGGAAAAGCACAATGGGCTCGCGCAGGAACATCTCAAATGGGCGCCGCCAAATGCGAAGGATTTCTTTCACGTCAAACCGGGATGGCTTGAGCTCACTCGGGCCATAGATACTTGGATCCTCACCGGATTCGCGCCGACGCTTCGCCTCTCGATCCAGCAAGATGGTAGATCTTGTTTCGGTAACGAAAAGGAGATGGAGTATTTGGGTGACTCCACCGAAAATAAGCTGAATCCAGAAGTTCCACCGCCAGTTCAACCACTGCTCCATCATTCCTCCGAATATGGGCCCAATAGTTGTCCCGCCGACAGAACTCAAGACTACATACGCGACAGCAAAGCCCTGGTCATCTGCCTCCCACATGTCAGCAGTCATACCCAGGGTTACCGAGCCTCCTGCGGAGCTAAGTCCACCCAGGCCGCGACCAACAACCATAGTTCCAAAGTTAGGGGCCAAGGCACAGGGAATTTGCCAGATATTCACAAGGAGAAGGCTCAGTTGCATGATAGGCCATCGACCGAATTCCTCGCTCCATGGCGCCCATAACTCGCAGCCAAAGGCGTAGGTTATCAGAAAGATCATTTGACCGACTCGAGCCGCTTGCTGGCTGATATGGAAATGTTCCGATAACTGCACCACGGCATTGGAGTATGTACTGCTGTTGAAGTTCATGGACATTTGAACGACGAAGATAACTGTCAAGATTCCCCATTTCTTGTACCATGGGAAGCTGAAGCCGAGTTTCTCATATGCCTCCTCTTCAGTCAATTCGCGCTTCCCATCGCCGCGGAATTTGCCTCGCACTTCACTATCGGTATCTGAAGATGCTGCATGCTCATCATGTACGTTGGTGGGCCTTCGAGTAGGGCTCAGGTCGCAGTCTCCAAGACCAGAGTCTTTCTTTTCCGACATTCCATGGTCAAATAGTGGAGATCGCGGCGACTGGTTCCTCGAGGTCATGGTAACGGTACACGGTCAGTGTAGGATATTCTTCAGAGTCGACCAGGCCTCTTTGATTGGGTTGTTTGGATAGGTGGTAGGCCTCAATAGACATGTAGTGTATAGATGACATTGGGTACCCAGTTTATCAGACGAATGAAGACGAATGGCATGGTGATAGAACGAAGTCGAAGTATTGCATATCCGAAGAGGAATCGATGTAGGTCTTATAAATAGTTTTGTAATTGAATTTATGCTGATGGCCCAAAGGGGAAGGATGTGGGATGAATTCGCCAGCGGAGGTGCGACGTCATAAAACCCCGGGGTCAAAAATGGACCCTGTGCCAGCAGCAGTGGAGGTGATGCACGTCCGCTTTCCGATCCGCTGATCTCCCCGGTTCCAGATCTTGGATAGTCAAGAATCAAGACGGTTGAGCTGCCCCAGTTCTTGCCTCAAGCTTAGTAAGATGTTTGGCTGTTTCCCACGAGCTTGCTGGGGACGTCGAATTGATATGGCCCCTTTGTAGGATATAGCGCATGTGCTTGACTCAATCTGCTACCTCTGTCTGCATATTGTGCTTAAACCCGCACCAGAAACAGCCATTCATGAAGAAATGAGTTTGTAAAAAGCGACTCGGCTTCGATTCTTCCTGATAAATGACCAATATGTTGTAGATCCTATTAGCGATCCCGATGGAGGATTTGCCGGGATTCCTAAAGCGGAAGCCCGGAGTGCGACCGTCCGAGGTCATCGCAACGCTTCTTGTTTGGTCGGAATCATTCACAATAATTCTCGGCATGACGCAAAATCAAGGATCAGTTCCAGGATTATGAAAGATTCCGTCGGTCTTCATCATCCAGAAGTGCTGGTTCTTGTTAATTCCTAGTCTTAGAGGTATGAATCGACAGCTTATTTCACCAGAATAGACAAATTTCGTGGCCGTGAGCTGACGGGGTGACATCAAGTCGCTGAGAGCTGTTATGTGCTTGATGCAGCATGACAGTCTCTCCAAAATGACTGCTGATGGCGACAGGCATTTGCTGGCTTTGAAGTGAGCTGCAGTCGCCCAGTGACGTGACACTCGAAGCATAAACTCCCTTATATTATTCCCTGCCTGGTTCTAGAAAGATTCTTGATCATGGGGGTGGGAGAACATTTGGATATCGAATGTCATGGTTCCCTGGTGATGGCCTTTAGAACCGGTCGCCATCCATGGAGCGGGTATTCATGATTTCGCGGTTCCCGACTCTCCTAGGCGCCAGGGAATGCCTGGGACCGAGTACAGTACAATTTCCGGATGCATCAATATGTATATCAGGAGGAGCTGTACTTATGAGTATACAGAAGCCTTCTGTGTTGGCCTCTTTGGTCTTGGTTGACGTGACGCATATCATAGACTTTCAATGCTGTGTCGAGGTCCGGTTTGCTAAACTCCTGCCTTGTCATTCATTGATTTAGTCTGGGAGATGAAAGGTCACCTGACATTTCGGTATATGCTCCTTTCCCGCCGCAACACTCCACAGTTAGTTTGTATTCGGCTCAAAGATGAAGTGAGCCATTATTCTCTGATCGCCAGATGGTGGGAATTGAGGCATTATCTACGTGACCCTCCGTTTCCATACTAGATGTTTCCCGATATCTGATGGATGCGAGTATCCCGCTAAATGGCGCATTCCATATTCCATGCATGGCGGACGAGTACGCCAAGCCCCTAGTCCGATTTCGGGGGTAGCTTGCGAGACCCTACCAGGTTTGGTGGAGAAAGCCGATACCGGGTGGAGCAGCAGGCGTTTGCCGTGGGCCCGTGCCGGGCTGCCCCCTCTTGGTAATGGCCGCCGTCGGGTCTGGCTCGCCCCGAGTTTTCCATCTCAACATCATCACCTGTTAACAGGCTGAGTTGACAACTACTGCTGCAATCGCAATCATTCTCATCTGCGAAACCTCCGACCTTGTCGGATCTATTCACATCTGCCTAACGTCTTATACTTCCACGCACTGCCTGTTCTCACACATGCGTCCATGGTCTTTCCGGGGAGACTGAGCACAGGCTGCTATGTATGCCGTAAGCGAAAGGTCAAGGTATGTTGGTCACTGTCAAAAGTGGAATGGTTGTGTGGTTTCTTTAACCCTTCTCTTTCGTAGTGCGATGGGGAGAGACCAGTTTGCCGTCGCTGTGTGACACATAACAGGCAATGCACAGGCTATCCTGATGCCTTCGCATTTCGAACCTATAAACCCGGCTCGACACACAAGACCTCGACAGAAGATGCGAAGGTTTCTGCTGAATCCGGACCGGAGCATAGCAATAAAGCTGACGCGGGCGTCTTGGACCCTGAGGATTCGGAGCTATCATTATGCTCCACTAACCTAATCTCCGAGGAATTGGGGCCTTTGGTACCCACCCTTGCTCCTTGCTGGGAGTCCCAGTCCCTCGGATACTTCTATGATCAGTTTGTCCTTCACGCCCAAAGGTCTCCTTGTGAGGGTCACCTCGCATTCCTTCCGGACTTGTTCCGCGAGAAAGGTGATGACCCTTGCTTGAAGCATGCTGTGCTTAGCGTGTCCTATCTTTCCTTGCATAATGTCTCCAGGCGGGCAGAGCTGTATGCCAATGCTCGACGGCACTATGGACTGGCTTTGAACTCACTGGGTACTGCACTAAGCATTGAAGGGGCTTATATGAAGGATGAAGTTTTCGCAGCGGCACTTTTCTTGAGCATGTTCCTTGTAAGCAAACCAGATCAGTCCTCCCTCGAGAAAGGCTTTGCTAATCAAATACAGGACATTAGCGGTGATCACAGCTATGTTGCAAACCCTCACATCCCAGGTATCTACTCCCTCATGCAACTGCGAGGGAGGCCACCTCGGACTAGCAAATATGGCCGAGTCCTCTTTGGCTGGGCCTTCACCCAAACCGTAGGTCAACTAGCCCGGCCCGACCAAATCACCAGGTTAACAGACCAGCAGCAAATCCAGGCCATAGCCAACAACCAATATCAGTATGCCTCTCTGCCCTCGTCTATCAACATGATCTACGAACCGGACTTCATCTATCGCTCGGGAATAATCACGGGAAAGATATCCGAGTTCTGTAACTCCGTCCAACGAACAAGAGAAACCTTGGGTCTCAGCTTGAAACCCGCCAAATCACTCCGCTCAATCCTGTGGCGCGCTCTCTGCATCCTTGACGAGATCGACACCTGGAACGAACGGATCCCTGGCCATTGGAAACGCCAATGTCTGGCCTCCAATCCGGACGACGGTCCTCCCGAGGAGCCACAGACCCCTCGCAACCCCTGGACAACCTGCTTCCTCGCCGTCGTGCAAGCCACTCAGATTGTATTCTACCTCCAAGTCATAGCATGCTGCGATGCGCTTGACGATTTGGAAGACACAAGCACACCTGAAGCCTCGCCACACTCTCCCCGACACGACCCGTACGGTAGCGACGACGACTCCTCCGACGAGGGTCCACATAGTCCTACATCCCTCTACGAGATCGACTTGGAAGGCCGCATTGAGGACCTGACGGACTCAATCTGTTTCACCGTCACAACAGCCCTCGGCCGAATCAACGAAGCCACGGGCGCGTTCCAACTCCACCCGCATAGCAAGCTGGGTAACAGCTCGACACTACTGTGGCCGATGTGGCTGGTGGTCAACTCGTCCTTTTCCACGGCAGAGCAGGTCTCTCTGTGCCGAAAGGGGCTGGAGTGCATCGGGTCGACCATGGGGTACCGCCTCGCGTCCGTGCTGAGTGGGAATGCATGCCCACTTTCGCCGTTCGGGATGCCTCCGCAGAGCGCGAGCGCGCTTAGTTTGCCGAGCCAGTGAGCCAGTGAGCCCACAAGATATCCGAGACTCTGGCCGCTATGTATATACACTAATTTAATGACACGTGCTATGAGCCATGGAATACGAACACTTTCAAAATGCAATGATCAATCTGAGAGCATTCACCACTTTGTAAGCCATTCACCAGATTATCAGCAAATGGATAGCTACCTAACGGTATCCCAGCAATACCCAGCAAGGACATTAGGCACTAGGAAACATGCCACGGCGTAGCGTGCAAATAGTCTCCGGGGGTTCAACTTTACTCGGTCGGGGAACCCCGAGCGGGTACGGAGAAGTAAGTTGAACCCGGCAACTAGAAAAAAAAACCCCCCACCATAAACCCGCCGAAGGTTGAACCCCCCCGTGCTCATAAATAAACCCTCCGAGTCCGAGCCCGCCCCCGGAGGTTTAGGGGGTTCAACCGGTGTGAGCTAAAACCCCCCGACGCCGAAACTCCCAAGGAAAGTTGAACCTTTTCGCCGATGCCCGCGCCCAACTTTTGTAGTATTATTGATACACTGTCCGGATCTCCGGTTCGGGGGCTAGGGATTCTGTGTTAAAATGTGGAGGAACGATAGGTACATAATAGTTCATATAGTCCAGAATTGACGGGAGTTCTTGTTATATGGTAGTCGCTGTCGGGGCGCTAACAACTCTCCACAGAGGCTCATGTTCTACGCGAGACATGAGGGACTGGATGGCACAGGTATATACAGGTGGATCGTGTTCTCCCATTCGCTAACTAGTGGTCTTCTCCTCGCTCGCAAAACCAAAAGATCTATCTAAATCATAATACAAGGTGTAATGTTCAGTTAAAGCTATCAGTGTGTTGTTCTCAAATGATGCAATGAGCCCCAAGGCGAGGATGAACTGAACATTGCATCATTGCCGGTCTTTCGAACCAAACAAAGGGGACACAGATATATAACTGCTCAGACAGCCCAATTGTTGACCACAAGCTACTGGGTGGAACAGCCCTCTAGGTTCGTTTTCAGATACGGAACTCGGTAGTTGTGCTACAGTATCCACTCTTGCTCGACCACTTGATTCATCTGTTGCTCATACTCTTGTCGGTGTAGGAGATGACAGTTCCGGCGGGTCAGATCTTGGTAGGTAAATCTTCTGCTCCGCTCATGCGCCATGGCCGTCGTGCCTCGGCCTTGGGGTCGAAGCGTGTGGTGGTCCCAAGTCCACAGAACAGGACCATTGACATGCCGGTACCATTGCTCTTCATCGTCGACGAGACCCGAACCCAAATCGAGCCACATGGTAACAATGAAAGCATCACCGTCGTTGCCACAAAGGATTATGCGTGCCTCGAAGTCCATCGCACACACAGGACAGCGATAGTATACGGGACGAGGGTACCTGTGTAGTATATAATTAGGGCCGCGATTGTCCTTCACAAGGATGTCTGCGTCTCTCATGTCATTGACAAATAGATGGTTACAAAATGGAAATCTAGGCGTTCGAATGCAATCGAGCTCGCCCAAGACCCAGGTTTGTATGCGAAGGCACAAGCGGGGCCCTGGAAGTATTTCCGCGTCGGCCGAAAACAATCTTGTCCCAGCTGTGGTCGAGTCCCGATTTACCTGAATGTAGGACAGCCATTCTGTAGTTACCCCATGCTCAGGCCCATCATAATACCTCTTCATGGCCAATTGAAGGTGAATGAGCCTGAATCGATAGACGACAGTATGGAGCGCGCCGTTTAGCGAAAGGGCCCAGAAAGAGTCGTCTAGAAGTAGACCGTGTTTGCCATCGAGATTTTGCGGGTGCGTTAGCGATGCCGGAGGATCAATAGACTCCCTTAAGTGTAGACTGGAGCACGAGGTGCAGTGGACGTGCTCCGGTAGGTTGCGAGCAAATAGAGCGAGAAATCCTGTTCTAGAGACACCAGTTGGGGATGCAAAAGATGGGCGACTCATTACAGCACGTAGATGCTTGTTACATAGCGAGAGCAATGCTCTCTCGTGAGGTCGTAGGAAGTCGGCTATCGATAAAATCAATTCTGCTGGAAGGGTGTCAAGGCGATGGTAAAAGGCTGGAGCCAAAGGATTGAAGCTGAGTGAGAGACTAAAGTCAGTCTTTCGATGCAGACCTCCGTGAAGTTTTTGGGCCTTTTCCAGATCTGGTTTGTCGAACTGGAGCTTGGTCAGTTGGAAACTTTGTGGGGGCTTACATACCGGAAAGCATGGTTCGAGGGACCAGACATCGCGGAGATTGAGCTAAACTAGGTAATGGTATGTTTGGTATAACAAGCTAAGAATAAGATGTGTCTTGGGTATGAAAGCGACAGTGAGAAGCACCAAGTGGGAGCGAATATCCTGCCAGGCAAGTCTCGTAGGGTCGCAACGATGATACTAGGCACGAGGTAGTCGTCGGTGACTGCCTCAAGCAGTAACCAGGGAGAGCAGCCGAGGAAAGCGCACTCAGCAGCGATAGCGCACTGGAATTTATGGTAGTTGTCTGTGAGGTTTTGCGCGCATGAGTTTAATGCTTCATCCATAGTGTGGAAGGAGCTGGCTCGAAGGGTCTATGCTGGTACCGGTCGATCACCCAGTGCGATAGGCTTGAGCACCCTCATCCCTTAACAAGTAGACTTTGTACAGGTAAGGCTAAGAACAATAATATAAGTGCGAGACAAAGAGATCTCCAAAGATCAGAGTGACTCTTTTGTATAGGATGAACTATGTGGCAGACGTTTGGCGAAAACTCTCGACACGTAGGGAAGACCATATGGTCCGGCTGTGGATAATCTTAGCTTGCTTTGTCTATTGAAGCTTATGACTTGAAAACTCTCGTCCAGGATCTGAAGAAAGTAGTACACAGTGGGCAAGTAAAGAGCGTGGATAGTTGACGACCAAGACTGCCAGGTTAAGTATAGCTGAGGCTAAATCGCGACGGTCAACGGCGGCAGAACGGAAGGTGGGCCTGGCGGATCACCATGGATTCCACCCGATCTACAAAGACAACAACAAATACTTACCATCAATGACACTCAACTCACCAACGAACAATCATGGCGACATCATTCGTGCCATCGATTCTACGCCCTGACTACACGTGGCCTTGTCGGACTCCTTTCACTGTCTCCCCAATCACACCTCCAGTACCTCGTGTGTCTTGGAAACCCATCAGAGTAGCATGGGGCCTCGTGCATAGAGCGTTACGTTACTTCTCCCAGTGGTACTGCCACTGGTTCGGGATCCGTTTCGACTACAACATCATCCCACTACCTTTCGGTCTTTTGATAAAATGGACAGATCGCAGCAGCGTCGAGGAGGCCATTGCCACACAAATGGCAAGAGCCGCTGGAATGCCCGTGCCTAAAGTTCTAAACTACGGAGAACAGCTTTACCCCGAATTCAACCGAAAAGTTTCCATTCTGATGACTCGACTCCCGGGGATCGACTTGAATAACTGGGAAGATAAGGAATATGATCCTGAGAGCGAGGAGCCGTGGCTACAGGAGTTGAAGGCATGCGTGCAGACCATGCGCTTGTGGAAACCCCCTTCCTCACGCCAAAACTGGGTCTCATCAGCGATCGGAACATGTCTACGAAGCCACGCGTTCCTCATCATATCATGGGACCATTCACAGATCAGACGCAGTTGCACGACTTCCTGTTGTCCACAGCCTCAAATCATACTTTCAAATCACAGGCTGAGTTTGAGAAAGTCCTGACCACGGCGAAGAAATTGGATCAACGAAAGTATAGAATGGTTTTCAGTCAAGGTGACTTGAAAGCCCATAATATTCTTGTTGGTGATGATGGTCATCTGACTGGGTTTCTCGACTGGGAGTCTGCGGGCTGGTATCCGGAATACTGGGAGTTTACTACGGCTATGCGGTTTGGGAGGAATAGCTGGTGGTTCAGGGCAGTTTCTTGGATTGGAGGTTCCGAATATCTTGAGGAACTGGACTACGATCGTGCTGTAAACAACCTGACGGTGGATTCTTATGCCTTTTTCTAGAACAACAGGGTGCTTAATTTCCAAGGCGCCTGTTCGTCAGCTTGCCTTTCGGTGCATTATTGATTTGCATCCTCGAAGATTTTTCCTGGACACTAGTGTGCCTGACCGTGCCCGGCGTACCATGTATGCATACTTGATCGAGAAGGCTCTCAAGGAGATTTGTTGGTGTTGACTAGTGCTACGTACTTTTCGATGAGCAAGAAATTAATTACAGCCAATACCTAGTATGAAAATAGAATGAAAAGGCAAAGTAGTCAAGCTATGACCACTTAAAAGTGTCGTCCAGCGCGGCAAAAACTCTGTACTGCGTGCTCCTCTGAGAAGAGTCCGTAATAGTCACACTTCAAAGACACACGGGCGACTTGACAATTGGACGTGGCTGGCGAGAGTTTGCAGCCTCGACCATGTAACCGTTCCCCACTGACAAGCACTCCGCTTCCAGGTCCTTGACACTGCTGCAACGCACAATGCCCTGGTCCATGAGCTTCTGCAGAATTGCAAGCACCCAAACGCGGCAAGTAATACCAGGCATCGCATTCAGGTTTCCATCGTAGGACCTCATGATGGGATCGATTTGAGCAACTTTATCGCTAGGGACACGTGCGATCTGATTGACAACACAAAGAAGATTAGACTTCAGGAGGCCCCCGGTTCTGCCGTGATCCGCAAGCCAGCCCTTGCCATCGGTGCTGGGGTTCTTCACATGATACTTGAAGGCGCCGGATTTGTCAGTATGGAAATAGAGACCCCAGTGAAAGTCGTTGGCGATGGGAGGGTCGGCGCGAACATAGAGCACGACATAGATGGTGTTTAGCGGGAGACCAGCGAGGATCTCGTTCTGGATCTTTCTGACGGCCGCCGCTTTCTCAAAAGGCTTCAAGCCAGAGAAGTCGCTTCTGTAGCCCTTGGTCAGGTCCTCCATGCTTGGACGGTCTGACTAAACTCAGCGCACTGCGCGGATCTTGGGAGAGAGATCGGGCGGATTCTCGCTTGTCGAGAAAATTGAAGAGCTTGAGAAAGGTTGACAGTAGCCTTTTTGCTTGTCTAGATACATGAGTGGTCAGCGATGGCATGTCTCGAATCCTGCCATGAAGAATACGTACTTTGATCTTTGTAACGTGTTTCTCACACCCCTCGGTTGAAGCAACAACCTATGAGGGTGTGTAAGAGATCTTCAACCAGGATGTTGTGAACAATCGTGTCAAAGCCCAGCTTCGTGTGAGTGATACTAATATCCAGAGACGGTGTAGAGTGTTATAGTCAAGGCAGGAAGTATTGGGGGGTGGAAGATAGGATAGTGCTGAGTACTGAGCCCACGGCATTCATTGAATGACCGAGTTGCTGAAGTGACAGTGATTCATTCTGTGTTACCACTACAGACCATCTAACACATTCACTGAAGGCCACCTTTTGCTGTGATTCTCTCCGAGCTGGACATCAACCTTACCTCTTGCCCTGACCAGATTCATTCTCATTCCCCATGATAATACAACATAGCTAGTCATTTGATGTTTTGATTGGTAACATGCTAGAAGTGAAGCGTATACTTATCAGTAAAGGGCCCTTCAACACGTGAAATTTGGTCTGCGACTGCACTCGAGCCCATTGCGCTTGATTCTTCAGTGGGCTACGGACGGGCAGTGAACGATGCAGCGATTGAACTCTACAGATACAAGAGAAAGGTGATAAATTCTAACAAAATACTAAGTTTCAATGACTACATAAATGCCGTTGTAGGAGGAGTTATCACTTAGGTATTGGGCATCAAAACATCTACCAGTCCAGATCAATGCTAAATACATTGCAGTATGCTAAGTTGGCTGCTCTTAAGAGTATTTGGGCTGTTTGCACAAAGGGTTCATGGCCTATCATCTACTAGTTGTATGATTATGGCAGTGATCCCAGAGCTTTAACAACGAAGACTGCAATGCGTTCTCTTCAAAGCAGCAGTCGAGGACATGTACAGTACTACTACCGGTTGAGAACGATTACATTCGGAGTTGGAATGATGTCCATGAGACAACGTTTTTGAGTTGCGAGTGATGAAGAATATTTTGGCCCGTATTCAGTTCAAGCAAATACTTCTGGTCGCTCCGTCCACCGCCTGACCAAATCACAGATACGATTCCTCAGAGAGGTATTCATTCTCGGAATCTCAATAAAAAGAGGAAGCTAACTTGAGTGGTTCAAGGCATAACATCATGAATACTACTAATTCCTGGACACGGAACCTACGGTCGAAAGTCCTACCCATCAAGCCGGATCCACAGGCGGCCGAGGTAGCCTTTGCAGGGTAAATTCAACCCGAACAGGTCTGGTTGGGTAAAGAAGTCATGCTGTGCAATCAGCATCTACTGAACGGTGCCCATCACGAGTGAGCATCATCTAACGAGAGCCTTGTATGTCAAAGGGCTACCCCTTGTTCCAGCTGCTAAGGCTACCATTGCTCATGTTGTCGAGACTCCAGCAGTGCGCACCAACCTTGGCAGATCAGTCACCATATCAAAGAAGTGCACCAACTTTCGCAAGGAAGCTTTTTTCTCAGATCAGCCACTGATGCTTCTTGAAGCGGCTTCGGCCTCTAGCATGTCAATCATGCCCGAGAAAAGCTTAGGCTGATCAATGATCCGGGTATTGTCTTTTCCCTCCATCATGCGATGATCCGAGCAAGGGACCATGCGTCCATGACACCGCGGGGTAATTCGGCCCTCAAGCAACTTTTCTCGTGGAGAATACTATTCCAAGTCTCTTCGTCCGGGTCTACAGCAGAAACCGGCTTTGATTGCCGTTCATGGACAAGGCGGATGTTCTCCGCACGAATTCCCCGCCCTCCGCAACCCCACATGCCGGCAAAATATGGTACCATCCGCAAAATCCCTGGTGTACTGCGTTCAAAACAAGGATCTGTTTGAAATGGCGTTGAGCTTCAGGACCGCTATGTCATGATGTCGGCCTATAAAGAAGGGTCCTACTTCCGTGTTCGTTTGCGTCGTTCTATCCTACATTGTATTGATTGCATCTATCATTCTGCCATAGGTCTTTCCTAGCGTCATGAGGTATTCTACTATTGGGCTCCTCAGCTTGGCCACTCTGGCATCGGCCAGTGCGGAAGGCCCTTACTATGCGAATTTGACATGGGAAGCCCCGCGCACCTTGTCAAACTGGTCAAACTTGACTGTCGAGACGCACACGGGAACATTCATTGGCATGCTCAATGATACCTACCCCAATGTTCGACAATTCCTTCGAGTTCCATATGCACAGGTATGTTTTACCTTTCTCGGACAGTTCCATCCCGCATGTTGATTTCATCTGCTCCAGCCTCCCGTTGGAGATCTACGTTGGATGCCTCCTCAGAAGCCGCATAGGTCCAAGAAGCGGATCGATTCTACCTTTTATGGCCCAGGTAACCTTCTACTCAAAGGATTTGTGACTTATAATGTACTCACATTCTTGACAGCCTGTCCGCAGTACGTGACTGCGCCAGCCAGTTTCTGGAACACCTACGAACCCCCAAATGTGCTGCTCAACATCGGCGAGAAATTGGATCAAGGTTCCACTGCCTGGTCGTCGGCCGAAGATTGTTTATCAATGGCGATCTGGACGCCTGCTTCAGCTAATCGCACATCTAAGCTCCCAGTGGCGTTGTTCGTAACCGGTGGCGGCGGGATTACTGGTGGGATTGATATTCCCTCTCAGCTGCCAGCACATTGGGTCTCGCGATCTCAGGAGCACATTGTGATTACCATCAATTATCGATCAAATATTTTCGGGAGTGGGTTGACCCTGCAACAAAGAGAGACATTCGACTTACCTTGTTTGCAGATCCCAAATCCCGGGCATTGAATGAGACCTCTTTGACTTTGCTAGATGTCAGAGCGGCAGTGGAATGGGCCTACGAGAACATCGAATCCTTTGGAGGAAATGCTGAAAATATAATGGTATGGTTCTCGAGATTACTATCTACTATATCTAATCTCCGATTGGGCAAGTAGCTGTGGGGTCAATCGCAAGGAGGTATCTTGACGCATCTGTATACTCTTGCATTCCCCGACAACCCTCTCGCAGCCAAATTTGGAGTGATCTCGCAAGGTGCATCGGCCACCCTGGACCTCACAACGGCCGGTGATGTTTATCAGGACTTTGACATTGTCGCCAAGGGGCTCGGATGTAATTATGGAGACGACTACGAAGCCGAGCTCGAGTGTATGCGGCAGATTTCCTGGGTGCAGATTGAGGAATACATTAACCGCTACAACGCTACGCCTTCTATTGCTTTTACTAACTATATTCGTGGGTATGACTCCCTCACCTTCTGGCTCTCGGGCTAATCCTGCCATTAAGCCGATGAAAGATACATCTTTTCGAATGAGACCGAGCGATATCTTCAAAAGAAGGTTGCTCCGGGACCGTCGATTCGATCCGACGCCGCCAGGGAGTTTCCGGATCAGAACAGTACATACGTTGCCGAAGAAGAAGGAGTGTCTGACTGTCTTGCACGTTCTGACTCGGAGCTTCGGGCGTCCATCGGCCTTGACACCTACCGATATTATTGGGCCGGCAAGTAGACGTTAGTTACCCTAGGTAAATGCTCTTGGGCTAATCATTGTCTTCCTGCAGGAAACTTCAGCAACATCAGCCCCGTTCCCTGGCTTGGCGCCTTCCACTGGACTGACCTCCTTATGATTTTTGGTACCTACATGCTGGATGTCGGTAACATCACCGAGCTCGAGGTCAAAACTTCTGAAACAATGCAGGACTTCTTCCTAGCATACCTCAAAGACGCCTCCACAATCAACACCACTGTAGGATGGACTGCGTTCAATGGCAGTGCGCCTGAAGGGGGCGTTATTCTTGAGTTTGGCAAGGATGTTCCTGTTCGGAATGTTACTGGGGATTGGCTAGATGGTGGCTGTTGGAATTCTTCGATTCCCTTCCGGATTGATGGGTAGGTTAGTGAATTTGCGAGATGTTACCTCCGAAGCCTCCTCTCGATGTACCAGTCCTGCGACCCAGCATCTGAGCGAGAAGCAATTGTCGAATACCGGCCGATGTCTTGTGTCTTCATGTGTTTGATAACTAGATGGGTAACTTCTTTGTAAGGGTGGCTCAATGATACATGTTGTCATAAGTTCTGGCTCTTATCCTGCTGACAGAACTGCCGTGTCGGGCTTCTGGCTTGACCTTGGTGTAATCTGCAGAATTCACTGGGTAGAGGAAATGTGAGCGAGGGTTTGGTGTTAGGCGGGAGAAGGCGCTTGTCCCTTTTCGCCAATGAGGGCCTCCTGTTATGATTCATATCACTGGAAAATCTTTCTCCTTTGACTTCTTTCTCTCACTGTCACCACACTCCTTACAAACTTGCACTGATTACTACCTACATGTCGATTGATAGATCCTGATCGTGTATGCTTAGCTACCTCCACAGCAGTTTGACCAACATCCTATCCTCGTTTCATATCAACGTTGTTCTTTGAAAAACGGACAGACTGAGCTGCAGGCTGTTTAAATTTACAGTCCTGCAGCTGGTTGCCTGGGACATTAGGTTCCCGTGAGAATCTGAACACGCACTGTGGATTTACAAGAAGGCAAAAACAACAACGAAATTCGATACATTGTTGAATCTTTCATGCAGGCCAGAGACCTAATTCCATCAACAAGAACATACACACGCTGAAGCTGATCACGCTCGCAAAGATGGCTCAACTCACAGATCTCCCGACCGAGATTATACTTCACATAGTCTCTTATCTACAGTCCCATGACGACATTGCGGCGTTGGCTGCACAGTCTTCCCATCTCTACGAGTCGTGTGATAAGAGGGCCCGTGCAAGATTCCGCGAGATCCACATTACAAACAATGCCAAGCATCTCGAGAGCGCCTTCGCGGCCCTGATCGACATCCTAGAACAGCCGTATCTAGGCCGCTATGTGCGTCATATTGAGTATTGGGAGTCTGTGACGAAGACCTATAAGGACCCAACCTTCTGTGAACTCAATACGTCATCGCCAGCTGAAGAACACATGAGGATGATCCGAGCTGCAATCTACAGAGCAGGGTTTCCTAGCAATATGATTGAAAGCTTGGCCATGATAGTTAGGCTGATCTCCGGAGTCAACTCCCGCAGGGAGATTAATTTAATGAATCGGCCAGTCAATCATATAGGCAGCTCAGCGGGTCCCCTTCCTTGAGCTGCAATCATTTCGATGCTTACCCTTAACCAATTCTAGGCTTTTTCATTGCCGGGAGCCCCTTCTCGCACAGGTTCTGACAGCACTTCTAATCTCCGTGGCACCGGAAGTAGAGTCTATGGCCCTCTCCCAACCCTTTCTCAGCAAGTTTTCCGTACCTTGGCATACGGACTCAATCGACCGCAAGTGTACGAAATTTCCTTTGAAATGGCTTCTGCACCAGATCAACAACAACGACGCGTTCCCGGGTGCCCGGGGGCCGAAGCTCCTGAGAAAACTTCGGGACGTGTACTTAGTCAACGAGACGGAGGACGACACATCCTGGAAACAGGATCGAGTCTTTTTCATGACGGACCTCTTTGGCTTCCTAGAGCTTTTTCACCATCTTCCATCGATTGAGTCATTTGGCACGGATGAGCTGAAAACAAGCGTCGTCGGTAAGCACGGGCTCCCCTTTGCCTCGTCGAATATCTCCCGTATCCGGATCGAGCACTCGTTGGCCGACAGCATGAACTTGGCAAGAATGATCTGTCTATGCAAGCAGCTTCGAGAGTTTCAATGCCCCATCGGGGCCAGATCAATCGGCGGCAACCTTACCTGTAGGTTGAACTCATTTCGAATCATCTTCCAAGCGCTTCTGGTCCACCGTAGAACCTTGGAGGTTCTAGATCTAGGCGTCACATACATACCTTTTGAGTCAACACCGGTAGAGCGAGTTCCTCTTAACCTCAGTGAGAATCGCGAAAAGCGCGAACAAATGCAATTAATCCGGACTGCGAATGAAATGGCTTTGGCCGATAGGTCAGTGCAGCTGCCGGACTGGATCTGGGACCAGGCCGGTTCGTTGGCCGAATTCTCCGCCTTGAAGCACTTGAATCTGGAGCTTCAGTACCTGCTGTACATGGCGAGGGGTGTAGGAACCGCGAGGGACGATGGATACCAGCTCGTGGATCGGTTGCCGTCCCAGTGAGAGCATCTCCTGATCGGCGAATATGTGAGAAATGAGAACGTGGAGTTTGACGAGCAGGCAGATTCGTTGAAGATATTGGAAAGAGAGCAGCGTCTCAGCAGCCTGAAGACCATTCTGGGAATTGATGAGACAATCGCGGCGATCCCGCAACCTGAACAGCCTGGGTTGAACGAACATGTGCGTTCGTTGATAGAGGACGTGGATGAATCGGATCCAACGAAGAGGAGTTGGAGCCACGCATCTTTGATCTGAACCTCAGTGATGATCCCTCAGCTTTGTTCGAGCAAATTGACACACTCAATGCACTTCTGTGCCAAGGATTTTTCGAGTGGTGCGAGTGATCTGGCGATTATCTAGGTCTGGGAAGTATTTTGACCGAAGCGATGCCCATGTACTGAGTCACACAAACCGCACCAGAATGTTGTTAATTGCTGCCATAGTACCAAGAATGAATGAAATTTCCTTTTCTTTGAACTCTAGTCCAATGCCCTGATTCGTAATTGTACTTCTACTGCTCTGCAGATGTCCGGTCCAACCCTTAAGCTTCACAGCCGCGACCCACCGGTACCATACCCGTACCCGTACCTGAAACAGTGGCCCTTGGCCCGTGCGCGCGCAAGCCCGACAGATTCTTTTCTTACCGCCATACAGCCACCGTAGGGGAACATCAACACACCACAGACAGAACACCGGAAGGTAACTCACAAAAATGAATCCCCTGCGCTACCTCGCGCCTCCGACGCCCTACAAGGAGCTCTCCACGACCAACAAGAAGGGGCTGAAGGAGCGGCTCAGCTACGCCGAGGCCCTGGAGCACCACCCGGGCCTGCAGCTGTCCGCCGAGCAAGCCGAGCTCCTGCACACCTACCAGCAAGCATGCGAGGCGCTCCTCGAGGACCCGGGCAACGTCAACGCGGCCATGCGCATGATGCAGTACGAGCAGTCGCTTGAGTCAGGGGCTGGCAGTAGCCTCAGCAGCCCCGCGGCCCCCGTCAACCTCTCGTTCGACCTCGCCACCAAGGTCAAGCTCGGCGAGGAGCTCGACAACCTCTACAGCGTCTGGGCCGTCACGCGGTACCGGAAGTACCTGCCCGCCGGCATCCAGGAGGAAGCCGCCAAGCACCCGTCCAGCCAAACCGCGGACCCGTGGCACGCGGCCTTCTGGACGCCCTTCCACGGCCGCCTGGACGCCGAGGCCGCCGCGTTCGCCGCCGTCCTGGCCGGCGAGAACCGCCACAATGAGTGTCCGACGTCGATTTTGTTGATGCTGCTCTGCGACCGCCACACGGTCGACTGGGACGAGACGCGCGCGCTGATCCGCTACGCGGCGGCGGGCGCTGAGGGCGTGATTCAGGGGCTGCCGGAGAGCGACTTCGGGGAGTTGCTGCGCACGAAGGACGTGGCCGGGTTGGCGACGCGGTTGGCCCGCGATGAGTCTGGGTGGAGCTGCTCGACGGAGTATGTGTTGGGCGTCAGTACGCTGCTGATGGGGTTCTTTGCCAATACCCTGGCCGATACGCTGTTTGAGACCGAGGAGGAGCTGATGGATCCGACTAAGTGGGAGCCTAAGAAGGTGCTGCGCGAGCGGTTGGCGTTGGCCGAAGGCCATGAGCAGGCGTTCCGCGACTTGTTGCAGGAGATGTATGTGCAGATGCTGGTGGGGTCGGATGATGAGGATGAGGCTGGGTTCCCGGGTTATGATGATTTCGATGAGCTGGATGATGATGAGTGGGAGGAGTTTGAGGGGGATGTGGAGGAGGGGGAGGAGGAGGATGGCGATGAGTCGGATGAGTACTAATGCGAGTTTGATGCCTGAGGATGTTGGTCCTGTAGAACTACTCTGCGAAATCTATAGAACGGCGATCACGAACTCATCTCTCCGTCTCAGTACCTATACTCACATAAATCAACCATTCGAGTCATCGATCACATATACCCAAGCCCGGGTCGCCCACATTAACCCTTCAATGAGTCCTAGCCCACCCTCAAACATTTGCTGCAATCATTCATCAGAATCAAAATCATTCAACAGAATCAAAGTCATCAATCTGCCTCCAGTCCAGCACCATCCCCCTCGCCGGCGGCCACGCCTCCACAAACCCCTCCGCATAATAGATCTCGTGCTCCTCCGGCCACGCATGCACCAGCATCGTGACCTCCGTGCATCGGAGGGCGGCCTCTTCCTCTTTATCCTCGCCTTGCCCGCCCATCCCCAACCCGGTCACATACTCGCGGATCCTCTCCCGGAGATGCGCCACGATCACGTTCCCCAACTTCTTGTACTTGTGGTCCGCTGCGATGAGCAGGTCCGTCAGGTGGAAGGTGTAGATCCCGTCGCTGACGAGGCGGGCCATTGCGACCACTTCTCCGGTTTCTTGGGTCTCTGGGTTGGTGGTGGGATTATTGGGGGTAGTAGGTGAAGCTGAAGCTGAAGCTGGTGCCGTGTAGGTGATGTAGCAGCCGTACCAGCTTCCCTGGAGGGCGGATTCGGCTTGTTGGGCCGTTGGTGATTGCGGGTGTTCTTTGGTGCGGCGGAGGTGGAGGTAGGATTCGACGGCGGGGTAGCCCCAGTGGAGGGTGTAGTTGGATGGGAGGACGGCGGGCATGTTTGGGGTGCGTGAGGGGTTGTAGATAGCGCTTGGATGAGGTTAGATCTGAAGGTGGAGGGTGGAGGGTGGAGTCGTGATCTTTGTTGCGATCGTGGTTGTGGTTGTTGTACTATAATAGAAGTATGTGTTGTGGAGAGAGATGTGGGGGTGAGAAGGAGATGGGAGAGTGAGAAGGGAGAGGGGAAGTATATTATGCAGGGGCCGGAGGTTGTGTTGTTCTCTGCCTAGTAGGCTACCGTGCTGCTGGGTGACATGCATGCTTGGAGGGGTTGTTCACTTAGACTAAAATCATTCCACGGTTCGAACATATACTAAATTTGTGTTGTTTGGCCAGTCTCAAAATATTAGAACTACGGTAAATCAGTCATATGTCCAACATAGATTGCATGAATAGCACTATTCTTCTGGATATGCCAGCTGCATCTACCTACAGAGATTGTCTGGTAGCCGTGAGATGCTTGGAGGTGTCATCGGCCAACTGCACCCATACCATTCGCAAAAGCACGCAAGTCCTTTCATCTCCATACAGGTCCCCAGAAGTCATTAGGACCCTGGTACGCTGATTCAAGTTTCTGACAACGCGGGTGCTTAAAGTCGTCCCACGACCCTTGAGGCCAGATCGGGATCTGGCAAAACTCATCATCATGACATCCGTGACACTCTTTCCACACTGTCCAGCTCAAATAGTCCATCAGAGATCGCAGGGTGTTGACCGCGACATTATATTCTGTCGCCTCCATGACTTCGACAAACGACGCGCAGATTCGACTGCTGACATCATAGACGGCGCGATAAGCAAGCGAATCACCAGCAGCATTGGTAGGGATGAACTGAGTTGCGCATCTCTCCGTCTCTTCATCAACATCCCTGTTGTCCTGATCGATGAATGTTTTCCATATCCGTGCAACATCTGCAACTAGAGAGGACAAGCCGTGATGGTGGTGGTGTCTCGATGCCAGCTCACGCAGCGGGTGGCTGTACTTCTGGACAATCATATCAGCGATCGCTTGCCAGTTCACCTGTCTGTGTCCTGCATCATGCGTCATCACGAGGGATGTGAGACCCTTACGTATGGGCTTCAACTCTGCAAATGGGAGGTGGTTCAGACGTGGGGCAGTGCTGTCGTCCGGAAACAGATTCAGAGAAAAGTTATAAGCCGTGACGAAATGATCATAGTTCAAGACCACCCGCTCGCCGCCAATGCCATTGTACCTGGCTCTCATCACTTGGAGCACCTCGGTCGGTTTCCCTCCTTTCTTTCCATTGCCCTCTGTTCTCGGGCTTGAAGACCTCACTCTCGCCACATGAACGGGCTCCAGGTTTTGTTCCGAATTGCAGAGAATCACCTCGAACCCCGAAGCCAGCCGAATGACCCCATCCACCCGATCGTTCCACTCCTCCCTCGCAATTCGACACACGGCCTCTGCACGCGCATTCTCCTGCAATACGCCACCATTGATCTCATCTTCAAACAACACCCGGTCCTGCAGGTCGAGAGTCCCGATCTTGGACTTTCCGGCTGACATCCCATCGATATAAATGAGGCGGAGGTTCTTGGCCGTGGTGTAGGTGTGCAGCCATCCGCCATTGTCTTCTCCGGCTGATTCATCTCGATCCCCGCCCATCACTTGCTGAGAGCCAGATGACAGTTTGGGGGGTGTCTCGGGTCGCTTCGTCCCCGACCGCGCGAAGGCAAATGCGTGCTCGGGGTCGAAGGCCAGCCATCGGACTCCGGTGATGTGCTCTGGATGGCCGTCACCGTGGTAGAGTTTGGTTCCCTGTGGCATTTCTGCCAAGAAGAATGACATGCCGTTGTGGTTGAGTGCCGAGCCCCATTGTTTCATGGAGGAGTGGATGGCGTTGAAGATGTAATTGGCATTCTGGACAGGTTCGGGGGGAGCGCTGTCAGCGGCAAGAGGAGAGGTGGCAGCCCCTATGGCAGAGATCAAGGCGAGAATGCAGGATCGATGCATTTTGTTATATCTGAGAAGAGTAGAATATGTTGATCGGTGCGGTACATCTGGCTGGAAAGATGTGCCTTTATCTGAGATGAGTGAGTCGATGGCAGACACGCAATGCATGCATAGACATTACCTGATCGGGAAATTCAGGCCGAGGGCCTGGAGGGATGTTCAGGCGCCTAGGCACCCAGGCACACCAGTCCTGCTCATCATCTTCCTCGACGCGTCATCCGGTCTCTCACCACCTGCTCGCACAAGCAAGATTGCGATACCATTGTTTCCAGTCTTGCATCCGCCATGATTTCTCATTTGATGGCTCTTTATGGCCTTTATCTTCAAGTACTTCCAAAATACAACTGTTGACCTTCCATGTAACAACCCGCCAAGGGATTTGATGAGAGCGTTGCACCGCTAAGCTAAAAGAGATGTCAAGATACTGATCTAGCCCATCCTTCGCTCCAAGAGATGCTGAATGCTGTCAGAATTGCCATCCACCACCTCTTTTCTAGTCACTTCAACGGCTTCGTCGAAGTCACCCACGACGCAGCTAGTCGGCTCTGTCAATTATGGCCACGATGGCTAGAGCGCACCTGTGACCTCCTCTGCGACCTTCTCTGTGACATATGAAAGAAGACCCCCTAATCATGACAGTCCATAGGAGTTGTAGGACATCCAGTGGTACATGCCAGGCTTATTTCGAAAGGCATTGGCAAGACAGACTATTTCTTTCATTGCTCTTCACAAACGAAGTTTTATGAGAAGGCTCCGTTCTTCGTTCTTGTTCAGTTGTGCATAAACCTCCTCCGGAAACGTGGAATTGATTCTCGCGGTACCCGACTTGCCATGGCACCAAGCAGTGGGTATGCCCCAGGTCTGATTGATAATTTCGGGAGGCAAGTTCGTCGAAAAGGCTTGGCCCCGGGTCATGAGAGTCTATGGCCCCATCTGCGCGGAAGGGCTATGCTGTGAAGTGTGGGACATCTTACAAACTACAGTGAAGTGAGCATCGGAATCAAGCGTCTGACTGGCGAGGTTGGACCCCATCATCCCACAAATTCCGTGGTGTTCAGGTAAAACTATCGGAGCATCAATTGTACACTCTAGATATCGACCTATCGGAAAGACTGTAACGAGGAGATGGTGAGTTTTCCCTCTCCCTACTTTGCTTCGGCGCTCGAAGTAGCACACTAAAGATTTATCCTATTCTCGCATCGACTAACGTCTGCAGAAACCTATTTCTCCGCCGTATACTCAACTGACCTTCCTAGTCGAGGACGCTTGCCGAAAACCGGCACCAGAAAAAGCCTCCGGGCAAACCATGACTCACAATGCAAGCGATGCCAAGAATGTCCGAGCCGCTCCATCAGTCGCCTGATGTATACATGAGGTCGTTGCTGGAACTACGTGCACATCTCCCGAAAGGGACGTAGCTTGCGAGGATGGGACCCGAAAAAATCAAGCAGCCGACGGAAGTGGGCCGCCAAGAAACTCGGGGTTAGAATCGGACACCACTGCCAAGAGCCTGTATACGTCGGCCTAAGGGTCTTTCTAGCCAGTGATACGGTGCTTGATCGCATGCTAAGTGGATCTTATCAGATTGATCAATCGTTCCACGCTCCGAATTATCAATCAGGTCTTGCTTCCACAGGGGTGTGGCATCTTGTGGGTCTTCGGGGGATTTTGTCCTGGACAAGACAGAACCTTCTATGCTTTTCGCCCCGCCAGGGAGTTGGTGTCAAGAAAAAAATTCTCTGCAAGTACCTAACGGGATAAGTACGAAGTTGACGGAGAAGAAGCCGCCACTATTGGCTTTCGACTTGTGGCTCTCTCTTGTCGGCTATATGTCCCAAAAGATGTCTTAAACGGCGCTACACATATCACACTGGAGCCCACGAGTCCGATGAATGCGAACCTACATGCTAGACCAAATGCATGGGTCCAGATGCTCCGAGCCAAGGAGGCATTGTTCAATGATCAAGTGGAGATTGATAACTGGTTCGCTGGAGATTAGCTCGATTCCCTCCGGTGGGTTCCGCCACGCCTGTGTAATGAGCGTGCTCGAATAGGACCCTCATTGCGAGGAAGTGGGTAGGTCCAATTTGAGGATTCTGTGCGATATAAAGATTGACTTGATGCCCGGACTACGCTGATCTCGGGAGTGTCTTGTCTATCAACCGGCAAAATGAGAGTGACCAGTACACTTCTCTTGATCCTCGCCTGGACGGGCGTCCGCGTCCTGGCAGAGGGGTTTACTATGTCTGCCCCCGAGCTTGCAGACTATTGCTTCTATGCTATATACGAGTCTCTGGGCTCGTACACGTATGCAGGTGCCACTACATCCAGTTCAACCTCAAGCGACTCGTCAACTTCTCAGAGTTCTTCTAGTTCAACCTCACATGGCTCTTCCTCCTCCTCAAGTGCCGTCGTCACAACATCACATGGCTCCTCAAAACGGGCATTCGCAAAGAGAATGGCTAGACGTGGTCATCATGGTAGTTCATCTACTGGAGGCTGCACGAGCACAGTGGGTGTCATGTCCTTGTATGCCAGTGCGAAGGCGTGGTGTAACAAGAAGCAACTGGAAGCCACCATTCCTTACTGGCAAAGCCTGTGTGAGCAGAACAGTGCTACTTTGATCGATCTGACTGATATCGTTGCCAATGCCACCGACTCTTATATCGCATCTTTGCCAACTGTCGATCCAGAGGCAAATAGCACGACGACAACCGGCACTATTGAGAGTCCAGTCTTGCTTAGCCACTCATACTACAAGCGAGCTTACAAATCTTATGTATGTGATCTTTTCTTGAACTGATCCTGATGAAGCATTAACCAGGCGGTGATAGGTCACCCACGACTATGCACTGAGCAAAGACAAACGTTATGGCTGGGGTCTTATGGGCTACTGGGGTGGAATACTGGCTCTCGGCATGATTGTCAAGGCCTGGAAATCCTTCCGAGCCCATCTCAATGGCCCCGGACGCGGCGATTCTGAGAAGAGTGGTTTCTATGCTGCTGGTCGTAATTCCTGCGCGCCAGTGGCTGCAATTACCCACTTCATCCGGACTCACTTTGTCATTCCTGCCAGCTTTGCCCCCGGCCTTTCCAATCACCAGCAGCTCTTCTGGTTCCACACTATCCCAAAACGATTGGATCTTTTGATCGTTTTTGGCTGGTGGGCGGTGTGTATCATTCTGTCATGTGTTGACTACCAGAGCTTCCGCGGCAATATTCAGTACGTTTGTATCATAATTCGATCATAATTTGGCAGGTTTACGTCTAACAAACAATTAGGACGCCGAGTCTACACGAACAAAATTGGCAATACTCGTCTGACCGTACAGGAATTCTGTCTTACGCCTGTCTTCCATTTCTTTGGCTCTTCGGTGGACGAAACAACATCTTCCTTTGGGCAACAGACTTCAATGTCCAGTCTTTCAACATCTTCCACCGCCATGTGGCCTGGGCTTGCACTCTTCTGGCTATTGTTCACTCAATCAACTACACCGTGGTTTTCCAGGTCTACGGTTAGTGCTACTTATCGCAAGCATCAATGATATGCTAACAGGCTGGCATATCAGACGGCAGATATCACAGTGCACTTAAGCAGAATTACTTCTACATGGGTATTGTTGTATGTAACCATTCTCGGCACCATGTCTTTAGGAGGCTTCTCACATATTCCAGGCCACGGTGGTGATGTCTGTTATGCTCTTCCAATCCGGCACGTGGCTTCGTCAGAAGTTTTACGAGACCTTCTTGATCATCCACGTTGTCCTAGCCATCTTAACCATATACACTCTTTTCCGGTAAGTCCTCCTACGAGCACCAAGATGCTTTCACTAACTAGAAGCAACCAGTCACACCAGCTTTGATGGCACCGTCTACAACGGCTACCTCTGGCCAATGGTCGCCATTTGGGGCTTTGACCGCACCGTGCGCTACCTCCGCGTGATCTACTGCAACTGGAACGTCCGCTTCGGCAAGGGCTTTATCAACACCACCTCCTCCACTGTGTCCTATAGCTCGGCCAGCGATCTGATCCGCATCGAAATGATCCCCGCGGCCCACAGCCTCACCCCCGCCCCTGGCCAGCACTACTACCTCTACCAACCCTTGACCCTACGCGGCTGGGAGAACCACCCCTTCACTCTGGGCTGCTACAACACATCTGGTGCTGAGGCAAAACTCATCTTCTACATCCGTCCCTACGACGGCTGGACCCGACGTCTCCGCGACCAGTGCCAGAAGTCTGGGGGTAAGGATTTGACCATCGCGCCTCGGCTGCTCCTGGAAGGCCCCTACGGCCACCAGATCCCGCTGCACACCTTCGACACTCTTCTTCTGATCGTCGGAGGCACCGGTATCGCCGCGGCAGTCCCGTACATCCTCGACCACGTTTCTCGTCTCGCAGCCGGAGGCAAGACCCGCACCACCAGGATCCACCTCGTCTGGTCCGGCCGTCAGAGACAGATGTTCGATGAAGTCTGCTGCGCGGATTTGGTCGCCGCGCTGGAGTGCGCGGATATCCACGCCACGCTGTATTGCACGGACAAGAGTAGCATGGGGGCGATGACTACCGTTGTCACCGGCGACGAGAAATCTAGCGCTGCAGTCCCGCAGGTCGATGCGGTGGGCGCGGAGGCAAAGGAGGCCGGCCAATTCGTGCAGGATTCTTCCAGCCAGGAGTCCCGACCCATGAAGGTGGAGGATCTTGGTCTGGAGGTGCGCTACGGACGCCCGGACATCACGGCCACCGTGCAGTCGGTCGCGGAGGAGGCCCGCGCCAGTGTGTCTCGGTTGGCGGTATTGACGTGTGGCCCGGCGGTGATGGCGGATGAGTGCCGGATGGCGGTTTATGGGGTGATGAAGGGGGGATTCCGCCAGGTGGAGTACTTCGAGGAAGCTTTCGGGTGGTAGACAGGTTTGTCTTCTACTCTCGTTGTTCGTGGAGGAGAGGGAGGGGATGACTTATGATGTGCTGGGTATCCTTTAATGCACGTATTTATGTTTATGTTTATAGTAGTAATTAAAAGTTCATTACTTTGCTTAAGCAGAATCAAAGACTTTCATCGCCAACGTATGGCCTAGAATGAATGAATGCCCTGCTTATCCCGCAGTCATATGGTACGACCAATACGTAGATTTGCAACCGAGACTATAAATATCTGGCTTTGAGGACTTGTGGCATGCGGTTTAAGCTGTGAGTCCACTTGTGATAACACGCAGCCTATCTCGCCAGTCCGAACCGGTAAAATAAGTTTTCACTTCTCTCTATCTGATCAGTGCCCAATCTCCGACCTAGCGAGACATGCAAAGGCAAGCGGAGCCGAGATGTCGGAAGCGCACACTCTCGCAAACTCCATCCCGAAACGGCCGAGTGGGGCGCCGTATATAGGGCTGCCAAGAAATCCGAGCTACTGCTCAGACCGGGACCACTAACTTATCCGTATCAAATTCGCAAGATGGTACCCAGATCAATCTTGTGCGAATTCCGTTCTTCGCCTTACTATGTTTGGTCTCGACTGGCTGGGACTAGCTCGTGCAATGTATTAGGTGGAGGACTAGCAATTTATCTTGCGATCATGGATAGCGTTGCAAGCCGCAGAATTCGCTGGTTACCGAACAGGCAAGGTGCCCATTCCGCAAGGGGGGGGGGGCAGCCGGGCTTACCTTAGGGCTATGAGATGACCGCTCGCGCCATACATTTGTTATAGCCTGTGTTGCGATAAAAAGAGCCATTTTACAACATATTCCGATATGGTGTAGTGGCTAACATCGCCGTCTCTCACACGGCAGCCGGGGGTTCGATTCCCCCTATCGGAGCTCAATCTCCATTTCTTTTGCTCTATCGGGCTGACGTTTTGCCTCTCCTGCCCGGGGGTTAGTCTTGGGACATAGCGGTCTTTAACACACATCCTTTTCATGCAACATCCGATATGGTGTAGTGGCTAACATCGCCGTCTCTCAATTGCTCGGTGCACGGCAGCCGGGGGTTCGATTCCCCCTATCGGAGTGACTATCTAAGTCCTTCTTGGGCTTTCGCTTTTTGGTGTTTTGTTTTGCGGGATTTGATCTTTTGCCGGGTGTGGGAGTTGGTTGGGTATTTGCCACGGTCTGTCTAGGTGCCGGATGGAGGGGAGTTTGCCGCGCGAATGACCTGTCGAATTGCGGTTCCCTTCCTGGCATTGAAAGTTATGCTCGACTCTAGCACGCGTGTCGGAGGTGCAAGAGTGCTGGGTATTTGAGAGCCTCGGATGGATGGGAGTAACGAGGGAGGTTATTAATGTAGTCTGGTGCTACTACTGACGGTTTTTGGTGTCTCGGACGTCGAGCGAAAAGTGACAACTTTGAATGATGTGTAATTCAGGACAGACGAATAGCAGGGGAGGGTGTTCGAAGAGTATATTGTGGGTTCGGGGGTGGCGGGCTTAGACGTTGATCTGAATTCAGTTTGTGCGATGCTTGAACGGCGTAGAGAATATAGATATTGTCTACATTTCATTCACGGTTCATATCAAGATTGCTGGCAATCTGGCGAGACTACTCAGTGACATCAGTTCTCATTCGGTGCCCTATTATTTGTTAATCTAGAGGGATCGGCCGGGAAGAGCCGTTTATATATCTCCCCTTAAACCGGCTTCGGGCTATTCGAAGTCTGCCTTTTATGTCTCTCTCTGCCTCCACACCTGGGATGAAAGGCAAAGTAGTTCTTCTGATAGGAAAAAGAAAGCCGCGATGGTTGTAAACATCAAGGTAAAAATAGATAGATCTTAACCACCTGCAGTCCCGAGCGAACATACACACAAAAATCAAAAGAAATAAGCTCCGATAGGGGGAATCGAACCCCCGGCTGCCGTGTGAGAGACGGCGATGTTAGCCACTACACCATATCGGATTTTGTGTGAGATGAGGCTTTATTTTGATTTTACATCCCTAGACACATGCTCAAGCCCGTATCCTCTGCGAAGTACACAACCGATTGGCCAGCTTGCGAAAGTTGTTTGCTCTCCGCAGCTACCATCGGAGCGAAGAGAGATAGCCGAGCAATGATAACAAATGCAAGACAGAAGCCAGTCAGACCGACAAGGCAGAAAAGACAATGAAATCAAAATGAGATTGCTTCCTCCGGTTGGGATGGTCCGCTGTGCTTGACGCCCACCGCCTATAAATTGTTGAGATTTGACATCTTCAATCAGGTAACCCAGTCACCCTGGTTTTCTGCACAGGATGTACAAGGTGACAGATCTGGCTTCACGCGTGAATACAGTGTCGATCTGCTATATGATAGACAACCACGAGATTAGCGGATTTGTCACTCGAAAACCAAAGACTTCCAAGTCGGAAAGTACGGTTTCCCCCTCGATGCTAGGGCAATCTTTCCAGCATGACACTGGCTAGTGTCTGGTTGACGAACAATTTGTAGCAGACACCCTGCGAACTCTGACTCAACAATAGCGACCCACCACGTCGAGCTTACATCTTGTGACTCGCATCGCGAAGCCGAAACAGCAGACCATTAACATCTGGCCTTCATCACGGATATTCTTTCGACGTCTGGAGGCCGCTTTTCTGCATCTTTCACAGATTGGATGCGCGACGAGCATTCATTGATGCCCTGCTTGTGATTTGACAACGGGCGTTTTCAACCACCTTATTCCATTCTGGCAGCCACTCCCCGAGCCCTTGGTGAGCCACATGGATTGTTTTGTTTGTCAGTCGCTTCCAGCATTGAGGCCTTAATGCGACACTCTGAGAAGTAGCGTTTTATGGCATTTATAAAGGTGCCCTGGAGACTTTTGACGAAGAGTTTGCCGAGTGTGAACGGCAACAGTGTGTACCTGGCTGCGAATGATTCCCCACCCGATACCACCGATCTCATTGACGATGGAACCTCACCAATGGCTATCTCATATCGCCACCAAGTGATTTTCTTTTTAGCAGGCCATTTGCCAGCGGGTCCCCGCACAAGAATGGCAAATTTGAAACTTGAGAAGAATACGCGCAGTCGGAGGATCCGGATCACGAAGGGCCGGAAATGCGGAAAATAGTCAAGGACAGGCCGGCAATACACAAGGAGAAGTAAGTGTTAGACAAATAGCAATACTCTTCGAAGAGTCTTCTATTGTGGTCCGATAGTCTGTGTGGATACCAGGCGGCTTCCTAGAAGTGCTTCTTCCAAAATGCCTTTTTCTTCGCACCATGCTTTGTCGTGTTTCCTCCTGTCGAGTTGCCATTGTTGGAAATGTCGACGATTCCTTCTTTCTCCGTCTAGCTGTAAGTTTGGTCAGCCAATCGAGGAATGCCCCAAGTACTTGTTGGCTGCGCCATTGCCGAACTCGCTGGCAGACTTATCATCCTTTTGGGGGGGGGGTCAGGCTTTGGTGTCAGACTTGGGAACGTCAGTGGTATTCTCGGGTGACTCGTGGACGTCGAGATAACGCGTCTCCAAGTTCCTAAAGGCTGTCTGCCTTTTCTTTTTTCGGGGTTTCGTTGTTGTTTCCACATAAGACAGGGTCGATAACCTGTCCGCCAGGGGCGGAAAATGACAACACGTTCTGGAATCGCTGCACACATGCGAGCAGGTGTGAATGATGGCAGCAAAAGCTCATGAACTCGATTCCAGACATGTGAGCGACTCCCGCTGGTTACGGGAAGTATACAATCGAGTTGCGGTTGCTTCGGACACCCCGAAAAGTGCACCAGGAGCTGCCAAATTGTTCTTGAACCGCAGTGTCTGCAGTACGCGATCTGCCTGCAGTGGCTGAGATCCACTGCTCAATGTTAATAGAACTCAGAATTGTCTGAATTGGCTCTCGACGCTTGCACTTTCTGTTTGTTGTGACGGCTTATCCTCGAGAGACTTGCCAATCTCGACGTCGACCAGACCCACAAAACAGCTGCAAAGAGGCAAAACATCACGTCTTACCGCAGCACAGTCTGGCTTTTTTCTGCCTCGTTTGTCTTCACTGCGAGGTGGGTAAGACATTTGTGAGCTCCGTGGATAAGGCAAGGAATGTCCGCAGGGCACAGCCCGGATCATTACATCAACGCATATCTTAGTATGGGATGTAGGCGGATCCTCAGCCACAGACGTAGAGGAATTACCGGTATTACAGAACTGAAGACACTCTCATACCAGCCTAAGCAATTTTGCAAGTAGTTGGCAACTACTTTACTCACTGCTTGCACGATCAATCTGCTTTTGAGTGGCACGTCCCCCTTCGTTGCCACCCTTAGCAACAAACTCCTTGTGGATTTGCAAATGTGAGTGAAGATTGTTCGTTGAGGAATACTGTTTCTTTTCAAGCAGTTAACAAGCAGTAAGAGATCTAACTTACGTCTGCCTTAGAGCACCCGTCCATCCTGCAGAAGACTTCACCGTAATGAATCTTATATTCGAGGCATGAGTTCTAAAAGGTTGCCAAATAGTTGGCAAGTAGTTAATACCAGCCTACGCAGTTAGCAAGTGGTTGACAACTGCTTAAGAAGTACTTACTGATCGCTTCATCCTGTTCCTTCTGGCTCACACGGCCGCCCTTGTCTCCCTTCCCCAGAACATCATCCTCGGCCTCGAAGTGGGATTTGATATGTGTGCGCAAGTTGTTTGTAGATTGGGATCGGTGCTAAAGTAGTTGACAGACAGTTAGCAAGTAGTCTGCAAGTACTTAGCAATAGCTTAATTTTTTCTTGGTTTCGCAAAGGTCATGCAGACCTGGGTCTAGTTCATAACCCAGACTAACACCCAAGAACGAAAAAGATCAACGCACTGCAGGGAACAGTGATCCATTTAGGAACGAAGAGCGTTACGACTTTCCCGTTCCTGTGCTTGCTGAGGATGTTTGTCCCGCAGGAGTCCGCGCTCTCTCCTCTGTCATCGAGGCGCTTTAGCAACTCACCAAGACGTTCATGTATGCAGGGTAAGATAGTTGTAAAGAAGTAACTGGCTAACCACAAACAAGGAATGGCGACTTGAAAGAAGGTCAGTCTAACTGAGCATGGATAAACATGAAACCAAAGCTCTTCCTCTTATGTTATTTGATTCGCTGGTAATCGATCCGCTGGCTTCTGAGGTTCTGCATAAGAATCTCCTCTTCGTATTCGCTTGCGAGGTCTACAGCCTGCAAGGAATAGACCTGGCGTCCTCGTAGTTCGCCAAAAAGGGACGCGCACTCAGCAAGGCGGCTGTAGTAGCTATACCATGTAATCGCGGACTTTTTGACGACCAATCTGTCGCCACCGTATCTCGCTGGTCGTATTTTCATGGTATTTATGCCCACGAAACTGATTAAACAAGTGAAAATTTGCCCTTGGCAGAAGGAGACTGCGATTTGATGATGAAACACCGCCCCCTTAACGTACCGGTTTCTCCATCCCACCTTTCTCCAATCCCCTTCTGCGAGGAAGGAAGTTTGTCAATGAAAGGCCGATTGGGAGTGGTGAAAGTAGTTTCATGATGAGCGACAGCAGTGAGATAGGGTGTGGTATTGTTCTGCACATGTTTCTTCGGACTCAGGCTAAGCCTGGAAGCGACGTGAATGAACGCTTCGCAAAACTAGACTTCGTAGGAACAGGAGTACTTGATTGGCCACGAAGGTCTTTGACTTCGGTCATCTACACAGAAGGCTATTTCTCCCAGCCAGCGAATTCGATAGTTGTCGACATGATCCACATATGCTAAGTCATAAGTGTTCGGAGACGGTATAACCGAGAATCCATTCAAGTCCGAGTGGTCTGATTTTGCGCGGCTTGACCCGAGAGTCGGATCTCAAGAGAGTTGGATCTGCTATAATTGTCCAATCAATCGGCTTCATTGGTGCATAGTGAATCGCTGTTGCTATCAACTCCACATGGTCTTGCGAAGAGATCTCGACAGTGGTGGCATAACGCAGGAAGCAGGACCGGCTGACCTGGCGGGCCTGGTTGGCTAATCGGCCCCGGACAGCTTGCCCTAATTCTTGCGTCCGCCAAATGAGCGCCGTGTTGCGCCGGTGAAGGTTGCCTTTGAGGCGCTCTCTCCTTCTCTCTCTATCAACTCAACTCCATGTTTCATCTTGGCTTGACGCGGGCACAAGTCTCCTCATCTTCAGCGGTATCATTAGTATTGCCAAGCTCTATATCATTTCCACCTCATTGGCTTTTCTCTTTGGGTTATTCGTCTCTTTTCGTCAGTTTCCTAAGTTTCTCCTTTCTCTTTCCTTTCCTTCTCACTCTGCCGTCTCTAACCGCGTCTTCTACCTTCGCTTCCTTGATCTCAGTGCTTCCAGCGTCCGGCGACGTCTCTTGGGTTTTCACCCTCTTGGTTCTGCGGTATTCTGGCTTCTTGGCTCTGATGCGCTGCGTCTTCTCCTTCGAGGACTGCAGATTCAAAGAGCACAAACTCTTCTTCTTCGATCCGTAGGTGCAGTTGGCGCAGCTTTGCTGGTATCTGTGCTGCGACGGCAGGTTCCAGTTGTCGATCACGACGCAATCGCGCCACACGCCCACTTCTTTCCGACAACGTGTGCATGCTCTCTGATTGGGCAGAATGAGTCCACGCACTTAGAGCAGCTTGGCATCACAGAGATGGCTGGGAAACCTTTATATCTGACGGACTCGCTACGCTTGCCCACCACATCGCAATAACCCTTAACTAGCCTCCCTCTCACGTTTGGGAGCGAGAGCAAGACAAGCATCTCGTACACAACACTTCCATTGGTTAAGAAACCTCAGGGATTGTCTAATTCAAAAGCAAGCTCGTTTCCCCTGCCAACACTGTTGTGTTTCAACCACGCACACGATTGGGTTGTTTCATCAGGCCGAAAAACAATGCCACTTCAGCTTTCGTACACTCTCGTGTAACTGGGGCTGAGGAATTGGAGAAACGATAGATTCTCTGTCCATTCCATGTTATCTGTAAGGCTGAGAAGCGGAGGCTGATGTGTTCATCTTTCAAGGGATTTTTTTGTTCAGGTAGAAATGTGGAGTGGTCGCTGGTTGTTCGATGTAGTGAGAGTGCTGAATCAGATCGCAATGACTCTACTCTCCAGCCTCGTTCTAGTCCTCGGGCTCGGGCCCTGGCAACGGAAATGAGCCAGTTGCCGCGGCAAGAATAATATAAAGGAGGATTCGGCTAATAACGAAGCCGTTCTCCAGTCGTATCGGTAGAGAGATTCATTGAGGATCTCTGCTCTCCCCGCCTTGGCATGGACAATTTATGAGGCCCGACCTCTGGAGCTCGCCTGTATCTCTCGGTTGAAATCTGAGGCGTAATCATTCTCCATCTCACCCCCTTCCCCCTGCTCTTTCTCTGGGCCAAGGGACACTGACAATGTCCCTACCTCAGCATTTAGTGGCTGCTGTCTGATCGATTCTTCTGGATGGCCTCAGGCTCGTTCGAGCGCCTGTATGCGAACATAGTTTCATTGGTTTTCTTTGCATTTCGGCTATTGCGGTTCCTTCTGACAAGTTCACGGGATTGAAAATCCGCCAGAAACTGGAGCTGGACGATATCGCATCCTTCCAATTTCAACTTGTCATAATTATGATAGGACGAGTTCATGCATCGCGCAGCACTGACAGAGGATATTCGGGGTCTCGCCTTCCGTTCGGAAGTTTGATCCAGTCGCCCCTAAAATATGAAGATGGCCCAAAGCTGCAGATAGCTCAAGTCGTGGTTTGAGACAGCCATATTGCTGTCGACTTCCTTGTTCCGTTCTACTTTGCACTAATAGCTTTGCCCGTTCTTTCCGTTTTCCGATTCTGATCGATTTGCCAACACCGGGGGTGAATGAGCACTCTTTCTCCCATTTTCTGTTTTCAATCTTTTCCTCCGAGCTGTGCACACAGTTGTAGCGCGTCCTCAAGCCATTTTCACGCTGGCAAAGGATCACGGCTCCACGACATAATTCATTCACGGCTCATTGCCTCCCTAACGTTTTGCGTGGCAATATCGTCGTTGCCACGGACAGTCTCTTTCCATGCAGGGTTATTGCCTCCTGGTAATACCAATGTCCTGTGCTGACAAAATCACAACACTTTGGCTTACCGCTTGTTGTTGTAGGCTGTGGACCAATTATCTTACCACCAGAAGTAATTTTTCAATCCCCGGAGGGGGAGAAAGGCTGTTCCTTGGTGCAGTCGTTGCGCGCGACAGCCAAAGCCAGCTTATCAGAAGGTGCAGCCACATTGGGTGAGCATTGGGCCCTGCAAAGATATTAGCAATCATCATTATCTGGTAATGTGGCCTGTAAGGATATACATACCAGACCAATGCCGACAAATGTAGAGCATCGTAGGTAGTTGTAGATACATTGTAGACACATCGGATTCCAAGTCTCTAAATGCAGCACATGCAGGCACCCGGTTGGCTTCCGACCCATTGCGTCATTTGCTGATTTTGCGTAGAGACACAGGCTCATATAAGCGTGCTCTTGCGAGTCGCGCCGTTGACGACATAGTCTCTAGTAGTGACACAGCCTGGAACGCTCTGCGTGTGATAGATAGTAAAGCCCTTTGTATCTGCGGCGCAGTGTCCGGCCAGCCAAGGCCAGGTTCTGCTTGAATTGAGCTTTCGGCTAGATGTGACAGTGTCTTCGTTTAGTGAAATTCTGGCTGTTGCGTGTAATTGAGCTTGCGAGAAAAGTCGCGACTTGCTCTGCTACCCCTGGACTGATACTTCCACCAATTGACGATATTCTATATTAAAACAGTCAGATATGCATTTCTCAGGTGCACAGCATCCATTGAATGCTGCAAGTGTCCGTACTCTACAACGTGCGCGCTAAGCATGATTCCTACAGCAGTCGTCGAGAAACGGAGAGGCTGTCGTGATGCAAATTGCGCACACCTTGACACATCTGACTAGATGATTTGATATGTTTCGTACCACAATCAGTCGTAGGGTATAATACCGCAACTGCCCTGAGGGTATAGCATTGTTCTGCGTTCCGTTGCCCAATCTCCTTCAACATGGGACATGGGCTTGCCGCTGTTCTCTGGCAACAAGAGTGCTCATCTCATGCTCAGGTCCCCGGTCCACTTCGTTGAGTGTGATTCCACTGGAATCTGTGCCCGCAAGGCTGGCACAAGTTCGAAACAGCGCCCAGGAGTTGGGAATGAGAAATCGCCGCCCTTCCGGCTGGTCTCGCAGCCTTGAATGATAAGAGAGAGATGTTTGGCTTCCCTTGGAATGGTTTGATGGCCTTTGCCACATCATTCTTGTGAGTGGAATACTGGCGTACAGTTTGAGATTGGCAATGACGATGACTTGGATTGTGTACCATCATCGCTTTCTGGTCTAGCTTGTTAAGGATATAGGTAATAGTGACGAGGTCGTCGTCCATCGGCGGCGCGGTGTCGCCCTTCTGAAGGGCTTCTGTGATATCTGCTACTGGCCATCCCATGGCACCGCCGATCTCAGCAATATCAATGCTCGCCTGAAGTCTCCAAAGGGCAAGATAGACCCGATATTCCTCAATCCACGTGGAAGGGCCGGCGTCCTGTGTGGGAACGCTTGCAGTTCCACTGGATTGGGGATGCTCAAATACCTATAGAGTTTGTACTCTGCCTCAAGGAAAGTCTCAAACGCCTGATTTGCGACTTGATTGATTGCTGGGAGGCCCCGCGGATGTGCCTTCTCGCTTTCCTGAGACTACCAGCAAAGAGGGTCATCAGATCCTTCTGTACTTTATAGTCTGACCACGGTATCGCCCCTACCAAGGCACCTCCAATTGGGGAAAGGGTCGCAAGCGCTACAGTAGGCTCCCACCTCTTGTGGAACTGCTCCCGCAAGACCCCGCCTGTCACCCACCGGTCTCGGCTCACACAATGGTGCAGAGCCGAGAGTAGCCTAGCCTTTATGCCCAGACGAAGACCGTCAAAATCCGTGCCTGCGGGGTTAGTGCCAAGGTGATAGGAATGTCCAGATGCT